TCCTGTCGAAAGATCTCAAGGGAATCGTAGCCAAGGGAATCCAGAAGGTCCTTCACTGTGGCGTCCTCTCCAAAAATAGCTGAGAGCTTTGATTGTGCAGGAGGAACCACCACATCTCGGCACATTAATCGAAAATTTTCATGCAACAGGTTGTCAGTGTTCGCTATCTTGAGAGGATCCGGACGTTTCGAGGGCTGCTCAGTGAACCACTCATACTCATCAAGCTTCTCATAGCACTCTTTAAGGTAGCCTTCAAACAGCGCGAAGTATCCCTCTTTCCCGGTGACTTTATGGATGACTACTATGAGGCTGGGAGGCACGTAACGAAGATTCATCTGCAGCTGTAAAAGCTTCGCATAAACCAAGCACTGACGCAAATGCTTCCCGCATAAATCGGTTTTGCTTTCCCAATAATCCGACAAATTGTCGACTACTTTAAACTCCACGATGACATACTTATCGAGATCCCAACTGAATGCAATGGCATCAGCTTCTCCCTGCCAAAGATACAACTTGGGACGTTTCTTCTCATTTGTAGCAACTTCTCTCATGAAGCCAAACAGTGGAAACTTACTTTCAAGGAAGTATAGGTTGTGTTGGCTTTCGATGAAGGAAATAAGCTGTAGTGCTAAACGCTCTGGGGTGAACTTCTCCCCCGACCAAAGTGCTAAATTTGACATCTTATCACTGAGAATCACACTATTAAAGGAAAACAAATCGGCACGATTTTCCTTGATCCACTTAGCTAAAAGCGCATCCCATACTCCTCCTGGGCGTTCGTATGCTTCCTTAGAAAATGTTATTAAGTTTGCGTCTTTTGGTCCAAATTCGAGAAGCTTTTCCTTGATACTTTTGTTGATCTTAAGAGGAAGCAAGAACAAACACATAACTATCAAATTACATCTCAAAATATTACAAAATTGCGTTGACTACTGTAGTAGAACGACCAAGACAGAAACCCACCTGACCCTTAAAGTGCTTAATTTTCTTCGAATGGTTTTCCCTTGATGGATTCAATAAATCGTCCACAGAAATACCTCTTTTCTCTGGCGTATCGCCATGTTGTCTGGCAGTGCCCTTCTGTTCTATCATTTGCCTATGACATTGAAGAAGGTCTCTTAGATCTTGAATGGACGCCATTTTGAAAGTGGAAGAGTTTTCTTTTATGTTGCTAAAAATAGTGGTGTTAGCTCATTGGCCAACGTCTAACTAAAGGCCAACCATAGAGAGCCAGGTGTCGCAGATGTCTTTTTTGTTTTATTGTGTTTTGTTGTTTGTTTGTTTGGGGGTGTGCGGGGGTGAGACGCTCGTTATAAAACTGGATAGTCAACGACTCACAGATTTCGTTAGGTTATCGATGGCAAAGTAAAATCCTGCGTATAAGAACCTATTTGATTAAGAATCTCCTCGCAGAAATTTGCTGCTTTATACCCAATGATACACTAGAACCTGTTAGCCAAGTAAGATCAAGCAGGTTCTTATCTGTGGGTTACCTTAAAATTATGATAAAAATTTAACCAAGGAGATTGACTTTGAGATTGCAAATTTCTATTACAAAAAAATACTTTACTTATTAACTTTTACATAAAACGTCGACAGCCAAATCCTTCTGTTTAGTTGGCTGTGATCTCATCAGGCTCCTAGCGGCGTTTACGCTTACAAGTTCTCGCCATAACGCAAACGCTGACCTAGCCTCCCACACAGGAGTTTTTAGGGGAGCTCGTCTTTCATTTGTAGGGAGGGATGGAAGACGAGCTCCCCTAAAAACATCTGCGTGGGAAGCTGACGCTGACTAGACTGATCTATCATTTTATTGCCAATAGGTTATGGCCAACTGTATGGAATACTAGCAACATCACTCCGGTGTTCAAAAAATCCGACCGATGAGGCTCATAAGATTTCCTATCGTCCGGTGTCGATCCTCCTTGCTCTCTCTAAGATTTTCGAGAATAAGGTGGTTGCAGATCAAATGTATTCCGAATTTTCTCCAAGTCTCTCGCCCAACCTCTCTGGTTATCTTAAGGGACACTCTTGTTGTACTGCAGTGTTAAAAATGGTAGGAGATTTGAGGTTGAGTCTTGCCAACCGAGAGGCTGATGCTACGCTTTTCAGAGTTGAACTGATTAAGGCGTTCGACTCCGTATGCCACGCCCTATTGCTTGCAAAACTCAGAGCTTATGGCTTCACAGATCAAGCATTGGCGTTGATGAGGAAATACTTGTAAGGTAGGAGGCAGAGGGTCAAATTGGACGGCGTTTACTCTGACTGGAAAACTGTCAAAGTTAGGGTCCCTCAGGGGTCCTGTTAGGTCCTTTGCTTTTTAATATTTATATAAATGTGTATGCAGATGACACGTGCACTACGGAGTATGCATCGGACGTCCCTCCTCTAGTGCTAGAATACATTATTAACTCTGATCTTCATAAATCGTCAACATGGTTTCGGCAAAACTATTTAGAGCCGTCACGCATCTAAGACTCAGGCAATGGCCATAGGTCCAGTACCCTCTCTCAATGGCTTTAAGTAGATGACAGTGCATCAGTGGACAATACTGACACACTTAAAATTCTTGGTGTAACATTAGATTGTAAGCTTTTGCCGCTTTTTGCTGCTCATCTATCCGAACAAGTTAAAAATTAAACTTCAAAAATCATGAATAATCGCATAAGCCCATTGACCTGTCAAATAGTCGACAATACTTCGGCTCATGATTCTAACCCCGATAAAACACTGCCGTTCGTTTATCAAACATTACGTAATGGGCACCCTTCATAAAGCATGTACTTTTCCCCATTTAGAATATTGTTGTCCGCCATTGCTTAGAGTTGGAAGAAGTCAAGTTAAAACGCCCTATGATTATTTGTTAAATATGGTTGGAATAGGAACGCTAGAACAAAGAAAAAAATCTAGGCCCTAATTTTAGTTTATAGATGTATCAATAAACAAGCCCCATGCTACATACAAGAATTTTTTAACATTAAAGTCTGTAATTACAATTTAAGGTGGTTGGGTACACCGTGTTTAATGCTACCTAAGAGTCAATCTAGAATGGCGCCACGATCATTTTCATTTTAGGCCGCCAGCCTTTGGGATTCTTTACCCCCTTATGTTAGAGGCAACAAGGTTATTCTTACTTTTAAACGTCTTTTAAATAAGCATGTTCTTTAATGTCAGCAGTGATTAGTTTTTATCAATGTAATTACCCTCTTCTCACTCTTCCTATTCTGATCTTCCCCTAAAACAACAGTCCTGCTCCGCAACTCACGTCGTTATGTTCAAGGCGTTGCCTGGACGGAAGGCTTGCGAATCGACAGATTTGACTAGAACACAACACAGTTTTTCAAAGGATCACAAAATCTTACAGAGGCACCCAGTGACTTTTTTTCTGAAAAATAACTGTTCGAAGGGGCAAATATAATTGCCTAGAAAAGCTAAAAATTTCTGGGTAACCATTCCATTCGTCTAAAATATTCGGAGGTTTTCTAATAGCTTAACTACGATTTTCGGAGGCTGTGTTAAACAAATCTTAATACCGAGATATTGCGATTATTGTTTAAAAAGGTCTCCTAAAACTTTTGGTATAAAAACAACACGTCCCCTATAAGTTTCTAACGAAAGCAAGGCTTCTTCATCTCCTAGAACTTTCGACCGGACCCATATAAGGGTAACTAACACTTTCGGATGAGACGAAAAAAAAGCCACCTAAAACTCTCGTGACGATCAAGGTTCTCCTAAGACATCCGAACAGATAAGTAATTTTTAGGACAACTCCAAATTAATCAAACAGGCTTCTAAAGTATAGAGAAAACCATCTGAGACACGTCTAGCGTATCTGGAAACATTCGGTCGTTGGGTGCCCTGATCTTCTAGTATAACTGATTAAAAATTGGGACTTGGTATAAACTGTGTGTCAAGCCACTTCGACGCCTTTAGTAACACTTACGAACGACAGCAAACAGTCAATTCAAGAATATTTCAGTTTCAAAAGCGATGGGAAACTGTTGTTACTACAGGTAAGTACTGCCAGTGAAAAGAAGTGATAGTTTCTTGTTTGTTGCAGAAGGGTGCAATCACCAACAAACTGACGTAAAACAAAGACACTGAAACAATACCCACACTACACATGTACCACAAAAAAAAAACAACAACCGTCACTGGTTTCCGCAACATTAACAAACACCTAAGGCACTGTCACAGTGTTATGTGAATGATCACCCTACAGCTAGGATTGTATCCACAAGCTAAAAGATAACCTAGATAACCTAGCTGTAAGACTTTTGTCAAATATAAGATGAAAGAGCTAGAGTTAAAACACTAAATACAAACACCCAAAGAACTGTGTTATTTAAGTGATGACACTACAGCTAGGATTGTATCCACAAACTAAAAGATAACCTAGATAACTTAGCTGTCAAACCTTTGTGAAATATAAAATAAAAGAGAATCAAAATACTGAATACAAACATGGCAAACATAAAACAGGTTTTCAGGCTCGAAAAAATACCGGGACGTTTGAGAAACGGGCGGCATGGTTATCTAAAGTTTAATATATTAACACTTATCTCAATAAATTACAACACTAAGGACTTTATCATGCGGAGAGAGGAAATTTGTAAACTTATGAGTGAACTTTCGAAACATTTCAGCTAGCGAAGATACTAAATCTATCATCTAGCGTAGATGCAGTCATTTGGAAACTCATCAATATTAAAGTATTCAGAAGTTTCGACTAATACAATCTTAAAAACTAAAGTTCAGCTCCTTACATCTTTCTAGAATTTCTTCTGTTTTACAAAGCAACCCAAATTTTAATAAATGTTTGGGATCGACTGATTAATTTAGCTAGAAAAGAAAAAGCAGCAATGCATTTGTAACCCTATGGTGATTTTAATCTCTGTCGATGAGCGTAAATATATATTTGGTAAGGTCTGGTAAACACATAATAATAAGTTGCTCACTACAAATGCACTGAACTGGATCAGTAAATAATCTAAACTACATTATTGTTGTTCCTCTCGGAAGATTTCAAGGGAATCGTAGCCAAGGGAATCCAGGAGATCCTTCACTGTGGCGTCCTCTCCAAAAATATCTGACAGCTTTGTTTGTGGATCAGGAACATGCACATCTCTCACATATCGAAACTTTTCATGCAACAGCTTGTCAGTGTTCGCTATCTTGAGAGGATGTTTCGAGGGCTGCTTAGTGAACCACTCGTAATCATCAAGCTTATCTTTGCACTCTTGAGGGTAGTCTTCAAACAGCGCGAAGTATCCCTCTTTCCCGGTGACTTTATGGATGACTACTACCAGGCTGGCCGGTAAGTAAGGAAGCTTCATGTGCAGCTGTAAAAGCTTCGCATAAACCAAGCATTGATGCAAATGCTTCCCGTATAAAAGGGTTTTTCGTTTCCAATAATCCGACAAATTGTCGACTACTTTAAACTCCACTAGTACATATTTATGGAGTACCCAACTGTAAGCAATGGCATCAGCTTCTCCTTGCCAAAGATACAACTTGGGATGTTTCTTCTCATTTGTAGCAACTTCTCTCATGAAGCCAAACAGTGGAAACTTACTATCATAGAAGTATAGTTTGTGTTGCTCTTCGATGGAGGAAATAAGACCTCGTGCCACACGCTCTTGGATGACATCCTCCTGCGACAGAGGTCTTAACTTTGAAATCTGATCGCTCAGATTAGAACTGCTAGTGGAAGACTCATCGGTATCGCCACGATTTTTTTTGATCCACTTAGCTAAAAGCGCATCCCATACTCCTCCTGGGCGTTCGTATACTACATCGGAAAATGTTATTAATTTTGCGTTTTTCGGTCCACTTTCGATGAGCTTTTCCCTGCTACTTGCGTTGATCTTAAGAGGAAGCAAGAACAAACACATAACTATAAAATTACATCTCAAAATATTACAAAATTGCCTTGACTACGTAAGAACGACCAAGACCGAAACTCACACGACTGAAGTACTTAATTTTCTTGGAATGGTTTCCCCTCGATGGATTCAATAAATCGTCCACAGAAATACCTCTTTTCTCTAGCGTATCGCCATGTTGTCTGGCGGTTCCCTCCTTTTCTATTATTTGCTTACGATCCAGAAGATCCTTTCTTGCCTCTGAGTACGCCATTTTGAAAGTGGAAAGAAGAATTTTGCTAAAAATCGTGGTGTGAGTGTTACATGTAGAGATTGTTCTAAAAACAAAACAACCGGAAGCGGAAACGAGTCTTGTGTATGACGTATTCATCCGGGTTATCAGAAAAGAGAGCGCGAGCTGAACGAGTGACGAGAGAAAAAGAAACGACATAAAAATGAGAGTTATTGGACGGTTGACAGGGTATTGAGATTTATATAAAGACTCATGAAACAAGGGTGACATTTTGGCGACCCTGCCAGGACGAACTTCGATTCTCAAGTCCGTGGGACGTTATTTGTTGTCAAGGGAAGCAGAAATGGTCAGAACTGGAGCTAAGGAGATTGTGAGTGGAGCGGTATGAACACGTGGAGTTGCAGTTGAGGAGACAAGCCGCGACCGAAAACAGTCAGATGCGTACGGTAGGACTTTACAATATTGGGGCTCTGTGACGGTGGAGTACATTCACTAGTTGTTTTGTGTTTGGCGAAGTGGGCGAGTTGATTTGTTCTGTCGGCTCACTGTCACCGGAATTACAGCGTTTGCGCTAGGTTACTTGTGTTCAGTTTGGAAATAAGCTTTCGCGGTTAGAATTAATTATGGAACAATTACAACTCCAAGTAGAGTCTCGATTGTTCGAACAAGATGAGAAGGGTTTGGCTGAAATGATAGGACTATTGGGAATCGACGATGACCTTGCGGGTAAAAGTAAGATGCAGAGAATCAAAATTATTACGAAAACCATCGACAGCAAAATGGCGGGCGATGAAAAGGAAGCACGAGCGTGCCTCGAACAGCTACTTGCTTTTGTGACCGGCAATGTACCGCCCCTCGAAGAGGTAGAGCAAAAACCAGCAGCTTCAGGAGTAAAAACGGAGAAACAATCTTCTGACGGAGGACCTAAACAAGAAAAGGGAGTGGAAGATATATTGAGTCAGTTAGCGAAAACAAAGTCGAGTTCATCTTTGCTACGGCGCGAATTTAAGATTTCTGGTCAGATCGGCGAACCAGGGCAAACAGAGAAACTAACTTTTGTTTCCTTAATGCATCAAATAGACTCAGGGCTAAAACGTGATTACCAAGAAAATGAAATTGTGGACGCAGTGATACGTGCCATATCTCCACACAGTAGTCTTCGGAGCTATGTTGAGACTCTAAGTGACCTCTCACTAGCTAAGCTACGAAGGATCCTTCGTGTCCATTATAGAGAGAAAACAGCCTCAGGGGTGTATCAGCAATTGGCCACCGTGTGCCAACACAGTAGTGCTGAATCCCCACAACAGTTCCTTCTCCGTGCGCTGGACTTGCGTAACAAGGTGAATTTTGCAAGTAAGGAGTCAGATTGCGAGTTCAATTACGGTGCCTCCCTGATTCAGAAAACCTTTGTGAAATCATTTGAAACTGGTCTTCGTGATGACATAATTGCATCTAACTTAAGACCCACCTTACGCACCTCGGGACTCACAAATGAAGAGCTCATGCGGCAGGTGAATGAATTAGCCTCGCAACAAGCAGAAAGGAGTTCCAAGCTGGCTAGTGAACGCCAAAAGTCTGCCAAAGTTCATACATGTGAGGTAGGCAAAGACGAGAGAGAAGCAAGAGCTAAGAATGCAACTACAGATGGAGGTCAGCAGCTTTTGCTAGAGATCCGTCAGATCAAGTCAGAGATAAATGATCTCAAGGATCAAGTCAATCGTCGAGGGAGCCAAGCAGAAAATTCTAACTGGCGTGGGCCATCCTACAGGGGCCGTGGGCGTGGTTATCAGCCAAACCGTACAAGTTGGGGTTGTCAGAATTGCAAGCAGAGAGGAAGAGGAGATGAATGTAATCATTGCTTTGCTTGTGGTGACTCGGGGCATGTGGCTCGGGAATGTTACCGTAACGAGAACCGGAGTAGTCGACAGGGAAACGGTCGACGACTATTCCGGCAGGACGCGGAATAGTCGACAACAGTAGTAACAAGTCCCTCCGATGTAATGGTTGTCGGAAAGTTCAGTCAGAAAAGGCAAAGTTCTTACAATGTTCAAAGTGCAAGGCCGTGAAGTATTGTAGCCGGAATTGTCAGAAGAAACACTGGCAGGAACACAAAGTGTTGTGTAATGCGATTGAGTACCTGTCAAACAAAGCAAAACAAGAGAATGCGGATCCCAGTAGTAGCACCTTTGTCAGTCACCTAACACCACAGCAGCACGCCACAGTAGTAGGATTGGTAGGAAAGAGGTGTACTGTTAAGGGGAAGATCAATGGCCAAAAGGTAGATGTACTTTGGGACACTGGGGCCCAGGGTCCTTAATATCTGACCAGTTAGTAAGAAGGAATTTCCCTGGGGTCACTATTAAGAACATATCGGAGTTGTTAAATTCTGAACTGAACCTGACCGCAGCCAATGGTGGTGAGATGCCATACATAGGATGGGTGGAGCTTAACTTTAGACTGTTGTCGTCTAAGGAGGAATTGGCAGTTCCCTTTCTTGTTACAGACCAATCATTAGACACGCCAATAATCGGCTTTAACGTGATTGAGGAGATTGTTAAAACCAGTAGTGAGGATGCTATGCTACATCAAGAAATTACTTCAAGTTTTACTGAGTTAAATGGTAAGAATGCTTCAGCATTAGTGAATTTTATCCAAAGCCGTAATCAAAGTGATCTCTGCTTGATCAAGACCATGAAGCATGATACTATTATACCTCCCAGACAAAGTCAAAGTGTGACTTGCAGAGCAAACACAGGGCCTGTAGAGAGAACTACTCCAGTACTGTTTGAACCGGATGAGTCTAACCCATGGCCTAGCGGGTTAGAGATTACAGAGACTTTGTTGACTGTAAAGAAAGGGAAATCAAGTAAAGTGGAAATTGACATTGTTAACAATACCAACCATGATATCAGACTCCCGGGACGAACCTTGCTCGGGCGACTACAACTTGTACAATCAGTTACACCAGTAGAAGTTAGGTTAAAGGACTCAAATGGGAACATGAAAACACCTGATGAAGAGAGTACAGAAGCAAAAGTTCCTGATCAGGCTACAACATGTACTGGAAACGCCGGAGGCCCACTGCTTATACCTCCACATGCTGAAGAACCTTTGAGTACTCCATCACACATAAAAGACATAGACCTAAGTGGTCTTAATGCCCATCAGAAGGAAGTGGCACTTAAATTACTTACCGAGGAAGCAGAGTCATTTGCAAGGGATGACAGTGATGTTGGCTGTATTAGAGACCTTGAGTTAAACTTGGATCTTGAGGATCAAACCCCTGTTCAGAAGAACTATGTGGCAGTGCCAAAACCACTATACCCAGAGGTAAAGGCTTATATTGAAGATTTGTTAAATCGTGACTTCATCCGAAAGTCCTCCTCGTCTTACAGCTCACCGGTTGTTTGTGTCAGAAAGAAGGACCAAAGTTTGCGGCTATGCGTGGATTACAGAGCATTGAACAAGAAAACGCGACCTGATCGCCATCCGATACCGAGGATTCAAGAGACTTTAGATAATCTCGGTGGGAACTCTTGGTTTTCAGTACTAGACCAGGGCAAAGCTTACCATCAAGGATTCATGAGCGCTAAAAGTCAGCCTTATACAGCATTTATCACTCCATGGGGTCTCTACGAATGGGTGAGGATCCCATTCGGACTCTCCCGAGCCCCAGGGGCTTTCCAACGATTTATGGAGAACTGTCTAGGAGACTTGCGGGATACTGTTTGTATACCCTATCTGGACGATATAATCATATTCAGTGCGTCCTTTGAGGAACATGTTGAACATACACGCAAAGTCCTGCGTCGACTGCGAGAGCATGGAGTTAAACTCAAACCGCGGAAGTGTAAACCGTTCAAAAAAGAAGTTGTATTTCTTGGACGCGTGGTGTCTGAGGAGGGCTACAAGCTAGACACCTCCAGTATCAAGCCAGTGCTTTCTCTCAAGGAATCATCTCCCAAGACAGTTAATGAAGTGCGCAAACTAATGGGGTTCTTAAACTACTACCGTCGATATATAAAGAACTTCTCAAAAATTGCAAAACCAATCTATGATTTAATCAAGATAACAGATCACCCTTCTGAAGAGTCCATGAGAGAAAAACCAAGGCAAGGCAAGAAGAACCCTTCACAGTTACCGCCAAGGCACCCAGTTGTCTGGACCAGCTCTCACCAATCCGCACTAGATAAACTTATCGATTGTCTGACGTGTGCTCCAGTCATGGCCTACCCAAACTTTAAGAAACTGTTTGTCCTTCATACAGATGCCTCTAAGGATGGGCTTGGTGCTGTGCTGTACCAACACCAAAATGATATCCTTCGCGTTGTTGCTTATGGGTCACGCACTTTGACTCCTGCCGAGAAGAATTACCACTTACATTCTGGAAAGTTGGAGTTCCTTGCACTAAAGTGGGCCATCTGTGACCAGTTTAGAGATTACCTTTATTACGCCCCAAGCTTCAAAGTGTACACAGATAATAATCCGCTTACTTATGTCCTGTCCTCGGCTAAACTTAACGCGACAGGCCTCCGCTGGATAGGTGACTTGGCTGATTTTAATTTCAAAATTCACTACCGACCGGGAAAAGCGAACATTGATGCTGATACATTGTCGCGAATGGCGCTTGATGATATTGCTTATATGGAGTCGTGCACAGAGGTTATACCGCATGAAGTCCTCCAGACTGTCGTGTGTTCTGCAAAGCTTCAAGAGGAAGGAACAGTGAATTGGATCTCAGCTCTTTCAGGAGACCCTGCTACACTCGAATCAGATATGTCTGACGGAGGAAAACCTAGTGTACCGCAACTTGACGTAAAACAAGCACAAACTGAGGATCCAGTCATCAATCGAGTAAGAGAGTTGATTCAGTGTGGATTGCGCCCAACGACAGCCGAGAGAAAGAAAGAGCCAAGGGATGTGCAGCTGCTCCTTCATGAATGGAATAGCCTGTCAGTTGACAAGGATGGGATACTCCAACGGTGCACAAGAAGTCGTACTCAAATCCTCATTCCAAAAAAAACTGCGCTCACTGATTCTTAAGGAGTTGCATGAGAAAATGGGTCATCTCGGAGCGGATCGCACTTTACACCTAGCCAGAGAGCGCTTCTATTGGCCACACATGCAGAGCGACATTGAGCACTACATTTGGCATGTCTGTCAATGTGTTAAACGTAAACCTCCGACTCTCAAGATCAGGGCTCCATTACAACCCATTACCACTACTGCACCGTTCGAACTGATTGCTATCGACTTTCTCCATCTGGAGAAGAGCAGTGGAGGGTACGAATATATTCTTGTTGTGATGGACCACTTTACTCGCTATGCGCAAGCTTATGCTACAAAGAACAAGTCAGCCAGAACAGTCGCTCAGAAGCTTTACAATGATTTTGTCCTTCGATTCGGCTTTCCTTTAAAGATTCACCATGACCAGGGAGGAGAGTTCGAAAATCGTCTTCACCGAGAGCTAGAGAAGTTGTGCGGCGTGGGACACTCCCGCACCACCCCTTATCATCCACAAGGGAACGGACAAGTTGAACGATTCAACCGCACTTTGTTGAATATGCTCCGCACCCTACCAGAGACACAGAAATCACGATGGGCAGATCACCTTAATCAAGTCGTACACGCCTTTAATTGCACGAAGAACGAGGCTACTGGTTTCTCTCCTTTTTATCTGCTATTTGGCCGCCACCCTCGTCTGCCAATCGACCTGATCTTTGGCATTGACAGGACAGGTAACCAAGGCAGCCATACTCAATTTGCAGCGCAGTGGCAGAAGGCGATGTCAGAGGCTTATGAACTAGCAAGCAAACGGGTAAATGAAGGGAGCGACAGAGCCAAACAACGCTATGATCATCATGTCCGAAGTTCAGTGTTGCACCCCGGGGATAGAGTGCTTGTGCGGAATTTAAGCGAACGGGGCGGCCCAGGTAAACTTCGCTCGCACTGGGAAGACCGAATTCATGTGGTGGTTAGTCGTAAAGGTGAGGACAGTCCAGTCTATGAGGTCAAACCTGAGACAGGTCCTGGTGGAACATGAATTCTACACAGAAACCTGTTGCTGCCATGTAACCATCTACCAGTAGATGTTGCGAGTAAGACCCCTCACAGACAGAAGTCTCGGAAAGAAATTAGGAGAGAGACAAATCACGCGCCTACAACACTTGTGGAAGAGTCGTCAGACGACGAAAGTGAGCATTACGAGTTGAACTTCGAACCTGAACGGCAACCCGAACTACAAACTGACCATTCCGCAGAGTCAGTCTCCGAGGATATTGCTTGGGAATCAGCGACCGTCTCAGACAGAGGAGAGGGAGAAGATGGTTGCTCGGCAGATGAAGAGCAGGAACATCACCCCCCTGTTGAGGAGACAGCACCCTTCCCTGCAGCGAGTGAGAATGAGGAAGGACCATCGACCCCAGGTAACACTAGTCAGGAAGACGCCTCTATAGCAGAGTCTAGACCTCAGCGTGACAGACGTTCCCCAGCGGTCTTGACTTATGACACCCTTGGAAACCCAGTGTACCAGGCTAGAGCTGTTGTGCAATCACTTACCAATGACAGTGCACCGTTACCATCTACTCCATATGCCCAAGGTCCTCCTCTTGCGTGGCAAACAAGTGTACCAGCTACCTGGCAGCCCCTACCACCAATGACCATGCAGCCGTTTCCTTCATTTCATTATCCAATGATCTTTGGCTACCAGGGGATGCCTCCAGCAAACTTTAGTTACCCAGCGAACGTTGGGTGCCATGGACTATATCCAGTGACCTATGGACACATGCAAATGCCAAGTCCTACATTCTAAGACTGCTGTTCGACCAAAAAAAAAACCTTAGTTTCGTTTTGTAAAAAAAAAAAAAAAACAAAACACTTAGATTTCTTTTTCTTGCTCAAGACACCGTCAGAAATAAGTAGAACTTTAAGGAGGGTGAGCCCTCAGGATAGGAAATGTTACCAGAACACTGAATGGCTGCAGCCTTTATGGATTATTGGTACCAATGTAACTACGTAGAAGATGAAATGAGTCAAAGAAGAAAGGATCCTTTAAGTCAGTTTTATTGTACGGAAAACGTGGACTGTTTTGTAGCATTTCCTTAGGAGAATTATCTCTCTAGTTTACTGTCGTGATTTTTGTTTCACATTTTCATTAAGTGTCGGGGACGACACTTTACCTCGGAGGGGATGTATGTTACATGTAGAGATTGTACTAAAAACAAAACAACCGGAAGCGGAAACGAGTCTTGTGTATGACGTATTCATCCGGGTTATCAGAAAAGAGAGCGCGAGCTGAACGAGTGACGAGAGAAAAAGAAACGAAATAAACATGTGAAGTGTAAAGAAGTTTTACGGTTTATTTGTGGACTCATGAAACAAGGGTAACATGAGCTCATTGGCCAACGTCTAAGTAAAGGCCAACCACAGAGAGCCAGGTGTCTTAAACGTCTTGTTTATTTTTTTGTTTTGTTTTGGTTTTTGTTTTTTAGGTAAGGCTTACCCTGAGATGAAGGGGTCGGGGGTGGGGGGAGGGGTCAGGGGAAACGGTCGTTGTAAAACTGGATAGTCAACGACTCACAGATTCCGGGAGGATATTGATGGAAAAGTTAAAATCCTGCGTATAAGAACCTAGTTGATTAAGAATCTCCAGGCAAAAATTTGCCGATCGAGGAGCTTTTGTCATACGTAATAATACACTAAAACCTGTTTAGCCAAGCTAGATCAAGGAAGTTCTTATCATGGGTGGCCTTTAAATTGTGATAAAAATTTAACCAAGGAGTTTGACTTTGAGACTGCCAATTTCTATTACAAAAAATATACTTAGGTTATTAACTTTTTATATAAAACGACGACAGCCAAATCCTGCTGTTTTATCCAAGACAAAAATATAAACATTAATGACAAAACAGCAAAGACAAAAGCGATGTGAGTTTCCCGATACCTCGGACGGACAAGCCGTCCTTCTTCAGGGGATTTAATGAAGAATCGGAGAGTCTTTACAATTCAAAAAGTATATACGAGTAGTAGTTGGAAATTTGGCACAAAGGTAATGTTCAAAAACTAAACTGGCCAATAATGGGCCTTAACGTGATCTGTATTGGAGACTTAAAATTGCGATATACTTAATCTGCTCCACAACAACTAACAGGGGAAATGCGATATTTATGATCTCGACAGTGTTATAATTATCACAACTCCAACAAGGATTTCCAAGAACACAGTTGAGTCCTGCCTGAATGCCTAACAAATGTCCTAGCATTCATTTAAGACTCTGGCGTCATAGAGACAGGCAGTAGTGATCACTGCCTGATCTACGCTGTGTTAAATACAAAACTGATTCGCCCTAAAAACGACATTATTACAAGGCGATCCTTTAAAAACTACGATCAGGACGCCTTTCTTCCTGAGCATAGCCTGCGAGCAAGCTCTCCTATTTGGGCAAGCGAAGTGAGCCTCGCGAGAACGCGCGAGCGAGGCTACCTGAGCATAGTGCCTTTCTCGGTCGCGTACACTTTTGACGACCCTGACGATGTTTACTGGTGCTGGGAGAAACTTTACAATCGTGTTTTTGATGACCATGCACCTGTTATCGCGATTTATTTTTACATGAGCTCGGATTCTTTTGTTCTTTTTGGGGGGAATATATTACATAACAAATGTTTATTTGGAAATATTAAACACAAAGCTACAATTACTGAAATTAAACTGAGCAGTGTGTTTTCTTTTGTGCCACATTCGCGGATTTCTTTGTTGGCGGTTCTTCGCAGGCTTTCTACTAGGGCGCCCAAAAAATCAGTTGCTGAAAAAAATAAACTGCAAATGATGTTTTTCATATTTTAATCAAGGCGACTGACTTTAAGTCTACAGCTTGTCTTGTTTACGTGAATTATTGAAGCGAGTATTAAAGGGATTTTTGCTTCCCACCATCTGGACTCTAAAAAACGTAAACGTGGATATCACTAAACCAAACGCCCTTTAAAATGGACAGCTTGAGCATACGCCAACGCGAACATTCTTCTTACGGTTCCGCATACAGTCATCTATCATGCCCTGACAGTTAATGATATTTCTGTACGGAGTGTGTGTCCTTGCAGCGGTAAAAACAAAAACAGAAAATAATGCACTTAGTGATTCCGGGCAACTGCTTTCTTGGTAAGAGGGGATCAAACAGAAGCTCTGTTCCTATCCCAACGGTGATTTTCAACCTTCATAGATTGTGAACAGGTTCGTTTACACGCTCATTTATGTACATTCACAAATTTACTGTGACAAAGAACCCGCCGCAACACCCATAGACTTTCTGTATGTGTTGAACACTCCAATGTACTGAAGAATGGTATCTGAAGGACAAAACATCTCTGTCGTTTTGTTGTTGCACTTGGGAGGGGGCGGAAGAACGAAGGATTCGTCCATGAAGCTGATTAAAAATTCACTTATCAGGCTCCAGCACTGTACGATGTCATCACACGGTTGATATTCCAGCTACAACAGGTAAAAAAAATAACAGTTTGTCCTGAAAGACAATGAGCGAATTGGGGGAGGGGTGCCTTGAGGAGAAGAGGGAGGGAGGATAGGGTGGGAGTTTTTTAGATTCACGGAAACAATTCCAATTCTCATTAAAAACAGTTTCCATTTACAGTCAACTTTCAGAACGGACACCCTGTTGATGCAGACAGCTCCAGTTAGTGTCTCTACAACATTTTACTGAGGAGCACAATGGTAAGAGAATCTGCAAGCATTTTCAGACTTCTTGACAATGTAATGTCTACTAAATATGGAGTCACATACCTCAACGACAAGTCCTTTAAAACTTGGTCCTGCAGATACTTGGCCAAATTTAAGAACAAAATCTCCATACTCATACCGCTGACCTTTAGCCTAAGAATGGAATCAAAAGAGATGCCCACTTAGACACCCACTTATGCTTCCAGTAGGAGCAAAGGTTGGATTTTTCAAAGGGGGGAAGGGGTGGGGGGGGGATCACATGATGCAACACTCACAGTACTTATCACATTCTCATGTTGACCCAGACATACATACATAACCACTATTTTGACTCAAATTTTAGTGTAGCTACACTATATAGCTAATATCTTTGAGGAGAAAAAAAATTAAGATCTCTAAAACTGGAAAAATATACACACAAACAAAAGAGACAAAAATTAGTAAAAAACAACCTGAGCTTTCAAATGATGATTTTTGAAAAAAATTGGATACAAGGGGGCTGAGACATCGTCATTCAACAAAGGTGAGTTTTAGGATTTTAGCATGTACTTTGGTTTATCAATTTTCAAATGTTCTTTCTGAAAAGAGAAAGAGGGATACATTTACCAAAGGGGGGTCACAAGCACCCTAGGAAGCCCTCTAACTACACCCAGTCACAGTCAAGGGTGTTAGATGGTAGATATTGTGCAGTGAGTGTGGGCCTTAATCTTGTCTCGGTGTCGGCACGCAAATCCAAAAAGTGATGAATGCCTAGTCACCTTGCCCTCACACTTGGCAATCACATCTGTTGTTTAGGTATAGTAGCTGCAGCCACTCCAACAAAACTGCCCAATAAGACTTCAAGTAAGCAGCCCAGATTACTTTTATTGAAAATATGGAAATAAACTTGGTCATGATGAAACCATTTATGCAGTTAGCTATCCCTTAAGGGACACCTTTCTGAAATTTCAACTTCATGATGGTACAAGGTTGGTCACACCTTTTTGCTGACTATTGTATTGTTAGTTAATCACTAGTCTTAATTTTTATAAATTGTAATTATCACACGGCATGTCTGAAAACCAGCTTGCTGAGCCATTTACCGTGTTTAAATAAAGTTGATTGATTGATTGGAGGGCTTAGGGGAGGGCTTGGAGGGGGGTAGCTTAACAGAGACGGGAGGGGGGTATTTGGGCTTATTTCATTTAGAAAGGATGATGGTATCAGTTCTCCATAAAGAACTAGAATACAAAGTGGAAAAGGTCAAGTACAAGAAGGTTGGACGTCATGTAGACAAAGATCAGAATCAAATCCAAACTTCCAGTTGGTAAATAAACCATTCTGGATCAGTCCACACAAAGTTTTACAGTCGTAATTGATTAATTAAGTCTATCATTTATCAGTGAAGAAAAATAAGGGGAGGGAAGGGGTGCTTATTAACTTTCTCCCCCTAAAAAGAGGGGGCTTATTTGAGGGAGGGGGCCTATTTGAGAGGGGGGGCTTAATAGAGGATTTACAGTATTCGATAAAGGTGGTTTGTTAGATCAAGTTACCTCAATCTTGGCAGTTTTTCTGGGTGTATAGAATGTCTTTAACTTGGTCATAAGTGAGTCAAAGCCCGAATCAGCTACAAGACAGGTTCCTGTTTCCAATACAGCAAATGATGAATAAGGAAACTCAGTGCTGTGCAACAGATGAATCAGCTTACTTGCTGTGCCTGTCAGAATAGAGTTTAATGAAATTATGACCTCGGCAAATTCAAGCACACTCCTGTACAAAAATGTTTTTAAGATGTTTTTCTTAATTGACAGACAAAAGAGAAAATCAGAACCTTATTAATATGAAAATGTCCACATTACATACAGAAATTGTATGAAGTTGCTGCGGTAGGTAGTAGGTATCTTTGTAATAGTGAAGTAACTGTATTATGGACATGTTTTGGTGTTAAAGAGGAATCAAACTCTTCTGATTAGTTGAAGTGGAAAACAACAAAAAAAAGAAATCAGACAACAACAAAAATATTGCTGCTTTGCAACTAACGTCATAGCAGCCAATTTGCCTGACAAGAATAACACCTTTCAGCCCTCCACTGAAAACTTAACTCTTTTTCACGCAAATTCTGTGAACAAAAATTAATATTGTATTTTTTGGTTGGGCAACCTGGCTGCAGCTGCCTTGTCACATGATTGCGAGCAAAAAATGTTCATATTCTGAGGGAATTTATAACTTAATTAGCCCCATTTCACCAGCTGGGTGCTGACAGACATCATGCCGTAATTCAATCACTTATCTCACTCGGTCGTTCAAGTTGCCTTTTTTCCCCTCCCTTCCACCCTGGGGGCTTCTCTCGATTCCTCAGTGCCTCGGTTCGTTAATGAAAGATCCCCAAACAGATTCACTAGCTTGACTTGTCTGCTGATGTGCACAGGGAACACAGGAGATAATTAAAACTTTCCCCCAAAAACATCTCAGTTCCTTAAACAGTAAATCTGAAAGAAATACAGACTTACTAAAGGTTGTGATCGCTTGATAAGTCTCACAGTTAACACACCAAGTCCCAGTTTTGGTGGCACCCATCAACTCTGCACGCTTCTGTAATTTTTCTATAGCAAATGCCTGCTGGCCACTCTTGCCCTCTGGTAGTTCCACAGGAATGACACTTTTTACAGTTAAAAAGAAAGGAAAAATAAGAATTTGTTGCTGTTTTATGCTTGACACTAATTGTCGTTATATCCCTATCGTCGATCATACTACTCACCAGGTGACTCCCATTTTTTTTAAGATGATACACAGCAAAGGAAAAACATTTGAGGGAAAAATTACATTCTCAGCTGGCAAAATAAATTGATCAAACGTCCTTCAAAACAAAACGTGCTATTTGGCGGCCATCTTGAAACTTTGTCTTCTAACGGGTCCCTATCAACGGAGAAGGCACTGGGCACAAGGACAGATGAAACACTTGAACAAATGAAATCTTGTTCTCTTTTGCCATTGTTTTGAAGCCACGTAACTTTGCAATTACATCTTGACATTGCTGAGGAAAAGGCGAAGTTTACGGGTGTTTTGATTTTTTGCAAGGACTTTTATAGTTCAGCGATGAGGGCATGATCTTCAGCCGTAAGCACAGGACACCCAGCTCAGTGCGCAGGCGTTAACCCTAGGTGTTGGAGCATGGATCCGTTATATGAAGATTGCAGTCTTTTAAGCCTTTTAAAAGGCTTATCTAGGGTATAACTGAACTTGCCCTCAAGTGGAGCTCAAAATTTTTCTCGAGCGCGAAAAGCGCGAGCAGGAGAATTTTTATGTTTTCTGCAGCATCAGGGAGCGGCAGGCCTTTCTACTGGAACTAGAAATGAGAAGCTCAGGACTTTGAGAAAGTCTTTGGCTTTTGACGGCACTCAGGGTCACAAAGCATGCTGTCGTCGTGACCAATCGTAGAGAGGATCTGCTCATTTGTATAAATGCACCACTTCATGGCTTTGCTGTGGTAATTGGTAAAATCATTCATTACTTCAGAAAAAGGAACAATAATCACATCAAAGAATTAATGTCTTTTCTGTATATTTTTATTAAAACATAAATAAAAATATCGTTAGCGTTTATTTACAGTGATGATATTTACACATTATCTGAGGTGTCTGCGAATCGGACTCTGATTTACCCTGTAAGCACATCCCGAGTTCCACTCGAAATGAGACAGTGATTTTCAGTGCGTCAAGATTACGAGACAACGACTAGACTCGAAGTAACTCATTTTGCTTTAGGCTGCGTAGCAGGCACTTGGAAGTAGTGGGCGCAAAAAAAGAACGGGCGCGCGAGAGGGAGACACGCGTCTCGTGCACGAGCAAAGTGACCACACAACGGTATGCTTATCACATCTGACAAGCTGCTCGAGGTGATCTCAGTCACGACTTGTGAGAGGACAGTCTCCTTCGCGGTAAATACAAAATAAGATGGACGTAAAGGAGGTTTTGTGAGCCCGCGAGAATGAGAAACCCCCACAAACCCTTCTTTTCACTAAAACCGCTGGGCACAAATCCTCCCCTGGGTCGACGTTACCTTGTCACAACGCTCCTTCGCAGCCGCTCGGGTTGGAGTCACGCAGTGCTTTCAACCCACACACGAATAGGCTCGAATTCTTGCCGCTCTTTGGGAATAACCTGGAGTTTACCTCTCCTTGAAAAACCGTACCCGACTAAGCGGCAAAATCGAGCCTGTACAATCATAATACTATGATACAATGGAACTCGAGAAGATGCCTTAATATTCGCCTCTCCCCCTCCAATTGTCTTGCCAGCCTTATTAAAGACGAGAAAAGCGAAAAACCTGCTATCATTGTATTTTCCAGGTTTTTGTTTGCCCATAAAGAAAGTCGCCATTGCCGGGGGCGTTAACAGGAGCGTTATACTCCAAGAGTGCGCTTAGGCTAAGTGGCTCCCACTGCTTTCCTTGGGTCTTCTTTTCTTCTCTTGCGCCCATACTACTAGCAGGGGCTGACAGAGTTTCTCTTATATTGATCCCTCTTGGTAACCCCGTGTTCACAGGTTCCATTTCTGAAGAACATCCAGGGGCGTTATGGCGTTTACTGAACTCTCCTTTACAAGTAGCCATTTCTTCGGTTAGAAACTTGATTTTCTCTCCTCCGACGATAACGTCTTCTTCTTTCTCACGTGGGAGGATGGCCTCGCGAGGGGAGGGCGGTATTTGAACGGAGTGGCTATCTCCTTCTGTGTCTGTTAATGCGAGAACAGGTAATGGTACAAGATGGTGCGCCTAAAAAGGAAAACAAAACTACTTTTTAAGCAAAGTATCTGACAAAACCCTAAAACGATTCAAGTTATACACTGTATAGCCACTGAATAGCCCCGCTTTCACGTGGTACTGTTTATCATTCTGGACAAGGTGGTAGTCTAACATAGTTGAGTCCGTGGATAAAGTGTGACCATTAAAATGAAAGTTACGTAAACAGAACAGTTTCCTGGGGTACTGTTTATCATGCTGTACAAGAGGATCTGTCTTCTTGATCTTGAGACTGTGGGTTAAATTTTTATATCAAAGCAACTGATTGATAATTTCCCGTGGTCCTGCCTATTGCTAAGAGTATAGAACTATCTTATATTAGTTAGCTTTTAATTTAAAAATTGGTTGTATCTCCCTTTTAAAAATTTAAAACTCTCACCTTTGTCTTGTCCAATATTTGCCGTGGATTGTACCTCGGTGGTCTGATCATGGTCCCCTCAGAAGGTTCCTTTGGTTCAATACTTTTGACCAGTAATTTTGTCTTGTCACGGTTCATGTGAGCAACTCGAAACATGAGTTCCAAACGATGGCGGGTGAACTTAATATCCTGAATTAACTGGCTTTCACTGGCGCGGTCTTCATCAAGAACCTTATACAACAACAACAGCGTTAGTATTGAGTATACTGATCTAGAATGAGACAATCATCTCTTTCTAAAGAAAGACGCAATAAAGCACAGAAAAATTAATATTGACTACGAAAGTGCTCAGTTTTTCTCAGGAACTGTACAGAACCGTAGAGTTCCAGAAGCAACAAAGACAGTAACGACTTCCCGAAATTGACGTTCAAAATTTGAAGTCTCTGATGGTAAGTTCTCTAATTAGCCATTCCCCGTATGTAGCAGCTCTGACGAAAATCCAGAAAATTTATATTAATGTTTTCTTCAGTGACTAAAATTCAAAGTGACGCCGAGATCTTGAATTACGGCTGTTACATTTTGGGATGAGCACTTTGCACGAAATGGTCACATGGTACAAAAACATCTTGCTGTATCGCAAACCACGTAGTGGAACCTTGAAAAGAAAGATGTTAGCCTTTTGAATGATGAAATCTCTTTGTTGCTCTTACCCCACTGCGTCGTTTGGTTACCGGTCATTTCTCCCCCAAGTCTTTCTCCCCGGTTACTTAGCTTCCTTGTTTAGAAAGGGAAATATTATATTTGAAGCGTGCTTGTTTTGGTTTATGGCTTAAAGAACGAGGAATATTACATTTAAAGCGCGCTAAATGACTCGAAAATCGGGGGCGAAATGACCGGTTACCCGTCGTTTGCATCCAAGAAGGTGTTTTTGTTTTATGACGGACCGTTCCGTACAAGAGGCCTATTTTAAGGTTTGATGTTTAGTAAAATAGAACTCAGGATATTCATAAAAAAAATACTCTTTTTTATCTGATCTCATACCTCATCTTCCTCCTTACAGAAGCTTCTCCGGGCTGTTGGGACATTGTTGTGGAAACACTCTCGCAGGAAAGCTTTATAAGAATTCTGAACAAAAAAGAATGAAACAAGCATGTTAGAGGACAGTTGTTTAAAACTGCATTAGGAACGCTACCATTTTAAATTAAGCTCAAAAACCTAAAAAAAAACTAGAAAAAAATCTAAATACGGTGTTCAAATTGAACTCAAAACCTTTGACAAAATTAAACCTTTCGTTGATCATTTCATTATTTCAATCTTGCTCGCCAGTAGTTCTTTTACAACGGAATCTGAACGAGACCGGTGGTGATTTTACAAATTTACAAAAACCCGTTTAATGTCGATTCGGTCCTTATCATCATCATTATTGTGGTCAGTGTTAACCACAATCACCCCTCCCATATGATAAGACCATTACCTTAACATCCGGGGGTATCATATTGTCCTGTTTTTGAAGTTTAATTTGTGAGTTGTTCCTCAGAGTACCCCACAAATCTCTTGCTCCAATGCCACTTACTTGAAAGAAAGAAGTGGAATACACATGAAAATACGTGAGGATCCATTATCATCATTACTATTATCATCATCGTCATCGTCATCATCATCAATGTCACCGTCGTTATCATCATTATTTTATTTGATAAAGCAAGGTTTACGTAAAGCTGATGCGGACCTTCTACAGCAATACCGCAGACACTTAGACGCACACGTTTAACAAGAATCAGAACAGTGAAAGAGCGGTGATTCAGGGTGTTTCTTCCCTAACCATGCAATCGGAAACCTTAACTTACACCATTTTAACTTATTAAACCTGAGCGTGTGGTCTGACTAATTAATCGAGCTGCAGTATGAATTACATTTTGTTCTAACTTCTGATTTCTGTAGATTAAATCCTGAAATGACACGAGCTGTCTTCGTTGCTTTCTTTTTGAAATCTACTGAAAAAATCATGGGTCACTCATGAGAAGATCAACGGCAAACGAGTTACATACATTTTCTGTTCACCACCACTGGATTAAGTGTCTTCTTAGCTCCTTCACGGAATGTCGGGTGCAAAAAATCCTCGGCCTCAGAACCTAGTAACTTCTTAAGCTGAACATCAACCGGATCAAGGAGCAGTTCCTTAAAGTTATCTGTCAATAACGCACTCTCATATCCTGTACCATGACTGCTCCCTAGACTCAGTTGAGCTGGAGATTGAGTTTTGGAGCTCGTATAACTGTTACGTTGGTCGGATGATAGCTTTGTCATGTGTCCAGGTTCATGACTGCTAATAACACGGACATGTGATTTTAAACTGAGGGCTTCCTTCCTATCTTTAGCTGTGAACGTGAAAGAGATCAGTTTTGGTAAGAAAAAGGATTTACTGATAATGTGAGGCGCCTTTTACTGGTTTTTAACTATAATTTCGTATTGAGACTATTCAAGCAGGTCCTTTAACATTTTAAATTAGCTTGAAAGGTGTTTGCTTTTGCTTCCTGCAATTTTGACAGACTAATTTTAAGTCTTAATGCCTGCTGAAAGTTTTTCTCTTGTTTCTCAACAAAAACGCTTTCATATTAATGAATTTTCCAAACCAGATAAACTGACATTGCAGCAAGACTGAGGTTGAAGAACATTATACATTCGATTTTACAATGACTTCCCATATAAATAACAAAAGAACTTAATTTTTAAATTTTGGCATTTTGAGAACCTGGGAAATATGTATAAATGTTATTTTTATACATACAAGTATGTGGATCACAAAATTTTCATGACTATTTTCTATATTACATTGGCTGCAAGTTGAGACACCTTGATGGTACATGTTATTTTTTATACACAATAAAAACTAGTTTGCTTCAATGAGGTACAGTTTGACTGCTTTGCATAAATTCTACAACACTATTTTTTTAAAAAAAATTGGTTATACCCTTACCTAACACATCTTTAACAAAGTCTGTATACTCCTTTGATTTGGCCATTCTTGATAAGCGTTTGGCTTCTTTCAACTACATAAAAAACAAGGGATTGTTTAGACCTGCTTACCATAAAACAAGTTACTAAGAAACCATGCATATAATATTAACTAGACTCCAGACAGTCACAATGTTTTACTAACATTTTGCACATAGTTGAGTCACCAAAGATTATTATAACTAACAAAGCATACAATATTTTTAACAGTTCTGAAAATGACACTTTTTTGATTCTTAAAACTGAAAATTCATTTTAGAGGAAAATTGGTGCAAATAAAAGGATTCCAAGTTTATAATAAATTATTCATAATAAAATTTAATCCTAAGAAATCAACTAAATAATTAATAATATGGTATTATGTGGTAAGAAATACAAAAATTGTTGACATCAGTCTAAGCCTTCTTTAAGCAGATAAAACAGAGTGAATAATGACATTATGTCATCACATACTACATGTACAGTAAACCTTAAGTCTTGTAAATTGTAATTGTAATTTGTTTACCCACGGATCACTAAAGAGTTCATAAGAACTCGTTGAAATTGTATATTCCTGCATGTCCGTGCCTATTAAAAGGAGTTAAATATTACGACGCAAAACACCACTGTTCTTCGTTGATATATAGCAAACAAAACAACTTACTGAGTAGTGTGTTCCAGATCTTTCTAACAATGCAATCCAAAAACACAACCGAATTTGAAAGTGTTGGACTTTTTTAGACCTCAACGGGTTTCCTAGAGGGGAAAATAATATAAAACCACGGATAAACTTTTACGAAATTTTGTCTTTCATTCAACGATTTTAAAACATACCCGGAGAAAAACCCAATTAGATTGCGGCCTCAGGTTGTCTCCAGGGAAGAACTGAAAGATTCCCACAAGACAAACTCAACTACCACATGGCTTAGCGATTTGGTTCTGTGAGCTTGAGCATGGTGCCATGTGAAATTGCTTTCCACGACTCTAGGTGGCTGACTTTTTGACAAAAATCAGAACCTTTTTTGAGTGTTCCACGGATTTGACTCAATTTAATAGCGGAAAGAGAATCGAGAAAGAGAAAACCAGTTGAACGCCTCCATCAGTCACTTTTTGAGTTCATATGGGAGGTGTCCTCTTCTTTCCTGTGGCAGTTAAAGCTTCTTTCTATTTTTTTTCGTTTACAGTCCTAAACTGTTTATTCCTCCAAAGATTCCCTCATGCGTTTTGGTTTCTTTGCCCTCAAGCTATTTTAAGGTTCTTAATAATATAATATTAATAAAATAATAATAAATAATAAAGGATATTTTAAGAGGAGGCCTGATCCAATCACCAAAAGGTGGTTTTCAGAAGGGTCCTCTAAAATAAAGGACAAAATTGCATCAAAATATAACTAAAATATGGCTAAAAACTAAGACTACAACTAAGGTTTAAAACTAGAACTATTAAGATTAAAAATACTAGCTAAGGTTGGAATGGTTTAATAAAAACTGTTTCAGGTCATGTTTAAAAAATTGTTTGTGGCGTCAAAAAACTAGAACTAAGGTAAAAATACTATAAGCTATCGATCACCATACCTGCCATCGTTTTTGCTCTATTTTTGCCTGGCGATTTTTAAACAGAATGTCTTGTCTTCTGATTAACTCATGTTGAATGGAGACCCTTTCCTTCAGATATTGATAATGTTCATCCTTCTCATCTTGTTTGAGTTTTGACCACATTTCGTACAGACGGATGCATTGCTAAAGGCAAAATATAGAACAGAACAGCCATACAGTTAATTCAAGATGTTAATTGTTTTCACTTACCTATTTTGATATTAAGCAGATGGAAGGAGTTCCAAAGTCAACCTTCAACTGGTATATGTTAGAGGTCAAATTTAAATCCAGATAAAATTTTTTAACCTAGGTTGATTCTCTTCCTGTTTGTCCTATCCCTAAATATTCATGAATTACAGTAGGGCTAGGAGACAAAGAAAATATTGAGAATCAACCTAGGTTAAAAAATTTTAATCTGAATCTAATTTTGACCTCTCACATATATATAGTGTACCTGCAGAGCCACGCCCAAAGTACCCCCCACCACCCCTGGCCCCATCATTGAACACCATCCCCAGGGGAACAGGAATGAAAGTGGTACAGATTTAAGCCATCTTGCTTAGGGGTAGAAATTGTAGGTTTTGGTATTATTTGCGGTGTTCAGGATCAAAAATTAATTTTCTTTGCCCATAAAGGTATTGCTCGAGGTTGCGAGTAACAAAATGTTGGAGTATAGCCTCTTTTAGAGGTCAAATAAAGCCTGACCCAAGCACAGATTAGTCTCCTTTAGGGGTTTGATTTTAGATTTTCGATGAGTATCCCCAACTCTTCATTATAGGATTGCCCCCCATCCCCTCCCCCCTTAACACCATTCTTAGCAAAGGCAAGTGTTTACCTCTTCTCGTTCTTTAGCAGCCTTAGCTTCAGCTTCAGCTTTCTGCTTCTCAGCGCTAATGTGATGTTTACTCTTACTTTTCTTGGAATGAGTAGAGCTGGCAGCATTGCTGGTTGTGTCAATAAGCCTAAAAAAATTACACATTTCACTCGGCAACATTCTTAATTACATTGTAAGAATGAAATAATTCAGTATTCATTCTCTTTAGTGGCTTTTTAGGGATAAATTAAGAAACAAATATTTCAAATTAATCAACAATAATTAACAAGTGGGTTTATGTGTATAAATGGCACACACAAAAATTCATAACAACTGGAATTTAAAAACCCAGGGGGTTTCCAGGTGGGAATGTTGACAATCCATTTAATTAAGAAATGACCTGCTGTATTTCAAACAAATATGAAAGTACGTGCTGAGCAATATAAAATATTGTTTATTTAAACAAAGTTAATTGTATGAAGGTCGACCTTCTAGCATACATGAAGACCATTGCTTGGTTTTCAATCTGATAAAAATACTTATTTTCTTCTGGGCGTTGATTGTCCCTGTTTAAAACAGGGAAAACTTGATACCATTTAGGATCCACCAAAAAAGAGAAATACGCTCATAAGATGAACCATCACTGACAAAGTTAACAAGAGTCTAACTGAAATGTGCACAAACAAATTTAAGGCACCTCTCATGTGCAGTTGTTAATAAGCAAGCAAGGATGCAATCGTATAAGTAAAACTCAGCGGCAAGTTAACCAAATTGCAAAATCAAAAAATCAAAGAAAAATAGCAAATCAAACACATAAAGATGCAAGAAAAAGCACCAAAGTAAACATCGTAAAGCATGCATGCTTAACTTCATGACATCCAGTGCTTAACATCAAACTCACCTTTGTTTCGCGTTGTTCTTTTGGGTATAAACACCCGGTAAAGCCGGTAACACCGAGGAAAGCGACATCTCATCTGACCATTTTTCCTCTCTTTAACATCGTTCTCTCCATGGCCTTGGATATCCAGAAAATTAGAAGCTAATAAATGTACATTCGACTTTTCGACGTTCCATCATTTCCATAGCAATAAACATGAGAAGCAATCGTCTGCAAGCTCGGGAAAACCTGGTGACTAAAGTCATTGGAATGAACGCTGGTCAGGAAAAAAACAGGCTCGTAATATTTTGGAAAAGTCTGCTGGTCATTAGTTTGCAGGCGTATTGATGATTCCACCAATCAGAAGGCGCCAACTAGTCCACAAGCCTTGGTATTTTGCGTAATCAGCCGGTACTTTTTGAAACGTTCAGAGAAGAGTTTGAAGTCGTAACAATTTTATATAGATCGGCTAAGCTCTTTCCATTTGTTATGTGGTTATTTATTGTGCTCTCACTAAACACCTTGCTAAGCTTCCACCTTTGGCAAGCAGAAGCGAAGTTGAAGGACGGTGATTGTGAAGGTCAGTGTGCAAAATCTCATGTAGTTGATAGACTTCAGCTGTTTTTTGGACACGTATGGATAAAGTTAGAGCAGGAACCTCTTTTGATCAGAATCCTTTTAACCTGATAAACAGATCTATTGTACAGCTTTGCGACTTTGACTAGGTAGATAGAATTAAGATCAGGATTTCTATGACAGTGTATAATCTGAGTTTCAACTTGATTGAGTTTATTGTTGGGTCCAAATCAATTTTGATCTTAAAATGCAAATAAGCTTAAATTGGTATATGTGGATAGAAAAAATGGTGACCAAACACACCTGGTTGGTAAAAAGTGAAACATGATTCTAAAGAAGGAGAATGCTTGTTCAAATTTAGCCATTTTTGGTCAAGACATCGAGTGATACTATGCTTTGTGTGTGACGTTTTATACTTATAACAGTTTTTTGTGTCAATTGTCCGGCTGAATTTTTGTGGGAATAGGCCAGATGCTTGATATCTGTTACAAAAATACGTGAAAATATACAAAAAAAATTGATGTTTGAAAATCCTATTTTCTGAGCGTGGTTGACCCCCTGTTAATGATTATGCCTTCTCATAAAAGAGTCAAATGTTTTGATCTTGTTTTTCAGTCTGTATAAAGTTCCTTACTAATTTTGCCGGTAAACTATCCAGTGATGACTTGTCAGATCTTACCAAAATCCAGGACAAGTTAAAGGCAACTTGCAAGAAAGCAAAAACCAAAGAAAACAGATTTGTAAGTAAAAGAACCCTGTTGAAAGCTAATGGATCTTTACGCTTAGACACATCAACATGCTGCGTGGGAAGAATGAGAGTTGTACTCCAGGGCTCAATCTTGTACATAGCTGAATCATAAACTCCTCTGTCGTGTTGCTTAAAAGAAAGGAGCAGATAATACTTTAAAAGCAGTATACTGTGAATAGTGTTAATTAACAATCAACTGGATTTGCCTGTGGTTGAGAAGTCGAGTAATGCCTGGCCTCTGCTATCTATTTTAACCCTTTTTAAAAAGCCCTAAGAGTGATCAGCATCAAATTTCTCCTTGTAATATCAATGCTTTATAAAACAGAGTTGTCATGAGAATTACCGACATGATCACGCAAGATGAATTGGCTCGATATTTTATCAACTTCTTCCCACTATTTCTGTAGGAAATGAATAGGGGCAACAAATGAGAATTCAAATTTTGATCTTAGTGTTTAAAGGGTTAATCAACTTCACTGAGGCACCACCAGGTATATCCCTTCTGCCCGCCCCACCCCACCTTCCCCCAGGAATAATGTGCATTATTTTTTTCACTAGTGTTACTACATTGGAGGAACAGCTGATGCCGCTACTGGGATGTTAAAGGAAGTTGTCAAGCCCCTGAGTTATCACATGCCAGCAGACAAGATCTGTGAGAAGCTTAAAAAGCAAGATGCACAGATCTGTGAGCTTCAATATGGTGAGTGAGAAAATCAATATGTGGTCTCAGCATGCAAATAAAGTAGTGTCTGATAGCCCAAGGCTAGAGGATATTCCTATCGAACTACTGATCGTAAATTCCCCAACAGGAAAATGAAGTTTTTTGGAGAATTTAATTTACAGAAGAACTGTAGTCAATCCTGTCTAGGCTAAAATCCAAAAAATTCCCAAAATCTGGGAGACTGTACCGCCTGGTCTCAAGTGTCTGCCATATCATAAGTTTAAGAAAGAATGAAAGTCCTGTCTTCTAACCAACCAAATCTGACCTTGCTTTTATGTTCTATCACTGATATTATCTGAGATTTTATTCCTCTCTTTACTGCTGCCAATTATTTCAACATGATGGTGTCCAAAAAGAAAGCTCTTGCTACTTTGGACACTGTACACAAATGAACTTAACATCTTTTAGTTAATTATTATTTGTCAGCTACTTTATTTTCCTACCTACGTACACTTATGTAAATATCTTATATAGTGTGAAATAAAGAATTGAATTGAATTGAATTGAATTAATTGAAATGGCTCTTGAGCTAGTACGTGCTAGTTATATCTTTCCCGAACAGCAAATTATAAGACTGACTATCTTTGCACCCTGGGTCTGTTATTGGTAACAGCGAAACTCAGCTGACTGGTCTTCTTGATTATTCAAACTTTTTGCAATGTTCTGGAACTAATGCACTTTGTTTTCATGGTTGCAGACAAGCAGATAGATCTGAATAATGTGGACTTAAAGAAACTGCGAGTTAAACAACTCAAAAAGATCTTGAGTGATTGGGACGAAGATTGTGTTGGATGTTTAGAAAAATCAGACTTTATAAAGAAGATTGAAATGCTTAAAAAAGAACACACCGAGCTCTGATTAGTTTTGTAGTTCTAAATAACTTAAATGAAAGATTTTCTAGACTGCCTGTTCATTTATTAATATTTCTGAAATTTATACTACTTGTAACTTCTGCAAAAGCTGCAGCCCCAGAGTCTGATTAGTGGCCTATTTTTGTCTGCTTTCACTAGCTCATTATTGTGAGACAGGAGGATTAGTTTGCTATCAAAGACCTTAATTTTATTATTGAAGCCCCAGTATCCGCATACAAGTTCTCCCAACTGATCTCCATGCATTTCCTTAAATATTTAGTTGAGAGAATTTGATAAAAGGTCAAAGCATTTTTCCTTTGGTGATTACTTTAATGGTTTTCATGATCTTTTCTCATAATGATGTCTTGGCACTGTTAGGAGAAAATTTATGTGGCTCAAATTTGGGACTTGAAGGGTTTAAAAAGGGAAAGACTACTTTACAGTTGTACAGTGTTTGCTCCGCATTCCGTCCTTTGAAAAATACCACCGTGGGTGTATATAGGACTTTTCTCTTTTCATGTGGAACTAGTTAGCGTAAGGAAAGCTTTGCTGTATTGGATTGAGAAAAAAGTCAGCTGTAAAGTTACCTAGTGGTGGTAAAAGGGTATCACGCATTGCTTTTCAAATATGGGACTTATGATCAAATCACCAGTTTTCCCCTTCCCCCTAAGTTCTTTGTGTGTTCTATGCCACTTGAAATGGCTAGCGGGTACTATAGGAAAGCTAAGTTCTCTGTCTTCAAAAATGATCTGGGTATTATCTCAGATAAAAACAGTCATGATAGTAAGGTTTTAAAAATAGGTCATCTTACCTTTATTACAGCATTTGGTTGTGCAAGTGCCGTCATTGTAAGTTTCTTCCAATTTTTGGAATGAAGCTGAGGTAACATGTATGTATATTTAACTTCATCGTAAAGGAATTCAGAGAAAATTTTAATCAAGTTTGATATATTGCCACAAACTTGTTTACGTTTAGCCTTTCATTTTGTGACAAGGTCAAATAAAAAAATTTCTAGCCTTCAGTGTGATGCCTTCTGTTCAATCATTTTCTTCTGACCAGTATCACATGACCATAATGTGGGCTTTGGTGTCGACCCATCAAGGTTACATGTTTTTTTAAATTATCCACTAACAAGTTACTTGTTTTCACCTAATCTAGGCTCAACTCCCAGTGGATTTCTTTTCAATGGTTACAAGTTTATTGTCTGTAGTAAAATGTAAATTTATTTATGGGAGCTTCGCTTTAAGCCTTGGCTAAATATTATTACTTAACAAGCTAAGGATAATGGGATCCCGGAAAAGTTGAGTAATTATTATCCATCACAACATATTTACAAAATACTCTTTATTTGCAGATTGAATCTCATATTTTCAGCATTTTTATCATATATCGCCTTGAAGGCACACAGACTTTTCTTATGAAAAATTAAAATCTATATTTACAACCCGGTAAAAAAACGCTCTACAGCCGTATAATAAAAATCTTATCTACCATATCTATGTTCATATGTTACGATTTCAGCTAGGCATAAATATATCAGGCTACAAAAATATCTTCTGAATACAATGGTTCATTGAAGTGTTGAATAGATGCAGTACCCTTTTATCCATCACAAGAGACACAAAAGTTAGATAAGGAATTAGAGGGATTCATTAACACGAACTATCTGATCCCGAGGGAAATAGTTAAGGCCTTTCCCGACAGTCTCTATGACCATACACGGCGAAGCACTTAACTATGCCATCTTGGAAAAAAACTACTAAAGTACTTTTATCGTCGTTTTGGGTTTCTATGAGAAGGAACAAAACTATCCAATTTTGTCTTCTAAGCGCGTACATTTAAGCAATATTCAACACTATAATTAACCTTAAATCGTCTTTGTTTTTGTTTTTACAATGTATTTCGTGTTAAAAAAAAAACAATTCATTTCATCGTTTTGAAACAATATACTAAATTAAATTCCTTCTTCAAAAAAAAAGATAACTACAATTAAAACAACATAAATAACCTTTCAATCCCTATTAGAAAAAGAGAAATTCTCTATTCTTGACCTGAAGGGGCATTGCATCAAACTGAGGATGAAATTCATTAGCAACATTTACAAAGCAACATTCAAATGGACGTTCTTCAACAAAAAGCAAAACAATAAAACAATCAGATCTTTGAGTAAAGTGCATGCAGCCAAGCACTGGAAAGCGATTGTGACAAAGGCAACCGGGGCACGTTTTGTGACGCAATGACTGGTTGAAAAATTGGCGCACGGTGAGATTTTACAGCCAGTCACAAAGAAAAGCAAAGCAAAACTACAGCAGTCAAGAAACGCAACTGACAATCAATCTTAGGACCTCTTTCAATGATTAAGTAAGGAATTGAAAATAAGAAATTAATGCCGCTAGCTTTTAGGGATTGAAGGGTTTTAGACTAAAATATAAATCATAAGCAAAGATTCTCTGTAGAGTTGCTCATTTTTTGGAGACAAAAATTTCAGTTAAAAGCAATTCCTAAAAATAGTAGTAATAAAGAAAATAAAAAAAATTTCTTCTGCATAAATTCGATACAAAGATTTGATTGATACTGCGGATATCTCTTATAAAGGAAAACCGCATTAACCAGGCAATAAGAAATATTACAAAGAAACTGTGCAATAAATATCACATTAGCCTATTAAAAGTCTGTCCCTAATTTCTACATATGGGTAAGATTAATTAATTTAGGTTACTACAAGTTTAATGATTAAGTTTAAAATATCTCACTGTTTATTGCAAAGACATGAGCCTTGCAAGCGAAAAGGTAAGTTACAATATTTCTTTCCTTTAAAAAATACCACAGTAAACTGGATATTCAAACTTATATCTATGATGTTAAGATCTCATTGCTCTTAAATGGCCAAAATTCCGTAAATGGGACCTGGTATCAATAATGCCTGACAGGCGGCTTATACGTTAGCTGCCATTTTGAAATACGCTGTTTTGAATCAGTCTCCACAACTGACGGGTCGGACTGAAATGAAAAGACCCTCAACAAATAGCATGAGCGCATCAAGGTCACGTGTCATGGACAGGTTCTTGCACGACGCGCAAAAATTTCCTTGCACTAACACCGCTTCCATTTAGCTGTACTTGTTACAGATCTGTGATCACCAACTCGCTGTCGGGTACCATTTGAATTCCACCCGACCACCGAAGCGACACATTCGGAGATGTTCGGAGACTGTCGGCCTCCGCGGTGGTGCGATCCTCGTCGAGGCACTCTTTATCGCTACGTGATTCGTCGCCTACTTCACGACGACTGCTAGCGTCTGCTAGAATCTTTCCAGCAGCTTCGTGCAGTTCATCTTCGGAAACGTCGAAAGCTTCGGCAATTTCCTGTTCGGCAACCCTAACAAGTGGGTCGTCCACGGTAATCGATATTCCTTCGTCGATTAGTGCGTCCTCGAGAAGGCTTTTCACGCTTTCCGTACGGTCTCGCTCAATGTCGCGTGGTGAACAAGACCCTTTTTCTACTTCTCTCGGTGAAGGCCAAGGAACTATGACTCCCGAGGTTTCACTCCTGCTGCGCTGTCGTAGATATGCTATTGGACCGTGTATATAGCCTGCAGTGGGTAAAGGTAAACTTGAAGCTGCCTTCACGCCAGAATGACCTTTTATTGCAGGTAAAGAACCCAGATCATCCGGTTCTCTTAATAATGGAAGTTCATGATATGGCTTACCAGCCTCGCTTTCATTCGCGTTTTCGTCCCCTGATGTCCCGGGAACAAGAAATTGTTTCTCGCTGAAAAGCTCGGTATGCTGAAAATGAATGAAAAAAATATTGAAACGAATGAAAGAATGTAGAATCGAAGAAATGCGATTCATGATACAACAAACATGTTGTACTACAGGGGAAAACGTTTCTAGGATTAATGAAGCGTTGAAGAGATCGTTCGCAAAACTGGACTCGACTACTTTGTATTTTCTTTGGGTGACTAACTATAAGTTTCAGTCAGTGACACAGGCGACTCGGTAGAATAAAAACCGAGTTCCGATAGGGACCTTTAGTTCTGACTACGGCGACGTCAATGAAAACCGCCAAAAAGCAATAGGTTTAAAATTCTGAAGCAAAACAACAACTTTGCACGTGCATTACACTTTTTTGTACTTTTCTTTGCAGTCACTACAACGCTACTCAGAAGTGAAAATACTTACTTTCACGTTTTATCGATGGAGAACGTAAACAAGCGAGGTGGAAATATTCTGTCTCTAAAGTTCCCCTATACCTTTAGTATTGTGGCTAAAAATCCCATTTCAGAAGCGCAGGAAGTAGTATTTATTTTTTTCTGTCACATACCATCTTTTCACTGAGATTCGACATGGATGAACTCTTCTTCTTGGCCTGTACCAGACTCCCACTGCCAGGGAGTAAAGCAGAAAGGCGAAAAGAGGCAGGACGTGTAAATCTGTTTGGAGTTCTCATGCTGCAAAGGAAAAAGAATATATAAAAAGCTATACTAGTTTAGACTATTTTCCATCTTTTTAAAAAGCTAAAACCTTTCTTGGCTTCAATTGAATTCCAAAAAATAATGGTACAGTTGTGCTATTTAAGGTTATATTAAGACATTAGAACGTTTTCGTTTCGTCGGTTGAAACGGATGGCAAGCTTGGAAATGAACTGAAACTTGAAAAAGATGATGCTATGCCTGCAGTAAACACCCAAAAAATATATTATGGTTATTATGATAGTGTTCCCTCATGAAATTTGTTCGATATATTCTTCATAACTCTAAAGCTCAGCATTGAAATTTTGTGTTTGGGTACAGGTACTAAGTAATGACTTCAGCACAGAATAAACCTCAAACAATAAATTGCAGTAGTTCAGTCATCTTAACAAGGAAGATTTAGAAAAAAGCAAGCAGCCTTAACACTGATCAAACAGCATGCAGTTTCCTCTCAAAGTAACATCGCTTAGTCTAGAACCAAACGAAGCGTTACGTGTACAGTTAAAGCTTTTTACCTGTGACGCGGCGATGAGGAAACAGCATTTTTCAGACTCTCCCAGAAGCCTTTGTGCTATGAGAATAAAACTGTGTTACTTATCTCATACAACACAATTCTCATTAGACAAACCCGTCTCGGTTATGGTATGAGGTTGGCCTAACTATCTGTCGGTCGGTCGGTTATACATTAAGACCATTCAAATGAAAGTTGCTGCTGGAATTCTCAGTTCTTTTGGACCGTTTATTACACTATTCTGCGGAGTAGTAATTCCCTTGGGTGCGGTTTGTGCCTTGGTTCTAACGTATTAACAATGAAGATAGCATGTGAAAGATGGTTCAAATTTTTGAGGCTGTCGATGAAGGCTTAAAGAATAACCAGTCAATTGAAAGCTTAGTCAAACAGAGAGAAAAGAGGTTCTCCTTTTTCTTTTTCATAACTATAAGATTATACAAGGATTACCTGCGCTTTTTGAGAATCGTCCTCTTTTAAATACAGTTCATCATCATCGCTACCCAGCTGACCAGAAATAGCACGGCGCAGTTGTGGGCCAAGCCCGTGAAGAGTTCTGAGACCAGCCTAACAATGAAAATAATAATCGTGTCAGACTTGATCAGTTAAAAATAACAGTTGTATCAGACTTGATCAGTCACCAACGCTTACCTGCAAAGCCACAGTGCTATTCCCTTGAACTTCATTAGCCTGGTCCTGGGCCTTTTGTCTCGCTTTGAAGCGGCGGAAGTATTCTTGAATCAGGTAGGTAGCATAGAACTTGCCTACTGTAACATCGTCATCTGGGTAAGAAAAGAAATAACATTTTATCAGTCACTTAAGAGTGGGAAGGGTTAGATCAAGAAAAATCATCTGATTTCGACCATTTCAATCTCAGAGACATCAGAGAGATTTAAGCTACGGTAAAATCAAACTTGTCTTGCAACAAATTAGGTTGTTGCAAGTTGCCTTAATACTGTTTTCTAATTGGATAAAATTACGTAGGAGTCACGCCATACATGGGATTTACGTCACTTGTTGCAAAATATGTTTGTCTCGGGCCGGTAAAACGCACCAACATACACAGATTTTGGTTGAAGAGTAGAACTACTCTCCACTTTCTGCAACAACCTTCCGCAACCTCGCTATTCAACTCGTATTCGCAGGCAGGAAATCCTCCCATTTTCAATGAACTTGATATCACAGTGGCAGATACTTACGCGTCCCTGGAGGCTGCACTACTCTATCTAGGAGCTCCAACGGCGTCTTCGGCCAGATGCGGAGAATAATATTCCTGACTTCTGCATTAGCTTTGTCGATTGAACCTTTCCCTGTAAGAAAAACAAGGAAAACAAAACAACAACAAATAAGAGCGGAGAACCATCGTATTGACTATGTTGGACGTCTTGCATCGATTTGCCCCTGTTAGTTGGCACACTGGCACAGAAAATAAATCCAGGTTCCCAAGGTATTTTGGTATTGCCTGAAACTGGATTTAAATCACCTTGGTGAGGGATTCTGTACTTAATAAGCACAAAAAACGTCCTACCACCCCGTATTAAGACCACATTTAACGCCCAAGCAGTAAACCAACCTGCGTAGCTGATATGATATGAGGGCGAGAAGGGCCACGAGTGCTGTAGCTATTTGGCGGCTATACCGCGAGGGGAAAATCCCTCGCAACTCCGCTGATCGCGTCGCGTGGCAGCTCCGCCCAGCTGCGCGAGCCTGCAGTATTCGAATTAACTGGGTCCACTGCATATCAGTACAGGGCTAACAAGTGAACAATCATGCAATTTCTTTTCTTTACCAAAAGAGGTAGTGTTGACACTTTGCAATCATTTCCTTCCATGAAGGGATTTCGTTCTTGTTTAAGACTTACTTGATTTCCAATCTACATCTTACCTTCAGGTCTTTTGATGTTAAGAGAAGATCTTATAAGTCCAAACAAAGTAGCATTAAAGTCGACCATCCCATCCTTGGTCAGCGGCATGTTCATGGTGACCAGGCGCTGAGGAAAAAATGCAGATCAAATAGTTATATTATAATCACCCTTACGCATCAGAAAATTCTCCGCAGGGTAATATATAACTTTCTGGAATAACAGGAGGAAATACCTCTGAGATAATCGGTTCAATACGCTAAAAAGGAAACCTTTTCTTGACGCATCAAGAAAATTCTCCAAGGAGAGAAATCGCAAAAAATTGTGGCTGAATATATAACAACTTTGTCTAGTTGAAAATTCTAAAATGAGTAATTATTGCAAAAATCTTTGTTATCGATGTAAACCTGTGTCTGGGATAATCGGTATCCTGTCCTATCCTATCCTATCCTACAGGTAGGTCGTTACCTTGCAGGCTTCCCTATGCGGGCAGAACTTTCCAAATCCCAAGGGTGGCGCTATTCTCTTTAGCAAAATTACAATATCCACGTGCTTGACGCAGCCTCGAGCCTCGGGATCATACTCGGACCAGACCCTCACGTACTCGTCCAAATGATGTGGGCCGAGAATTGACCAATCACGAGTCAGATAGTCAAAGTTGTCCATGATGACAGCGACGAACAGGTTAATGATCTAAAAGGAAAAAAAGAAACTTTGTTGTGCCGAAAGAAAAAGAAACCTTGTGGTCTGGCAAATAACTAGGAGTGCCAACAAAAATTGTTCTCACAAAAATGATTTAAAGTTAGTTGAAATTAAGAAACAAACTAATTTACTGGCATTGGGAAATTTTTATCATGTGAAGAATGGAAAAAGAAAATCGATATACCACACATTAATAATACTCATCCCTTACCATACAACCATACAGTTGGACCATGGAAGTCTCGCAAATGATTGACTACTAAGGTACAATGCCGAAATGTTGGATTTGGCCCGCATTGATAAGATATGTACTGGCAGGCTCTTTGGCAACCTCGTTCCCAGGGTTCTCTCCTACACGTAGGAGAGAACCCTGGGAACGAGGTTGGCTCTTTTGCAGTGCAGACGGATAATTTAATTTTCCATCATAAGTACAGCCTTTTAATATCGAAAGGAAACGCTACCTAAACAATAATTCTTACCAAAAATGAACAAATTGAGTAGAATGAGACGAAATAGAAGTAAGCGAAGTCCGATCCACACAATCCTGAGGGTTCTTGCGGGTCCGCTCTAGGGTCGCACTTCACGTCATCCCGATTTGTACACGACAACATAATTTGCTGCCAGTTTTCGCCAGTGGCAGATCTAAGAGAAAAATGGTATCGATAGTTTTACCACTAAAGGGAATGCAAAATGTAAAATCAGTTTTGAAGCAAATGTCACCAACAACCGTTTTTGTTACCTGAAGAGCACCATAAGAGACTGAGGGAATGTCTGGAAGTTGTTATTTCTCGTTATTTGCGTGTCCGAGTCCAGTGCAATACGACCAAACATCTGCAAAACACAACATGTATTACGCATGCGTCACAGATTTAATCTAACTTCGGTTGGTAACGTATTCGACGCAGCGCCGAGATCCTTGTTCTGGGCCTTCGACGGACTCAAGAATTATGGGAAATGCGTCACGAGTTTTCCTTCAACCTGAGTGGCAAATCGACAATGGCATTTTTAACAGGCCAATCATAGCGCGTAATCAAATCCTGGTACACAGGTGACGGCCCAGAACAAGGATTTCTGCGTTGTTTCGCAGACGGACTTAGTTCCGTCTGTGGCGCAAGCAGTACGTATTGGAAGAGAGCAGATTTCAGTTGTGTTGGAAATACTCTCATTATTTTACTCATAACTTGGGTTCCATCACGCTTGAAAAAAAGAAAACAGAGAGCAAAAAAAAAATGCTCAAAACAATGAAAATTTGAGCCACTTTTTCTAACTTTACATCTTACCTGCATTCCAATTACAGCATAAATGAAGAACATCATTACAATCAGAAGTGCAACATATGGTAGAGCCTGTAACAAAAAACAACAAGGAAGGACTCTTGCTAATGAAAGAACACTCTATCTTCTACTTACAAGCTTAAAGACATCGATCCGCTAAATACAACAAAGCAGTAGGCGTATACTCGGCAGGACGTTATACCTAGCCGACAGCCTTCACACATCTAGAAATTACTTGTCGCTACTGAAATGAACGTACATTGGCGGGCACCATGTTGGAGAAGAAAGTGAACATATTTCTGCCAACAATGGCTACCCGTAGTCCGGGTTTCAACGAAGCTCACCTGGAAGGACTTGATAAAGGTCCAAAGAAGAGTCTTGATCCCAGACCCTTGGTTGAGAAGCTTCACGAGACGCAAGGCGCGAAACAAACGAAAGAATCCAAAAGCAAACATTTGCTCACTCTGAGAAAATAACATGTAACAACATTACCAAACAGACTGTGAGTGGTAGGTGTAAACATTTTTTGTTCTTGGGCTCCATATACACTTTGTCCCGAGTAAAACACAGCACGAACTCACAAGTTAGAACCACCCTGTATGGCATAATAAACAGCCTTACAGGTACCGTAGCCTTTATTTGAATGGTCACATTTTAGGATTTCATGAACAGACTCGAAAATTAGAGCCATTTGGTACAGCAGAGTAAACACTGTGTTTTTTACTCAGAGAAAGCATCGATCAGTAGCCTTGTGTGACTGGTCACCCCTAGGATTAAATTACAGGCTCTGTAAGGCCATAGTACTACTATCAACTATGGTAAGGCGCATATTACAACAGTACAATTGAAATCAATTTGCTCAGTAGCTTGCATATTAGCGTCTTGCATATGAATCAGTGGAGGCATTTACATGGAAAGTGGGTGTTAATTATGCATCACCTCGAAAGGTTTTGATTAAAAACTTTCATTATTGCTCAGAGAAGTTAACGAAATACTTACCTTCCAAGATCAGATGACCGTCAGTAAAAGTCACGAAATCGCTGAATTTTTTGTTTATTTTAATTTTAATGTAACATATTTAACGTCATTAAATCATGCAAAATCAAAAATCTTTAAAATTTAAACGTCCTACTCCAGCTTTTGTCTAAATATTTAAAAGCTTAACTCACAACGAGTCGCTCACATTGTTAAACGCTTAATTACATTTAATGGTATTTGCGTAGTTTAAGTAAATGAATGTATGATGCTTTATGGTCTTACAATTCTTTGTACTCGTCCATCAGAACTACTTTCCATTGCTAATTCCAGCTCGGAAATACCTCGATGACGACGAAAAACGTCCTAAAACATGAAGTAAAGCGGTCTTTCCCCTTAACAGTATTTAGCAAGCATTAACCAATTGAAATAAAAAAGCTTTTACAACATAAAACTTTAAAGTATAAATAGGCGATTCAAAGTGTTGTGGAAGATGGGTGACCTGTGGTACACTTGCATCTTTTCCCACTCTGGCAAAACTGAGCTACGCTAAAATTAACAATTCTTGATACATGATTATTTATTCGTAATGTTTAGAGTCCTAATGATATTAAAAAGAGGATGTTATAAATTAACTTCATTTAAAGCTTGGTTACTTTCAATTCGTTATCAAACTTGACCATTTAAAGTATTACTTTAATTTGCTTCAGCAAAGCATCAAACTCGCTATTTAAGCTTGATTAACTTCTGATCTTCAGTGGCAACATGCATACCAATGTCTTACATGCATATTGCCAAGTTGGGCGTTGTTGAGTCTAGCAGATGACACCAAAGACATGTACTAAGGTGAAAAACATGAAAGAGGCAAAGCTTCCCCCAACCCCCACCCCCTTACAGCACATCAGTTGTTCACACTCACCGAAACCTCGTTCATTGTTATGTCAATAATACTTCCAACTACAATAATGAAGTCGAACAGGTTCCATCTGTCTACAAAGTAGTTCTACGGAAAGAGAACTAAGAATTAGTCTCAGTCGTTAACTGTTGATATTTACAACAAAAGCACCATGGTTATTTTGCCTAGACTTGCTACAAGTCGACCTCATATTTTGCCCTATTAAGACTGAAGCTGGTGCTTTGATTCACGAATACGAGAACGACGTATTAGAAATGATACTTCTGTCCCGTTATTTTTCCATAATCTTTGTTTCTCCTCCAACCCTTTTTTTCTTCCCCCCTTTTCTATCCGTCCCTTTATTACTTTTCCAATAAATAATACTCCCTACTGAATTCCTCCCATTATCACCCCTCGTAAGTGCTACACAGGTTAAATCCGTCCCTGGACTACATATCTGTTGCTCATACCTTAGGTTTAAAAGCTATAAAATTGAGAATGCACTCTAGCTACCCCCTATTACTTCCAACCTTCCGTTCCTTCCTTGATTCTCCACTCTCCCCTCCCCCTTTGTAATGGCTCTGAACCACAGCATCTATTACTCGTACCTTAGGTTTAAAAGCTATAAGCTTGAGAATGCACTCCAGAAGAAACACTGCAGTGAACCCAATATTGAAGCCATCTAACACTCGGGTGTATAACTTAGGTTCTTCATAATACTATAGGGAAAGAGGAGAGAAAAAAGAAAACAGTCAATTATAGATAACTAAACACGAACGTGGAAGTTAGGTTTCCTACCAACTGTTCATACTGTGCGTCCAACAGCTGGTAATGGAGCCATGTAAGACTCTGAACAAAACTGATTGGTGTAACCATTCACCGATAACCTTGTTCTGGGCCTCTAACCGACTCAACGAGTTACCGGAAATGCGTTTCAAATTTCCCTTCAACCTGATTAGCAAATTGACAATGGCTTTTATAGCGCGTACTCAAATCCTAAAACACAGGCGGTGGCGCTGTGTCGCAGAGGGATTAACCAGAAGTTTAGTTCAGTCTGTGGCGCAGTCAATGTGTAAGGAGTACTTGGAGTGGACTAAGTCACATTAAAACGTTACACCACCAACTTAAAACAGCAATTCAATCCAAATGTCACAGTGTGACGACATAGCGTGACTCTCAGAACACTTGCACTGGATAGAGCACGCCACGAGCAGTACCGTGACACATTTATACATACCTGCATCATCAGCACCACTGTGTTGCACACAATAAAAGCAAAGATGAGGTACTCGAATGCCTGTGACGTCACCACACGCCATATATGGAACTGGAGGCGGTTATCCGGAATGTACCTTTTCAACGGTTTGGCCTTCAGAGCGAACTCAATACACTGACGCTGAAAACATTACAGGGAAAAAACAATAAAATCTTATTTCTGTGGTCGCAGGTTCGACCGCTATCACACTGCCAGAGTCCTACAAAGGGCAAGACCTTCATGTCCATGACCCGGACGCCAAAATAGCTTTAGTCTCCCGCTGGAGAAAAAACTGGGACGAGTTAGTTTTGACCACTCGCCACTTTAGCAAGGGGACGAGTTTCTTTTCGGATCGCTCTAGGATTGATCGCCAGTCATCTATTGGCCAATTTTTCTCCTGTCCCCAGTAACATTCCCAGCGTGGCCGAGTGATTAGAGCGCTAGACTTGCGATTCAGAGGCCCCGAGTTCAAGTCCCGCCTTGGCCGCTAGCTGGATTTGTTCCTCGACCATGCTTGTAAAATAGCAAACTGGTTCGCCTTCTACCAGTTGGGATTCTTAATCATGTTATGTTTCTTTTAAATTATTTGTTTCATTATTTTTTATTTTTTCTATGAGTCTTTGCGAAAGTAAACTCGACCTGATTTCCTTCCCGCTGATCTAAAGTTTTTATTGTTCCAGCTCGTTTTCATACTGAGCTCACGTTAAGGCTTTTCATGAGACTCTAAAGAACTAATATCAAGACAGGCACCTTAGCGTCAAAAACACAAACAAGCAAAACAGAAAAAGTATTCTCGCTAACCTGGTTCTTGTCAAGTTCACAGCCTTTAAACTCTTCTTCTCCCTCGCTTTGAAATGTGACAATCACAAAACCGACGAAGATGTTGACCATGAAAAAGGCGATGATTATGATATATATTATGTAGTAGATAGCGACCCACGGACGGTTGTTTTGGTGGGGTCCTTGGTCCGCCTCAGTCGAGTCAATTGAATTCTCCAAAATACTGTAAAAAAAATAACCATACAAATAGTTTTGGATAATTTTTCTCAAGATATTTTGTATTGTTAAGTACCGAAATACAAACGGTACCAGTAGGCGCAACAGATGAAGAGGTTTCACTTGCTTTCAATACCGAAAAGTAACAAAATTTAGGGCTTCCTTTTACTACAGAAAACAGTCACACGACAACAGTCATCCCTAAGAGCTTCTCCAGCGTTCTTATAAATTCTCAAAAGCTTAGATATATAAAAAGAAACGTATTCCTCGATTAAAACGCCACATAGATTGCGCTAGTGCTGGTGACGGAGGCGGCCGCGGCGTGCATTATATCTTGATAAATCACTACTCTCAGACGTATAATGCACTCAATTGATTTCCAATAGTGGGCGGGGGGGGGGGGTGCATTTCTTTGAACACTTTATGACTACTCACCCTGGCCATCCCTCAAAGGTCATAACAGTAAACAGCGTGAGCATGGCGTTACCAACATTGTCAAAGTTAAAGTCATGTCTCTTCCACTCTCTCTGCATTTCCTGAAACCGAATAGTAATTTAATGAAGCGTGAAAAGTAGATGTGACGTCACTTTCGTGACGTTACATTAGACAAAAAGCGTGACCGTGAAGAGACATCACACGTAAAAATTTTACCACGTAACTGTGTCACCGAAGAAAATAAGAATCAAGATTCGAATAATGAAATGCACGTACCACAGGGTTTGTCATGCCAGGTCCTTTAAATTCTACAAATGTTCCTCTGAAAGACAAGGGAAAAAAAAGATAATTAACTTACACCACGCCCAATTTTGCGAGCAACGATTTCTGGCGGTAGATAAACCCTGTTACGTGGAAGGCCCACAAAGTTGGGCACCTTACAAACATTTTAGATGAGTCCAGTGTCGCGCACAGTGTTGCATGTGTTGAAGCAAAGTGTTTCCGGGACTTCGCTCTTTCTATTGTTCAGCGAGGATGGACATCAAATAGCTCATGAATGATTAGCCGCAAAAAAAGGGGGAGGGGAGGGGTGGGGATGGGGAGAAATACGCGAAGAGGAAAGGGATAAGTTTTCCTCCCTCCGAACCCCTCCCTACGAATTGATTCTTACTGGCACTCTTCTCTTGAGTCCTTCTCCGAGTCTGTGCAGTAAAAGAATGTCCCCTGGAAAAGAAAACAGAAAAATATTTACTAATACTCAAAATAATAAATCACAAAATTTCAAATTTGTAAAATGCTGAGAAACAAGCCACAGTACGCTCAGGTATTATCATATAGGCACCCTGTGGTACTTCACGTGTCACAGGACTTTACCTTCCACAGTTGAACTCCAATAACAGCAAACAAAAAGTTGAAGAGCATCGTTACAAGCATGATGTTCCAGATTGTTTTCACGGCTACAAAAACGCACTGTACTACATGCTGTAAAAATAAAATATTTGCAAACACAATAACGATAGCTAAGAACTTTGTATTACAACAGTCAATAAAAACATTAAGTTTCTTGGATAGAGAAAACGACAAAAAGACTTGTTTTCCTGGCAAGAACAGTTGTACAGCTTCGCCAGCGGTCTAGCGGTCTTTTAGTCACTCAATCTAATCAAAAGGCAATTTTGCCAGTATTCCGGGTTTTTGCCCTCAAAAAAAGTCTTTCAAAATGGCTCTCTCCGTGGAAAACCGTCCAAAAAACAACTATCTTCATAGCATGACCGTCATGACGTACTTTATTTAGAGGCTTTGACTCCGGAATCCATTGTGCAGAGGCGAAAATCCGTCACGCAATTGTCACGCAAGAGGCTTTTTACCGTCGTCAAAATCGCCACTTGTTTCAGATAAAAGAACAATACGTGACAGGGTATTCATACCTTCAGTCCTTTGGCTCTGTTGATCGCCCTTAGCGGTCTTAGGACTCTCAGCACACGGAGAATTCTTACCACGGAAAACTGTGAATCCCTGAGAAAAAACACAACCACCTTAAGTTTCCAAACATTTTGAGTTATAGATGCGTACATAGCCTGTTCACAGACCCTCTATTTTCTCTTTAGAGATCGTAAGGAAATAAAAACGGTGAGGGATTTATTGACTTCAAGCGCAAGAGGTGCACGTCAAGCACCCGACACCGGAACTTCTCGACAGACACCGGAAGTTGAGACTTTCTCGTGTCCAGTCCCCCATGCACAGTTTTGCATTCTCATTTCGCGTGCTCCACGTGACATAAGCCTGCAACGCAGGCGTTTTCTGGGCGGTGCGCAAGTACTAAACAACTTACCTGAGGACGATAGAGATAACTGACACAGATACTACTAGTAAATCCAGAAGATTGAAGGCGCTGCGGCAAAACGAACCCTTATGAAGAATAAGTCCGTAAGCAACAAACTGCAAGATAAAGAGATGTTGAGATAAATACTGTGCCGAAAAGGTCAGCAAAGGTTTTACAGTTGGACCTCTTCACAACGGCCTCGTTGGGGGGCAGAAGAGAGGAGTCATTAGGCTGATTTAGCAACAGAACGGGAACGTCAGTCGACAACGGCGCGCGCAAATCAAACAAGTGGCTTGACCGATGGCAGAGCGGCAAATTGAGCACGGAGGTCGTGTTTAGTCCTTTCCGCTCGCTTTCCCGTCGTCAACTGACGTTCTCGTCCTGTTGCTAAATCAGCCTATTAACTGGAGTCACACAAATGAAGATGATGGGGAATCAAAGGTTCATTGCACAATCAAACCCATAAAGATTTAAAATTCTGTATTTTGTTTCCATGCTAGATACACCACTCAGTATTACGTTATGCTGCATTTATTTACGTTCATGAAATTTCACTTTGTTCATTTCTTTTCAGGTAGGAGATCGTGATTTTACAACGTGATCTAGGCTGAAGACAGCGTGACCAACTGTACTGCGAGCTAAAAAACGCGCCACGCAACACGATAAAGAATCGAATTTTGCGCCGTCACACAGAGCATTGCGGCAAGGTGCGAGCCTATTCGCGTGACCTAACTGGCGTGATCATTAATATATATGCGTTACATACCTTAATAAGAATTTCCAGAGTGAAGACGGAAGTGAAGAAATAATCGAAATAGTTGAGCACCTGGGAGAAGAAAAAAAATGGCTCTATTAATTTAACTCTTATTCATTAAACTGTAAGTTATATTTCTTGCATTTGAATTTAATGATGAATCAGTTTGTGGGAGCTTTCTTTGAGCAAACCGAACTAACGAAGGCCAAGTGGCATAGCATTTTGAAAAACACGTGTTTAGGCAAACTTTCCCAGCAGATACCTTTTCTAGACTGATTTTAATGATGCGAAGTTTCTTCAAAAACCGGATCTTAAAGAAGACTTAAAGAGGCTCTACCTGATTTCTCTTTGCGCTTGCGTTGAGTGGATCCTCCGCTGCCAAAAGAATACTGCTGACGATAATCAGAATCAAAACGAAGTTGACAAAGTACTTATTGGTGGCGATCTTGTAACAGATGACCCGGATTCTGAAAAGAAACGTAACGTTCAAACATAAAACTGTTGGGACTAACACCAAATCAAGGGGTAACATAAACTTTATTTATACTCGAATTTTAGAGTATACAGTCGAACCCCGCTATTTAACTCGAATTTTATTTTGAAGGAAGATCGAATTCCCTTGGATTTACCCTTATGTTTTCAGTCATTTACTATCAGCTATTTCGAACTCGGTTATTTCGAATTCCGCGCTATTTCGAACTCATCGTTCTTTCCCTACACCTTAAATCAGCCCCGTTATTTCGAACTTGTCAAAAACAGAGTACGTACATAAGAGCACAGCTGGGAACGTATTGCATTTTAATTTGAGCTCGAACAGAACATTCAAAGATTTTTCAATGCAACAGCATCTGCTGATTTATCCGACATATAATTACTGTATTTTTATTTAATCAGTGTCTTTCTTCAAACAGTACTGTATTTTATCAAAAAATGATTCACTGTTACCAATTTTACGCTTCCCCGGTTTAATATTTCGAAACCCCGCTATTTCGAACTTTTTTCCATTTCCCTTGGGACTTCGAAATAGCGGGGTTCAACTGTACTCATAATTGATGAATGGATTTTTTCCCAAGAGCGCATGCTCTCTCTGACTTCATACTCATAATTGATGAATGGATTTTTTCCCAAGAGCGCATGCTCTCTCTGACTTCTTCAAGGTCACAGACAATGAAACTATTTCCCGCCAAAATTTCTGGCCATGTTGCAATGTGTTCACGTCCTCCAAAAAACATGAAATTAGGAGGTTTCACGTCGCAGTCGTGCACGACGGCAAAGAAACATACAAAAAAGCGTGTGTGCACGTGCAATGCTGTTTTTTTTTTTCTAATCTAAACCTATTGCATTTTTCCCCTTCTCATTGCCCTCGTCGTTGTCGATGCTGCTTAAGCTGTCTATTGTTTAGATGACCGATCGACTTTAGGAACCAAAATTACCTGTTTCCCTTAGTCCCTTGGGACCAGGTCAGTATTCACTACCTTTGAAACGAGGTGGAGATTGGGCCGAGAAGAATTTCGCAATGACTTCTGGGACAGGTAAAAAAACTGCCAATAGCTGAGCGGCACGCGCCGAGGAACGATGCCAGAAATTTGCCAGAAACAATTGTGGGACACTTTCGGTTCTAGTCCCCTTCTCGCTGCCAAAGTGGCGAATGTCTGGGCTTTTATTACAGCAGAATTCTTCTACTCACATGTTTGTCGTAGAGAAAATAAACAGAGACGACTCCGGAGGCATGGGCATATAATCAATATCCTCGGTTGAAACTTCTGTCGGGATTTCATGGTTGTCTAAAAAAAGACATCACAATAAGATGCTTACATGGATGGATGGTGGAGGAGGTAAAAAGGGTTTGCAACTTATAAGCACAGCAACCCAAAACACATTAGTGACAAAAGAACTTGAGAATCAGACTGGAACGTTATTTAACGCTTTAAACTCAAAAATACGTACTGTTTAAAACTGGCTTTGATCCTCCGACCTCGGAAAGCTCACTTGACTGCGCTTCAATGTCGTTGTGAGATGCTGCCTGTTGATTAAAGAAAGATTTTCAGGAGATTTAATAATTAAGTTTGCTGTTGGCTCTCTTCTCTCCACTTGGAAGGGCGGGGGGGGGAAGGTTCCACCACACGTACGCTACACTTGGAGGTCCACAGGTTTATCGGTCCATTGAAATGTCAAATGTCACACTGAGGTCCATATCAAACGTCGAACTTCAATTTGCTGTGCTAACCCAAATGAGCGACAACAATGGATTTCCCTCATAAGCATTAAATCGGCACAAGTGATGTCCGACGTTTGATAAGAAAAGTATTTATCTAACTCACTCTCACAATTCCGTTTCCATTCAAATTGCTTGTAGAATGAAGTTCCTGGGTTGACTTGTCCAGCGTCCTGGAAAAATATACGAAAAATTTGGGTCAAACGCTTACACATAGTTTAAGTAACCACCCGCTGACCAAAGAACCCGAGAAATCTGGGTACAAGATAACCATTCAGGGAGATTGAGAGATTATAATTTGGTGTTTATAAATCTCAGATGGGCGTTGAAGTAGCCTGCAGCAGGATTAGCTCAGTCGGTAGATGGCTTAACTACAGAGCGGAAGGTCGCGGATTCGATCCCTGGGGCCGGACTATTACTCGGGGTCTTAAAATGACTGAAAAATGAAGGTATTGCCTTTGCCCTGCAAATGGCTAGACCTTCGCGTGGCTCGGATGACCACGTAAAGAGGCGGTAAGCGTCTCCAGCAGGAGATGTAAAAAATAGTGGTCTCAATTAGTACCTTAGTGCTAAATACATTGACATTCAAATAAAGTGCATTTGTTAACAAATTCAGACGCTCTTGTTTGCGCGTTATTGGAGTGACCATTCAATTAAAAACCAGCTGAAATCATCAAATTCCTTAAAAACCAACTCAAACAGATAAGGCCGTGCGTTCAATTTATTTTGAAAAAAAAAACTAAAAGAGGAAATAGAAAGAAGAAATCCTCTTGATCTCTCCCATTCTCCCAAATGAAAAAACTCCTGCTCTTACACATTTGACCGTGAGGCAGAACTGTGATTGGGCACCACTGCTCCATCATAATCCACGTTAGTTTGCGACTGAGCAGATTCTTTGAGTTTTTCTCGCTTTTCCTTTTTCTTTTTCTTCTCTTCCTCCATCTCTGTTAAATTCTCAGCATCAGCTAGATTATCAACGGCAATGGCCAAAAAGACATTGAGAAGAATGTCTGAAGAATGTTAAGGAATACATCGCCCAGACTCAAAGGTTGTTTATGTATGGATTGGTTACGTCTGAAATCGAATTAGCTAGTTTGGTATATAAATCATTAAATTGCAGCGGTGTTGTCGTCCTTTTTTTCTTAAACAGAGAGACGTCACGTTGCTGTTGTAGCAAAATTATTTTTGGATCTCACCAAAACATGGTCCTGCAAATACCGAAAAAAAATCGAAAACAAAAAATGAAAATGACATGTACGACTTCCCTGTACATGATTGCACTCAGGAACAAAGCAGTAGGCCATACTTTCTTCCATCGTTCGACGATGCAAATAGCCATCTCTGTCAAGAGAGATGGTGACGTGACGTCACAAGACGTCACACTTCTCCTCTCTGTTGGCCTGGTTATGCTTTAGAACGAGTCGACGTTGTGTCGAACTTTGATCCAGTCTCCTGTCCAAAAGAGTCCCATACTGCAATTCGACACAAAATCGCCCCAGTCTCACGCGTAACAATGACCAATACAGTTGAAGTTTCCACTACATTAAATGCCATAAAAGATACAGTTTCCTACAACCACAAGGAATATGAAGTACAATATGGGTAATATAGCGCCAGCCTCGCCAATTCCACCCCATGAGCGAATACCATCATACATGACAGCATTCCAGTCTTCCCCTGTTAGAATCTGGGGAAAAAAAAATTAACGGACAATTACAATAACAATGTCATATGTGACTACAAATGACTTTCCTTAATATGAACACCGAATCCGATGGGACACACCCAAGTGTCCGCATCATAGATGTAAAACATACAAGTTTGGCATAGAGCTATTTCGAGAAAGGCTGTCGGAACCAAAGCGCAAAGGTGCACGCGAGAAATCCCAAAAGGTACTTTGGGATAGAACCAATGAATTTTAAAAAGTACTTCAAAACCAGCGATTTCTTGCCTTTCATAACTTTCTTTTAACACTCGCAAACATCAATGGCCTTTCGTGTCATCCTCTCATTTTAACCTATAAGATGCTGAAGTTTCAGAGAATCACGAACTTAAAACTACCCATAATATCTTTCGGGGTTGTCGCGGAGTACTTTTCGCGTTTTTCCGATAACCATTCTCGAAACAGCTGTATACAAAAACAACAGTGCTGTTCATAGCAGAGTGGTGTCAAAACAGTAAATGGGCCAGTATGCCTTTTCATACACAACTTTAGACGCGGAGAAAATTTTTACAAGGAAGTAATTCACGCATAAACTGACCCTGCTCGGTAAAGCTGGCCAGCTCACTACCCTGTCTATGGGTCGTCTATGCGGGCTATACATTGGCTAACGGCAGACTTTTTATTTCGCAGGTAAAACCAGTTTCATCACTTTAGGTATGAATTGTAACGGTGCACTAAAAACCTAATAATCTACTGATGACACAATGCCTGTAACCGCTGCAGGGTTCAGCTCATGAAACGTTCGGCGTCTGGACCGGGTCTAATTGTTCTCCTCGAATTTCCTTCTGCCAACGTGAGGAGAAGAAAGATCAAACGAAAATGCAACGATACCGTTTCCTCACCTGAAAAACTGTTATTACCGCTCTCCAAAAAGAATCAAAGTTACTGCGAGGAATTTGGTCACCATCCATATTGAACCTTGAAGAAGAACAAGAGTGAAGACAACTTAATGTCTTATTAACATTTAGCCTGTTTCAGGCTCCAGGATAGCACACCGTTTTTCGCTCCCTCGCTTTTTCGCTGCTTGCCCGCCTTTTTGTTTCGTCTGAACTGCACAGGCTAACCAACATTCCACAAGCGTGTATTTGTAGGTTGAGTTCTAATTGACAAATGAAAGGATTGTGGCACACTTACCGACCACCAAAGATCTGCATCCCAAGCAACGAGCAGATAAGCATAAAAAGAGAGAGAAGTAGCAGTAAACCAGCGATGGATCTCATGCTGTTAAGCAGCGACGCCACCAAGTTACTTAAAGAACTCCAGTATCTGAAACAAAGAATTTAAATCATTCACAAACTTTCAAAACATTCTCAAACTGCAACGCCTGGACTGTTTTATTGATCAAGGATAAATGCGTGGATTCCGTGCAAGTAGGAATGTGAACAGAACAGACAACTGCATAAAAAGAAAGGCAACATTTGAATGTCCCGCAGCGAAGAAACAGATATCCGTGGGACTGAACAGCAAAACGACGGACGCGTAGCAAAACTACCAAAACAGCACAGTAACAAGCGAGTCATGGGGAACTAGACTACACTCACAAAATATCCCTTCATTATGAGAGTTTCCTTTCTCAAAATAAAAGCACTTGCAGGGCCGCACAGAAAGAATTCGTCATTTTAGAAACGATAAGGGGACTGGTGCCGAAATGTGTTCCGCAATTGCTTCTGGGATCGTTACCGGAAAGCTTAAGCAAAGATGTTTTTGAGCGACGCACGTCAACCGGAAGTGGATCTTTTTCATCAATTATTCATGAGCAGTGTTTTAGCCTAAATTTTCGGCAAAATCGTCTTTATGAGAGTAAAGACACTTAGCAATACAAATTTGTAAGCGTCAAGTCATATTATAAAGGAAAAGGCCTCACTTCCGGTTGACGTGCATCGCTCAAAAACGCCTTCCCTATTGACCAATAATAGGCCACTTCCGCGTTCCAAAAAGCCTCACTTTCAAAATGAGGCCAAGTGCACAACCTTTCTTGTGAAAATGAGTTTTATTTGCATGAGAATGAAAAATCTTCTCCATATCAAAGGCTGAGCACTTAACCTCGTTTTGAAACAGAGGCGCGGGGAAACTCGGAATTGGCCTATTGGTCAATTCTTATTCCCTGTCTCTAATAACAGTCCCAGAAGCCTTCGCGGAAGTTTCCTCGGCCCAGTTTCTTCTCGTTTCTAAAAGTGGCGAATTTATAAAGGTTACAAAAACACAAGACTTCTAACCTAGTTACTTTGAAAATCCTAAGCAAGCGAACACAACGAAGAACACTGATTCCTATTGGCCGCTGATTCATTGCCTCAACAATGGCCAATTCTAGTAAGCTACTGATAACAACCTGAGAGGAAAGAATCAACAAGAAACAAATGAAAAACAAACACAAACTCTGCTCACTATGTTTAAGGGCAAAATATGCGCCTGCGGAGTAAACAATTCCCACGCCTTTAAAACTCAAGTGGCCTGTGAAGCTGCTCCTTCAACTCAACTTGTTGAACATAAATTTACATAATTATTCAACTACTCAAGAACAGTATGCGTGCTCGGGTAGGCAACATAAATGAAACTACTCCACCTTGCGAGCTAGCCAATATCAACTTCTTACTAGCGATCGGAGCTTAACCAACGACGACGGGGAGGACAACGGCAACGAGAACGGCAAAAAATAAATAGCTTTAGATTTGCAAAATAACAACTTTGCGCGTGCTTCACGCTTTTTTATACATTCTTTGCCGTCGTTGGAGGACATAAACACAATACAATTTCTGAACTGAAATACAGTCCTTTAGAGTCTGTTTACATGGAGGTGGGGACCCTAGATAGGTGAGGTAACATGTGGCGGGTCACCCCACCTATCATATAAACGTGATCAAATTAAAATAAGAGATCATATGGACAGGCGGTTACCCCACCTAAGCGGGTTACCTCACCTACCTGGGTCCCCCCCCCCCCCCCCGGGTTCCATGTAAACAGGCCCTTAGAGTCAACGCCAGAAAATTTCTCCAACACTTAAAAAACTGAATTTAATAGAATAAGAGGGATGAAGGTTGGAGGAGCGCGAATTCAATTTTCAAGTAACAATTTCACTGCCGTTGCCGTTGTGGTTTCCTAAGCTGTCCATTTTCGGTGACACTTACCAGACAATCAAATCGATTGAAAAGCGATGCAAAATATCCATGGATTCCTAAACAGTACATCTTGATGAGCATCTCAACAGTGAATATGGCTAAAAATAATTTATTTGCAATATCTGAAAGCAAAAAACGATCAAATCCAATGAAAAACACAACATACAGGGAAGAGTAAGTCATACAGTTAACTTGAGACGTTCGTTTACTTGCCTCCAAAAATTGCAATACTCAAAATTTGCAGGGGGTGGGGGTGGGGGAGGAGTTTTAAACACGTCCACATTCATTTTCGATACTAGCCACTGAACAGGCCATTTCTGAGTTCCAAAAACTCTCACTTTCGACACGAGGCTAGGTGCGAAACCTTTGTTGTGAAAGTGAGTTTTGTTTGCACGATAATTAAAAATCCTTTTCATATCAATGGCTTCGCACTTAGCCTCGCTTTGAAACAGAGGCTTGGGGACACTCGGAAATGGCCTTAAGAGACCAAAAGGACTTTAAGGTGATGTTACACGAGACGGTTCGCCACGACGATTTTTAGCGCAATACAGCGTTGCAACATTGTTGTGACATTGTTTCGAATGGTTACAACATTGTTCCAACATTGCAACACTGTGTTGCGCTAAAAATCGTCGTTGCGAATCGTCCCCTGTAAGATCACCTTTACTTCCAATTAACATGATTTGGTGTGTTTTGATGGCTAAACTAGAACTTGATATACCTGTACACTGTGCAATTAAATTGTGCTGGAATACGCCGACGCTATTTAGGTCTGTTAACAACGAAACAGCACTGCTAAACTGAAACCCATGTTAATCGAAATGTATCATGTTAGCTTCTTAAAAAAGTTAACGCATTTACATCACATAGTAAAACTGAGCATCTCTCCCTGTTATTGGAGGCAAATCATATGTCATGTATAGTTTTCTTCGTACACGTTACATAGGAAAGTGCCCGTTAGCCTCGTACACCAGACAATTCTCTTACCTAAAAATGTAGTTAAAAACTCCGGTTGCCCATAATGTTCCAAAGCCAATGTTAGAGAATTTAAAAATACAACTACTATGACAATCCAATAAAACGCCTGCGTTTTGACAGCTTTACGTAGCTCTCGTCTCGTTCTGTGATGCCAACGTTTTAAAATTTTCCTGTAATATGGAAAGTTTAGAGAAAATCACCATTAAACTTGAGATATTGTCGGAGGGAGCGCTTTAGAACTGCTGATGATTGCGGCATGATACAGACCATGTATAATATATGAAAGCAATAAATGACCAAGCCCGACATGGGCATCTATGAAGTTCAATGGTATTACGATCAGACTGGAAGATTTTCTTTATTTCCGATGCACAGCAGGCCGGGACCAAATTGTTCAAAACCTAGTTATCGCTAACGCAGGGATAAGTATCAATCCGAGTTCCGCCCCACTGTTTAGTCTGAAACGAGGTGGAGACGTTTTGACTTTTCAGACTACTCACTTTTATTTTAACTAGTCATTTTGTAGGCTAAAAAGAATTCTTGGAAATTTGTTTTGTAAAGTGTTCAATTTGAATATCAAAATGATGCTAACCCTGTGTTGATGTAACCCTGCTATGAACAATCTGGCCAATTTGAAGTTCCGCCCAGTGAATCAAACTCTCTATTTTTACGCCAATTTTTATCAGCTACCTCGGATTTCACCGCAGAAGGACTTCGGTAGCTTAGTCGGTAGAGCGCTTGACTGCACAGCAGGAGGTCGCGGGTTCGATGTTAAGTGAAAAAAAAAACAAAACAAGAGTGTAAACATACTTTTCATTATGGCACCATCCATGGTGAGTGGTTTCTTGTGTAGCGTTGTCTTGCCACTCATTTTTGTCTGTCAACTCAATATCATCAAGTCTTGAATGTCTTGCTGCACGAGTTAAAAGAAAAACATATTAGGTAGCGTTCAAACTTGATGCCCGGGATCAGTGCCCGAGAACGGCACTCACTGGGCACTAATGTAAACACAACAACTTTTTTTCAAGTACCCACACTAGAATTCGGGCCGGAGCCGGTGCCCGAGTACAAGTCGGGCCGTCGCCGTCGTCGTTGCTAAAGCTCCACAATGAGCCGAGGAATACAATTCATTCTAGGAACATTTCAATGACAAAAAGTTTCGTATCCGGTGGTTCTGTTGATGATGTTGTACAGGGCGTTTTTAACTTTAGAGTCTGTTCTTCAAATCCCTTCAGTACAACAATTTAAATGAAAGCTACACAGTAGCACTTTCCCGTGGTTCTGTTTATTTTGCTATTTAAGTTGGTCTCACAATTTAATTCAGCGGATAAAAGAAAGCTGATTTCTTGTGGTCTTTATCTAGTTTTCCGCAACATGACTGACAGCCCGTACTCACATGTTCTTCTAGAACTTTTCTTGTCTTCGTCTTCCTCGCTCTCACTGTCACCTTCAATGTCCTCTGTTAGATTAAACAAAGAATTATTACAAACAACAATATCAAGCAACGCGAAAACCAGAGGCTTTTCTGACAACTGCAGTGGCTGTCAAATCAAAGGTGGCAACTTAGTGAACGTTTCAATCTTGCTCTCCTGTAACCATGTGTCACCCTCAGTTTTTCAGAGTAAGAATAAAGAGCTTAAGCAACGCCGACAACGACCGCAGTGAAAACGTTGCTAAAAAGACGAAATTTGCATCCTTTCAAACTTTGTCGCGTCTATTTGGACCTGCTCAATTTGTCAAATGTAGGCGATTTTTCCTGAAGTTGAATTCTTAAGGACTTTATCCAGGTTCAAAAAGAGAAACAGGAAAATTAGTCGCTGTATATTCACATCCTTCATAGAACGTGGCATTAGAAGGTTTCACGTGGTAGTCGCGCAGTGGACGTCAAAGAAATGTACTAGAAAAGCGTGATGCACGTGCAGAGCTGTTGTTTTGCTCACAAAGGTGATGTTACACGGAACGATTCGCAACGACGATTTTTAGCTCAACACAACGCTGCAATGTTGGAACAATGTTGTAACAATTTGAAACAATGTCGCAACAATGTTGCAACGCTGTGTTGCGCTAATAATCGTCGTTGCGAATCGTCTCGTGTGACATCACGTTAAAACCGATTGTTTTCGGACGTTGTCGTTGTTGTTGTGTTTGCTTTAGTTCCCTAATTTTGGCACGTTCCTTACCAGTTTGTTAAGGCATAAAGATCTTTACCTGCTTGTGTTATCCAGTCAAGATAACCATTGTATGCTTCCTCGACTTGCTGCTTTTCTCTAAACTTTTGAAATTCCCCACTTTTTTGTGCCCTAGCCTTTTCTTTGGCAAATTCTCTGCGAAAAAAAATAACGTACGATTAAAAAAAGAGACGGTTATTAACACACCACAGCCAAAGCAGAACTTTTAACTCTTAAACGAAGAAAAGGGGCACAAGTATATAAAAAGACTTCACTAGACAAGAAAGGGTTCGTACCCACTGAGAACACCAAGGACTAAGTTGAGAACGAAAAACGATCCCCAGATGATTAGCGTCACAAAGTACACCCAGGGCCATGAATTGCCTACTGCATCATTTATCTGAAAGAAGAAATAAATTATATCAATTGCAAGAAAAGCCAAACACTCCCAACATAGCAAATAAAGAATTCGTCCCTGTAAGCACTCGTCAGGAGCCATGACTTGAGCCGAAAAGGAGCAAGCTTTGGTACATAATTGCTAGCCTGCATAACAGGCGCTATGTGGGCCAAGTGAGGTTAATGCAACATTAAGTGCAAAGCGTGAGATGAGTGCAAAGCGCGAGATGAGGGAAAGAGAAAAAGTAAAGCTTCACGCGAAATGTCGCGTTTGCCTCGCTTGGCTCATAAAGGGCCTATTATGCAGGCTATATATTTGCATTCATACACTCCTCTTAAAAGAGAATGGGTAAATCCTTTAGGTGCCAACAGTGAGCAACATCAATTTTCTCCTAACATCAATACAATGTCAAGAGATAAAGTTATGAGAATTAATAAAATGATCACCAAAGAGAAAATGCCATGATCTTTTATCAAATTCTCTTAACCAATTCTTGAAGGAAATGTATAGAGATCAGTTTGGAGAATTTGTATGTGGATATTGGGGCTTAAACGGTTAAGTAGAATGCTGCCAGAGAATTAAAAACATACCATATAAAGTACATCTGTCCACCCCTCTAGAGTGATACATTGAAACACTGTCATGCAAGCCAGACCAATGTTATCAAAATTTGTAATTCCATAATTAGGGCCTTTCCAGCCTCCTTCACACACTTCTCCTTTACTGGCATCGCATTGGAACCCAGACCCCCCTGCACTGCAGGGGTGTGGCTCTTCCATAGCTAGTGAACCTGCAGTAAGAAGAGAAATCATTGGCGTATCACCTTTCAAATCCAAAGGTCTGACATAATGGACACTCCATAATAAAAGGGCGGGAATGGCCCTTTTCAAAGGAATGCTGCTTATAAGCCCTCCCAGAACTCTAGGAAGGCATCTTAAGTTAAAGCAGTGCCAGATCAAGACCTTGAGATAAGGTGGGGGGGGGGGTCTCCAAAAAATTTTTTGGGGTCTAAAAATAAGGGGGTCCCCTGGCCCCCTTTGGGCTCCTCCCCTGAATCTGCCACTGTAAAGTGTAATTTATTTTAAGAGTATTGTTTTTTCACTGTGGGAATTGTTGAGATACATCTTAGCTTAGATTGGTTTTCTGAATCTAGGGACTGCTTCTTTGCTGACAAAAACAAATTGCATTGCAGTTGTTGAATAACCCACACACAAGTACATTTACTTGAGTCCCCTAGCCACAGTCAGTCCATACTAATCATTTACAATATTGAGTTACTGCCATTATCACACATGACTTAAGCCTAAGCCTAAACTAGCAAGAGGACATGAAGACAGCTATTACCTGTTATGTTGTCATAACATGTCATGTGGAGCCGTCCCATAAACAACTCCACACCAATAATAGCATATATTATGACAACAAATACTACTAGCAAGGCGATATGGAAGAGTGGAATCAATGCTTTGATGATTGAATTTAACACAACTTGCAAACCTGAAATGAAATTGATAAATAAAATAATTAACGAGAATGTTTTGTTCAATTGGAATCTTTCTCTGAATTTCCAGAAGATATTTATGACCCATGTGGTCCTCTTTTCTTAGGTTTTTTCTGGTGGGGTCCAAATCAGAGTAAAGAAATGGGTCCCACGTTTGGTTGGTACCAGGTCTGTACAGATTTTTGCGCACAATTCAAGAAATTTGACCATTCTTTTTCCAAAATAATAACTTACTTTCCAAACTTAGGGTTATCAAATAAGCGATGTGTAAGAACCTTGATAAACACAGGAATAAAGCTTTTCCCACCATGCACTGTAAATGTACAGTGAACTGCTGTGCAAAGCAGACATAACAGAATTCTAAAACTTCTCATTCTGTGATTGAATGTTTTGGCTGCCATCAAGATTAAAGAAGACTTGACTACTGAAAAAAATTCACTTAGCCATAATTAAGTACATGTTGCAGTTATTCTGACCTTTTACCATTTTCCAGACTTTTTCCAGGTCTGGAATACTGGTTTGAAAACGTTTTTGACTTTTTCAAGAATTCAGACTTTGTAAGGAACCTGCAATATTTCCAAATATTTAAGACAAGGGCACTTACTTGGAACACCAGAGACCAGTCTTAGCGGTCTTAGCACCCTGAATGCCCTTAGAGCTTTCACATCGAAGCTTCCAGAACTCAAAAATGCCTTTACTAAAATAGTTGCTAATCTGTAAAGAAGACAGGCAAAATAATGTACAATCATTTCTAATAACTTTCCAAAAAGCTTAGAATCTTGTGCACATTAACCTGCAGAGCTGGCATACTTTTAAAGGAAAGCTCAGTGGTGAATTTATCTTGGACACCATCTTGAAAGCAAAAAAAATATATGGGAGGAGTGGCAGGTACAGTGGGAGGAGCAGGGAGGAGAAAGGAACTTTTTCCTCCCCTCTCCTCCCTCCACCTCCAGACCTGTCATTAAGGACTGTAGCCCATAAAACCTGTCACAGCTGAGCTCACTTGATGTTACGGGTGATCAAAGTGGAAAGCCAAAGGTGACACTAAAACTATTTGTGAGAGGTTATGGATGAATCTCCATTTGCTATGGCTGCTTCAGAACTTACTGACAGCCCTGACCTCCTCTATCTTAAATTCATCAACCTCTCCCTCGTAATAATTTTTTGACTTGCCCCTACTCATCAGTTTCAACATTTAGATGGCAAGAGAACATTGGTATCATCGTTCACGCTGCAAAATACCGTACATGACCTAATAAGTGCCCACTTCCAAATAAACGCCTCTTATCTGATAAATGCTCCCTCTATGCTTGGACCCTAAAATTTAGGCACCCTAGGCCAGGTTGTTCAAAGCTGGGTTAAGATGACCCAGGGTAAGTGTGAAATTTGAATTCAGATATGAAAGCTTAAAAAGTCAATTCAGTTTAATTCTTTCTGTCAACAAGTTGATGATTGGATTCCCTTAAAAATAACAGAGAAAATTTTCCGAGAAAATGCTTTCAAACAATTAAAGAAAAAGAAACCTGGGTTAAATTTAACCCTGGGTTAAGCACTAATCGGCCTTCGAACAACTGGGCCCAGGGCATTTATTAGATTATTCATGGTACACCTGCTTTGCAGGCTATAAACACAGTAACAATATCGTAAAAGGGACACTTTAAGATAGTACTTATCACTTACCCTACTACTACAATTACAAAATCTAAAATATTCCATCCGTTTCTAAGATAAGCTCCAGGATGGAAGAGAAAGCCATAGGCAATAATCTTTAAAACTGCTTCTAAAGTGAAAATTGCTAAGAACACATATTCAGCCACTTCCTAAAAACAAAAAAAATACGAAATGTCAATCATAATAATCAATATTATCGAAGTATTGTTTCATGAATAAGCATGCAAGAGCATTTTAAAATTTATTCTCACACTTAAGAGGCTAAAAGAAAAAAGACCCAAGTGGTCACAGATAAACTGCTGGATTCACTCAACAGATTACCTCATATTTATTGTGAAACAAAGAAGGAATTTGAAGCTATCTCAAGAAGCATTTAGTGCCAGAAACTAGTGCCCCACCCTAAACCCCCCCCCCTCACACCCCCTCATTAACCTTCTCTCCTAAAGTAGAACCCCGATATAACGAAGTGCCACGGTACCCAAAAAAATTGTTCATTAAAGTAGGGTCTTCGTTAAGAGAAGACCCCGTGATAACGAATTATCTGGTTAACAGCAAAAATATTTATCATAGCACGGTATTTTAATAAATAACAATTACCAAAAATTCAATACTGCCCATAGGAAACATTTTGATTCATTTGATACTGTAACTGTAAGGCACTGACAATCAAGATATCAACTTCAAAAACACTTTTAATTAAAGCAAGCCGTGATTTCTGCTCAAATCTGTTGTTTTTACTGACTGCTGCGAGCGACCAGACAAAATATTTATTACAGCGGGGATTTTGTCATAGCGGGGCTCGTTATAGTGGGGTTTGTTACCACATATTTTAAATTTTATTTGACTTTTGACACTGTGATTTTGTCCACAAAATTGAAAAATAAATGAATAAGTAGTACCATGTGAAAGTATTAATGCAGAGGTTTCACTTAACTGGCTACCGCAAAAGAGTTTATCCAAAAATTATAAAGATAAAAAGTTCAAAAAGTTGTAAAGCTCAAACATAATAAAAAAGCAATAAAAACAAAAAAAAATCATTCTTTCTTGAGTTAACAGGCTAATCCAACAAAATAAGGAAAGAACCTCAAGGTGTAACATACTTTACACTTAAAACAAAAGCAAAGATAATTTTATTTTGAGCTTCCAATTTGAATGCCTAGACAGAAAAAAAAATTGTGTTTATGAAAAAAAAGGTAATTAATGGTTATTAATTATTATTAAATGCTTCTATAAATTGTTTACTTTTCAAAAGCTATATGAGAACGTGATGCCCAAAAATAGAAATCAGGGATGTTATACGTTCACCTAAAAATAACACTGAATGTTCAACTGCCTTTGTTGAAATGGAGAGAAAACACCACATCCAACATATCATCAAACAATTTTGTATTCCCAGATACTAAATCATTCAAATTCTCGAAATGACAGGGTTTTTCCTTTCATTTTCCCCAGAATTGTTTCAGATTTGAAAACTAGACAGATAATAGGGTAAAGCTCTACTAATAGGCGCCCGAAAAACTTGAGATAAAATTAGTTAATAATTTATTTATTGTTTGGTCGCTTAAGTGATTGTTTATTTTCATTGGACGAAAAATATAAAAATACGATTGAAAACAAGTCTGCAAGCTTGTAAAAATAGTAACCATATCATTTAAGTACGTCCGCTAGCAAAACCTTTAAACTTATTACGCCCTTTAATCTGAAAAGATAGCAAACTCTCATGGCAAATAACGTAGCTTGTGTCACACAGCAAATAATTCCGTCGTCTGAGAATGTATTTAAGCTTAAATTTAACGCGTGGCACAGCGTTCTCCTACTTCATCAACGATATTTTAAGTCAAGCAATCAGCTTCCTTTTTTGTTAATTCAAAAACATTTTAGAGATAAACATCGATTGGTTCGGTATTCAGTGAATGCCACGGGCAGCGACGAACGTTTAATTCAGTGTATGTCCTGCAATTTTGACAATTTCTAGAATTTTTACATTATCCATAGAAAAAAATCGCACGATGAAGCCAACAAAAGATTTCCCTGAACACGCGAAAGAAACCAAGCAATAATATTTTACTTTATTCGATCTACTTTTGGTTTCATGCACGATTAGCAAGTTGTTCGCAGGTTAGCCTCGCTCAACCACGGCGATTTTTGTTTACCCTCAAAGTCATCAATTTCACACAACTCTTATGACTGTGAAATTGACAGCGACGATTTCAGCGGATTACTCGAACGCATCGCCTTAGCTCGCATTAAAGTTTAATTGAACAGAAACACGATCACATACTCTCTTTGTATCGTGTGAACTGAGCCTTAAGTTGCACAATTATTTTTCACAACACCAGGCGAGATAAGGCTTTGTCTGTGAGCACAAAAAAATTTGTCATACAAGCCTATTTGAAATCGCGACGAACTAAATTAATATTCACAAGTACGAAAGTGTACTGACTATTTACGCTTAGCGCCTGGAGACGCAACTAATTTCCCTGTACCTAAACAAAAGAAACAGACGATTCAAACACAAACTTTCGAACGAACAATCAACGACACCTCCATGATCATCTGTTCCATAACTTTTATTATTGCCGATCGAAGGCTAAACCGGTACAGAGAAACCGTGTCCTATGTCTGACCTCGTCTCATAAGGTCTTGTTTTGTTCCAACATTTATGCCTTAACGCTATATTGAGCCAATAAAAAATTCACCCAAAACTAAACAAGGAAAGCGTGTTATATGGAATACAACCCACAGCAATATAATACTAATAAATATATTTTTATTTTTTTTCACGAGCCCAATATAATGCAGACTGGTGTCATACAAAGCAGCGTACAAATTTCCGATTTAAAAAAATATATAAAGTTTTAAGCCAAATCGTACGGACTAATATCTTGTACTATCAATGACATATTCGCAAAGGCAAAGCCTAATCTACCATTCACAGCATGAATATTCAAACTACAAAAAAGAAAAATCCCGCAAAGCGAGATGAATAAGCAAGTTACCTACCAATCCTTCATTTATTTCACTGCTATCTTTCTCGGGCAATGGCTCGTAAGCGGCCAAAGCAGCACAGTTCGCAAAAATTGTGATCAAAATCATGACATCAAAAGGCTTAAGCCAAGAGTTAAGGCGAAAATCTGAAATCCGTTTAAGTAAAATACAGAAATAAGCAACAGAAACGTTAAAACCTATGACATTAGACTACAAGGCCAAAACCATAACAAGTTCCACTCACAACACCACATCGTCCGCAGAATCGAGAGATAAAAATATCAACAGAAACCCTAAACAGTGCTATTTGAAAGGATATTTCCACTCCACGAGATTTATGGCAGCACTTCGGATAGGATTGCCAAGTGACAGACATAGAAGTGCTCTCTTTGGCCGAACAGCATTTCCAGATTTTTTCTGTCGCTTAGTCGCAGCAACGGATTTCCCATACTTTGAAGCATGTCCATTCAGCCGTGTTCTGTTCTGCATAACGTCTGTCCCGTTCGGCCAGGGAAGTTTCGTGGCTGGCGTAAAATTGGCCCTGGGATAGCCTAAAAGGAATCAACAAAAACACCAGGTTAACAGCAAAATTATACGAAGCGGCGCGCCGTTGCAGAAAAAAGGAAAAATCACGATGCGGCAGTAACTCGTCTCGTGCTCGGCGACAGAGAGCTGTTTTAAGCAGCCGGCTCGATTCAAAACATCCAGGTAAAATACGCACCGTTTTGTTCCATTTTGGCTGCTCAAATTAGCCTTCTTCTTAAACATTTAGCTTTGACAAAGTCGTTTCCCAGTCATGTCAACAATTTGCAATACACATCATTAATTCCATATTTATATCTCACAGTTCGGTCTATCCGCGTGAATCGTCAAAAGTGAATTGAAGAGCATACGGGCACTTCATTACCACAAAGTCGATATTTTGCGTGACGTTGTCACGCTAGGTTAACTTCAAACAAGGGTTTCCCTAACAACAAGCTTTTAACCTACCGTGTTTGCGACGGGGGGCCCCCGACCACTGTATATTACAGATAATAGACAAGTCAGCAAGAAGTATCTTGAAAGACACTTTATAATCTTTTCCTAAAGATCATATGTGTACAAGTTTCTTCACCCCAGCTGAGTTACGTTCGAAGCAACCAGTACCGCTGAAAAAGAGTTTTGTATTTATTTTTTTCTGTCATTTATTTATTAATTTTTTTTATTTGCAGCTGCTTGTTAAGCTAGCTTGCAATGTATGTGATGTTTTAAATTTTTAGTTTGAATGTACGTGGGACATCCGCAATATGATTGAATAGCGGGAAAAAAATTTGGAAAATTGTACAAAGATGTCTGCGAAGCATAACAGATGCTAACGGATGGCTGAAAACATTGGTAAACTTCTGTCACTGATTGGTTCAAGATTTCTTTGACAAGAAGGGAAAGACTTTTCTGGAAATTCGTGCATGATTGATATATGAATACTGTATATATTTCTTTGGACTCGCTTTGACGCATGCCCAATGCAAAAACCTCCTACGCGAGTACACCAGCCTACACGGAAGTGGGAAATCGGTACTAAAACCGGAAGTTTTGTTATCTTTCAGGGCCATTAAAGCAGATATATCCTTATGGTCACTCACAGATGCAAATTTTTCAAGAGCACATGCAATATATCGTGCCAAGGGGTCAGTGATGTATTCAACCTCTTGAGAAGAAATCCGCATGAAAATATTAGTACACTGAGATGCGAAAATAGCTACCACACTGGTATGTTTTCATAGAAACCATTAAGCTCTGTTCAGTCAGTTTTTTTTTTTCAATGAAATTCACCGTTTTAACTTTTAAACCTAATTAATATCAATCTTCATCGCGAGGAGAGGCGTAAAAATTGCACAGAATAAATAGTCAGTGATATTTGAGTACAAATTGACAATAATTCCTCCTGGCCAAGATATGTCAAAAGTTGGACCGTCATTAGCGTAATAAAAAAATCGCTGAAAATGAGTTAAAGTTGTGGGACGCAGTGTCTTTAATATGTAATCAGTTGAGAAGGAGTCTTGGGAGAATCGGAACGTGGCAGAGGACAGACTTTTTGAGCCTGATGTGTTACTTAAGGCTGTCTGTAATTGCCAATTACGCTTCCTTGTGCGCTATGGAACTTAACGTAAAGGAATAAATATATTACTTGTGAACAGCAATATCATTGCTTCTTGTCTAGTAAATATATTTCCCAAGTTACCGAACAACAAAATAAACGTTGAAAAAACTGTTATGCTAACAATGCAAAGTTTCACTTAAAAACCTCTAAGTCGATCCCCTTAATCCCCTTCAAGTTTGTCCATCCGGCTTACGTACAAACTTTTTTATTTGCTGTGTCAGTGATTAATCAGTACCTTCATTTAATTTGCGATGAGCGTTTATTCTTACGTTTCACACAGTTTGCTGACAGCTCCTCTACTGTTAAAATAACTTTGATACAATTCGTGACACAGCTCTGGCTTCAATCGATCAGGGGCACCGTTTCCCAGTTGAAAGGTTTCCTTAAATTTGTTGTAATGGTTTTTAAGGGAGAAGGATGCAGGGCTCGAAAAAAGTGCCTTTTGGGACAACTAGATTTTCTTGTCGGACAAGTAACTTTTAAATATTACTTGTAATTACCCCAGGAGAGCAAATTGTGAGAACTGCTTGCCCAGAGGACATGCTGGAATTCAGTTTTTTCTTTCTTTTAGCCCCGGGGGTGGGGTAAAGCTGCGCGGTTTAATTGTTATTTAAGGAAATGTTGTTGTCAAAAACCGAAGCTGTTAAGGCAAAAACTAAAAAATAAAAAAAGCTCTTTTACTTGTTATTTTTTACCGCCATAAATCACTGTGTCTTTGGTAGTAATTTAATATACAGTAACTGGTGTGTGGTACATGGCTTTATTACATGGCCAGCTGGTATCGCGGCAGAGGAAAAACAACACCTTTTTAAAAAAACATATTAACATTATTTTTTTTTTTAAAAACTGTTTACCTATTAAAGTCGTCTTAAACAATACTTTTCAAATGATCCCTTTTTTTCAATATGAATCTTTTTTTAATTAGCGATCTTTGAAAGTGAAAGGCATGTAAGTTCACTCTGTTTAAGCGCCATTAAATTGGCCTCCGTTTAGTTGCAATAGCTTTATAAATAGCCTTTAATTTCCCATCGACCTTAGCTCGGCACAGCCGCCCCTCGTCATCACTTCCCCCAACCGGAGGCTCTTGAGGTTGAACGACCCCCCTTTCCTGTTCCTGACAGGCTTAGGGATGATAGAGGGCAGGCCTCGTTTATTTACTATTTATTTATTTATTTATTTATTTATAAAACTTCCCGACAGCGATGAAAAATAATTTTAAAAAAGCACTTACGTAAAAAGATTATATCCATATGTAGCTACTTCATGCTGCATACTGCGAGTTTTGACGGATAGGTGACCAGTTCAAGCAGAAAAATAGTTAATCAAAATATTTTCTGATGTATATCAAATATTTCCAATCCTTCAGGTTTGAAATGTTATTTATTGCTCTCCATTAAGCCTTTGTTTTTTAGTCAATTGAAAACCTAACTTCAAAATTCTAGTTCTTTTTTCTAAACACTGCGAATCATAGATTGGCCTATTGCATTCATACAATTGAACCTCCGAGACAAGCCTAAAAGCGGAGCTCTTACACAAGGCTAACTATTATCTCGAAACTTCGAACCATAGCAAGAACAGGAGAGAATGGTTTGCTTCCTTGTGTCTGCATTCTGCTCCCCGGGGGGGTACTTTGGTTAATTTTGCTGGGTATGTGCCGCTGGCCTCTCAGAGCCCCTACCCCTTTAGAGTCTATTCTGTGGCCAATTATAGACCCCATCTTAGTCACTTTTAGACAAATATGTAATTTTCGCGATCCCAACTTAGTCACTTTCTATTTATGTATCTACCTTATCAATCCTTTAAATAGGTCATCCTAAAATGAGTTAACCCTTTTTTTTTCTGAAATTGAATGAAGAACACTTTACTTTTCACCGACAGTACAAACATTCTGGTACGTTTGCCAACCGTAACTTGAAGAACTGTATTGCCCGAAAAATCCAAACATGTGCGACCCCATTATAGTTAATCCTGTCGTGAAAATGCGATTCCATCCAGCGGCACATCCCCATTAGCTTCTTATAAGGGAGTAACACCCACCGGCATTCTGCTATTGGGCCGGATGACATACAATTGCCGGCCAAGAAAACCTGGGTTTGTCTACGATTTTCCGCCAAAAACGAGGCGTTCAATTGAACGTGACGACTTTTGGGGCCATTTTAACTCCCAAGAGAAACTGAAGACAATGCTTATGCAAAATTTTGGAGTGACCAAAGAAGAGTATTATGGTATGTTAAGGTATTTTCTGGAGTGCTAAATTGGCTTAATTGATAGTTGTGGACGGACAAACACCCCGCTGACGTCACGACTGACATTTCTCACATCGATCCTCGTCCCCAGGGCGCTTTTCCCTGGCTTTGGCGGTGGTCCACCCCAACTCGAAAGCCAGGGAACAGCGCCCTGGGGACGAGGTTGTAAAATATCATCTTTCCTCGCCCATGGTGCTCTGCTTGGCCTCGTTCGCGCGCGGAGCTCCGCTTTAACGAATCGAAGTGCGAGGGGACTTGACGACAAATTAAGGAAAGGAAAGGAAAGTTAAATCGGGTTCCTGTTCAATGTATTCTACTGGTCAGGGAAACATGATTTTTGTTACTGCCTGAGGCAGGAATTTTGTTAGAGGGGTTTCATTATATTGTACTTGCAGTAACACCCAGAGTTTTTTTTTTCAGTTCTAAGTTAGCTTACTAACGGCGTAACTAACACTAGGAAACAGGGTTTTGATCAATGTGAGTTATCATTGTAAAATGTGGTGCTGAACTTTAGAAGTTTGCGAGGTAGTGAGATCACAGAGTGCGACCATTTAAAAAGTTGTAAAGCCTTTTTAAAAAAGTCGCCATCTCCTGTGGCGCTGTTTATTATGCTACGCGAGGTGCTTTTAAACTATTGCATGAATTTTTGTGGCATAAAAGAAAGCATTTCCGTATCAATTTGCTGAATTGGTGATCTAATATGAGATTAAAATATGCTCTAGCCGAGGCTGTGATATATATTCTTATTCGTCTGTGTAACTCTAAACTATGACCATTGCATTACTATATCTTCTACAATGTTTGGAATTATGTAGTTATATGAATTTGAGTCACTTTACTTGGAATTATTATAATTTCAAAAAAGAGTTATTAATTTCAAAAATTTATGAGGCATGAACGCAGTCAATTAATTGTACGAGGGTTGAAATTTCTTGACGTAACATAGGTATCGAGTTGTGCTAGCTTATTCAAAAAACGTCATTTCACAGCACTGTTCGGTCCGGGTTCTGTTTATTGCGCCGAAGTGTGGCCATTCAAAATAAAAACCCTGGTGGAACATTATGTTTCCTGCTGGGAAACAATTTGTTTGTCGATCTTTCTTGCGTAGAAAAGATGGAACATTTTGTTGCTCTATTGCTCTTGACCGCTATGTGGGTACTGCGTGAGTTCCTTTAACAATTCGCACATTCTGTAGCATCCGCTTGGCACACCCTTCTAACAAATATAATCATTCCCTCTTGACGCATTCTCCTTTTTTTGTCTCATTATCCCTGCTAATGAAAGGGTTAAACTTTAAGCAAAAATTAACCTCGCACGTTCCAATTAGCTGAAAAAGTAAGGGTAACTGTTTCAGCTTGGAGTCATTTGTTTTTTAGCTGGCCATTCAGAACTGAGAAGATTACGTAAGTGCTGCCCAAATAAGTATTTTCAGAGCATTTAACTGTCTGGCATGTTAAAATTTCATCTGCAACAAAAGTCTTATTTGCTGAAAAGATTAATTCACAAGGTCAAAACACGATGTGAAAAACATAACTCTTGAACCATGAATGTGGTAATCATCGATAGCTGCTGAATCGAATGATCAGAATGAAACCTTTTATTTGTTTTTCAGTACTCTGTAAAATGGGTTTCTCAGTTTTTGAGTCTGGAGACACTTTTTTTCGGTAAAACATAAGAAAGTTGATATTGTTTTTTCATTTTTCTCCGCTACTTTGAGAACAGACAATCGTGATTGAACCGAAACGAACGAAGTCACTGAAAATAACACTTTTTGAACTTGTTCATAACAAAAAAAATGATATTGCCACCACTAATATACAATTTAATAAGAGAGAAAAAAAAACATCCTTATGAGCAAGTATCGGAAACATGTTTGAAGTGAAATTTGGGGTTGCAAATCCAAGCTAGATGAACTGAAGTGGAACGTACAGTTTAGCAAAGGTGGAACTTAACTAACGGTGAAGAAAGGGATATCATGTTAGTAACGTTTCAAATTTTGCAGCTATTACCCAGTTTATGTAGCTTGAATTCCCCTACGTACATCATTTTCAGCAGGTTGCGATCCCAGTATTTCAACAAAACTTATAAAAAAGAAGCTCAACTGATGCATAATCACCACCCTGAATGCCCTGAATATACCAAAATTTATGGTTACTGCATACCTTTATAACTTGAATAACTTTGCTGATGGATGGCCTTCTTACAAGAAACGTTTCCAGCGGTTCCATAATTGCCTTCGATTCTCTTGAGCATGATGTTATCTTGATAGTTTGCTACTTTTGTTGTGTGCAGTAATTATAGAACTATGCAGCTCTATTAGTCGTTATCACAGCGCGGGTGGCAGGGTGGTATATCTTGCTGTTCATTGTGTATTGTTAAAGGACAATTGGAGCAAAATTGAAAATTTAAACATTGGAAGGTTGAAAGATTGATTTGGCCAAGGATGGCGGATTCAAGAAGAGAAAAGAATTTAGGAAATATAGTACGAATTTTTCGGTAGGAAAATCAAAGGCTCCTAGGAGCGAGTTCATGGATGAATTGAATCGTAAACGAGCATGGGTGCTAAGTACCACTGCTCTTGGATTTCGTGATTGATTTTCGTTGTTATTGACAACCGAATGTTGAAGATTATCACCTCTGTATTCATAGTAACTGTAAGGCTTGAGAAACATTCCGTTTTGAGATTCATTTGTTTTAAACTGCTTGGGCACTGTAACATATTCACTTTTCTCCTTAGTTTTTTTCTTATATTTCATGACTTTCTCTGTGTGTTGGTTACTTGACAGATCATGTTTACATTTCTTTAGCATTTGACTTTGGGCATGTGTTTTTTGGCATCTGCTTTTTGGCATACAGTGTCGGTTCTTTAAAAAGCATTTCGTCAGCATTTCTCCGGTAACTTTTTAGCATCTCTACAGCACTCATGCTTTTAAGGGAGCTAGATCCTTGCCCGAAGCTGTAGGTGTTCTGACCTTACTACTACCCTCTAGAATATGCCAAACATGTGCATAAAAGGCACTTGGAACAAAAGTAATACTAAGTAAGGGAGGAAAGAGTAAATTGCTTAATTTGACTTAAATGGAATAAATTAATTAGAATCGAGTGAGCGAGTGAGTGAGTGAGTGAGTGAGTGAGTGATCGAGTGCCATTCGAGTGCCTCCAAAAGCCCATGGCAGTGACTACGTCATCCATCAGCTAAAAAATAAGACAGGCTTCTGTGGCTTTAGATAGCAAGGATAAATTTCATGGGTGTGCGTTAATATAATAACATATAAAATCTTGAAAAACGTTAAGACGAAAAAGAAGAATAAAAACAAGAAAACTCAAAATAACAATAGATGTACTTCCTGAAAGACTTACATAGTTTGTGAGTTTCCGGCCGGCACTCATGCAGTATGAAAGCGTCTTTGGTGATGCCTTACATAACGTAGCAACTGTATCATTCAATATGGCGGCAGAGAGGGGATCGACCTCGTCAGTTGTCAAACTAAATCTAAGTGCGATTAAAAAGAGCGATCAATATGTGGTAAATATTATAGATAATGCTTCACAAGTGGCACTCTATAAATTTAACGGAACGACACAGGCGTGGGTAAGTACAGCTCAGCTCATTTTTCTACACGTGTGATCATAAACTGCTTTCGTTTACATTTGTGCGACCGTCAGTCGTTTTTGGTGTTATCAGTGTGGATCTATTTCCTTACGAAGTCGTAGAAGAGATCAAGATGCTTGGTATTGCTCTATCATTTCAAAAATATGTCCAATAGTTTTAAATCACCTGCAGATAAGTCTTTTTAATTTAATTGAAATCTATATATCAGCTGTATTAAATAATGACATCTTTCGGTTACGTGACTGTACAGGTCATGAGTATAAAAATTTATCACATAGATGCGCTTGCATGATGCACTATAAAGCTAAATCGGTGAAGAAACAATAATGAATGCGTAATTGAGGGAATTGACATAAAAAAATGAGGGCGTTAGATACTAAAACAGTGCCAACAGACCAATTTACAGTTAAGAATGGAAACGTGGCTGGAGTTGATTGATACAACCCTTCCTGCTTTCTTATGTAAATCTTATCGTTCTTATCCCAACTAGTATTTTTCAAGCATAATTTCCATAAGAAAACAAAGGGGGTTTGTATCAAAACGTTGTCAACCCCAGCCTCGCATTCACTCGAAGGCTAGCGTACTAAGCATTCAACTGTAAAATGGTCTATTCGTTCACGTTTCATGTAAACTATGGCCTTTCATTTGGCAGCTGATGGAACAGGGGGTTGTGGGGAGGGGGAAGGATGAGAATAAGATTCTTTGGAGTTGGGGGGGGTTGGATGGTTTACGAGGAAACGTTTACCCCCAGGTAATGTCCCCCAACCAAAAATTTTAACAACAAATTACAATGTGTTCATAATCACACTATTTCTGTAATCAGGTGGTCCTCAGGAAAACAAATTATGAAGCAACTTCAGATCACCCTGCCACTTGTTGGGACACTTTAAAGCATAAAACAATAGGTACTTTTGTTATTCAATGAGATGCAAATAAGTGGCAGGGTATGGTGAAGTTCAAATTAATATAAGAAGAAAACTAATAATTGTCAGAATGGAGATGTGTAGGGAAACATTGACTTGTGGCTGTTGTAGCGAGATGACTCATATGGATAGGTGGCTGTTAGTGGAGTTTTGACTGTATTTAGACCTCCTACAATTCTCCTCATACAGGGGCACCCAACGGCAATTTTTGGGAAAATATCTGTTCGGAAGACGATTTGAGATCTAGAATTTTCGGAGCATTTGTTGTAAAATTTCTTGCTTGCCTGCCTCTCCTAGGATTTTCGAACATCTACAAAATGGTGTAATTACTCATTTTTAAGAGATTTTTGCCCTAAAAAAGGCCACCTAGAATTTTCGGGAGCCTTTTCCTGGCTGAAATTTTCGAGAAGGTAAGTTTTTATCCCTATAGTTTTCGGATCACTAGATTTTCAGCTAGGAAATCCGAACAGATGAAAAGTTTTTAGGGGATAAAAATATGCCTATATCTACCGTTTGAGTACTAAACAATGCTATGTTAAGTGGTTTTGAACTATATCCTCGTTGGGTGCCCCTGCTCATATACAACCACCCCAGTTGATAAGAGCCGTTGTGTCTTAATAAACTTTTTAAGTGCTTTTAACCATGCTGAAAGAGGAGAAGAGCATTACTTGTAAGTTTAGAAACTTGTTGTATATTTATTAAGGGTTTTGTTTATTGTTTGTCTGACGATTGTCGCCAAGATATTGATCGCGACGTTACACACCATTCGAATGATGAACAATATCTTTCATGACATTGTTGTTTATTTGTATTGATTTTTATTGTAGGAGAAAACAGATGTGGAAGGAGCCCTATTTGTTTATAGCAGGTAAGTCAGTAAACTATTACAGTAGAGTTCTGGTAATCTGAATCTTTGGAGGAGAGTTACAGTTTTGTATGACTATTATATAAAATTACCAGTAGTGTTAATAACAAATATATGAGTCATATTAGCCTGGGAGCAAGCTGTCCGGGGCGCTCTGGCGGTGGGGAGGGAAAAGGAAGGAGAGCTTGCAACTTGGTCTCTGGAATTTGAATTCCACCTCCAATTCTCCTGTGGCTCCCCGTCAACTGAGCTGTCAGATTTCTGCCAATCGGCATGAAGCAGAAAACAAACATGCGCGAATGTAAACAAACATTGAAAAACATGTGCCAAGGGTGATGATGTCATTTCTAATGTCATCTCAGGCAATCAGCATTTTGCCTCCACTTTTTGATGCAGATATTCAAATTCCAGATGTTTGATGTGATAAAAATTTTTAATGTGATAAATTATTAATCTTGTGGTTTGTAATCCATTTTTTAGATCCACTCCTCCTTCCAGTGCCTTCTTCATAATGAACAGACTAAATATGAACAATATGACGGAACCAATAACAAACAATATGGAGTTTAAACTTCAGGATCCATTTTTGTTATATAGAAACCTCACAAGTAAGTATCCTCAGAATTTTAGACAAGTTTTACCAAACTTTCGCTGATCTGTGCAGGGTGTTCATTGGGCATCAGAGATCGGAGAATTCTCTGTTTGTTAATATGTGACATCCTATGAATATTTTTAATTTAGACATGGAGCCTCTTTTACAATATTCTACTGTAATGTTACACCTTTCCCCAGCTCCTATAATTTATTCTTCATGAAAAGAGTGAGGCCATTACAGGGAAATCTCAGTCTGAGGCCTTGATTTATTGACTGAGTGATAGCGAGGTCAATACATCAAGGCCTCGGTCTGAGATTTCCCTGTCATGACTGAACATTAATAAGTTATTTATTATATGGCCTTTTCATTATGGACCTGAGCCTGCAATCAATTAAAACCAACAAGTGGTCAGCGGATAACTTTAAAAAAACATGTCACCTCAATGAATTGTACACTTGAGCCTGTGATACAGGCAGGTGACACTGGTCAGCAGGTACCCTTTTTGACAGCTGTCAATAATTGACAGCTGTCAATTATTGACCATAACATGGCAGTCCATAAGTAAACACAGTTTGTATATGCTTTGGACACAGCTAGTGATGCCTGGTCATTATTAGAAAACAGTCAATCCAAGGGCACGTACTATTGTAGCCATATAATAAAGTGCCATATCCTTAGCCCAAATTGGCATTATTATTTCTTTGATTTTAGAGGAGATATATGGCATCTGGTTTTATGATAGCGATGAATGTAAAAGACTGGCCATGCTGTTGACAAAGTAAGTCACATGTACATAACTTATTGAATCAACCCCAAGTAATTTTTTTTAAAATTGTTGTCCACTTCTTTCCTACCTATCATTACCCAAAGACAATTTGTAACAGTTTTAGTGTACTTATAGAGTAATTCGAGAGCTTAAGTAACCACTATGATGATAGCGGTGTAAAAGTCAGTGAAAAATGTATTTGAGTTGTTTCAAACTTATTGACTTTAGCCTTTCCCAACTTGTCAAATGAGGCAAGTTTTCCAGGAGTTAAACACACCCAAGTTCTAAATGTGAAAATAGCATTTGTTTTGTGTTGTATATCCTCCATGGGAGTTTCATTTCTTAGTTGTGCATTGGTCGTGTAGTTGTCCTCATGGTTGCCTAAGTTCTCTATTTTTAACAGGACCAGGCAATTCTACAAAGAATGTTACAGTTTCATAAAGCACTAAATCTTGCATGTCCATTTTGTTTGCAGGCTTTCTTCGGAGACAGCACCAACAACCAAGCCAGTGAGTAATCCTCCCCCACCTGTGCAAAGTCCTCAGGTAATTTTCTTTCTTTATCCCTTTCTTTTTTCCCCTTTTTTGAGGTCTTTAGATGACATTTTCATGCAGCCTTATTTAGCTACTTAACGTTTCCTTTTCATAGAAGGATAAAAAGGAGAGTTCAACAGAGGAAAAAGTTGATATCATGCAGCTTTTTGCTAAAGCACAAGAAAGATACATTAATGAGGTACTGTAACACTATTAATATTATTATAGGATCTGAATGTTTACTCCTTTGCTTTGTAAACAGCAAATGATTTTAGACTCAAGTAATGCACATCATTCATAAGCTGTAGCTGTGATATATTTTGTATCTTTTATTGTTAACTGTAATGGTATAACATTAGTATTTGTACAGGTCTTCATTTAAGGCAGCTTCTTGCAGATCTTGTTTAAAAGAATGGTTTCATAGATTTTTTTTTACACAAATGTTCTGTGCTTTGCCTTTTTTTGCCCCCATGCAGACCAAAGCAAGTAATCCAGTCACCTCGTCTACAGCGAGTAGCAATCCTCAGAAACAACCAGTACCTCAAGAACAAAAAGAACAGCAACAACGATTTCTCCAACAAAACCAAGCTCAGCAAGAGCAACTTCAAAGACTTTTTCAAAATGAGGACACTCGCCCAAAAAAGCAAAGAGCCTACTCCTCCCCCGCTACTTATCTGTCAGATAAAGTACCCCCCTCTCCCATGGGTAGTAAGACGACATCCAAGGGGGAGGAGCAAGAGAATAGTGTTTTACCTGGAGGGGAGAGACAGTCAAGGAAAGGGCACAATAAAGTGAAGAGCCTAACGCTGTCTGACGTTAAAATGCCCGTGGGTCCAGGTGAGAGATTAAAGAATCTTTGGGTAACGCAATTTATGTCACACAATTTTCAACTATTGCGGTTGGTGACAACCGGCTGTGGAATTGACTGGCACGTCAAAAATGGCAGCTGAAAGTTGTGGAAGAAATCAAAAGGAATAAATAAGCGAAGAAAGGGTTTCTTAATCCTATCATAATGCTATTTAAAATAAACGAGGTTTCAAATCCTAGGATAGTAAACTGATTACCATATGCAATCTACTGTTGAGATGTGGGACTGAGAAGCGGCTCCGGTTTACGGTCATCTCGCCACCAAGAAGTCTTACTCGCCACCACATAATAACTCTGCAACAATTGACACTCTTTACTTACCTGGGATTGTTTCTTCTTCCCCAAGCCCAAATATAAGTTTATCGATTTTAATTGACACCTTGCGTCGAACTTCTCATCTTTAGTTTTATTTTTGGCCAACAATTGCGACTTTTTAATACCTTAAAACAGCTTATTTGCATCGCTCAAAAAGTGTGACTTGTTTAAAATCCAACAGCCTTTCTTATGAAAGTTGTTTAATATTGTCACTTGAACCTTACCTCCTTAAATTTGATTGTAAATTTAAAGTGAAAGAATTCTTTTTAGAGACTTGTCCTTTCACTAAGTATGAAGATACATATTTCTTGGTAGCGAATTAGTTGGTGGGGAGATGGTTTGGTGGCGAGGTGACCCGGATATCGCGGCTCGCGCGTTCTCTCGCGGCTTTCTTGTCTGATTTCTCAGGCCACCTTGTGACCTCTTTTAATTTACACAGCCCAGTTATTAAATCTTTTCTCGAAGAAAATTGTTGTTTTAAAATGATAGTAACGCAGGATTGTTTCCAGGTGGACTCATCACTCAGACACAAGATGACTCTGCGATTGACAGCACAAAATCGGGAGCTCAAAGGAAGGTACAAATGTGTAAAATGTTAATTTTTTTCGCCGTTGTGTGATCGATTGACCCTCTTCCCCGTGAAGCGTGGTGTTGTCTTGGTTGGCTGGTTGGACAAATCTGATGAGGAATGTTTCGCCTCCTCCTAGAATTTAACGTCACCTGCTTTACAGTTATGAGCCGCAAGAAGCAGTTAAAAAGCTTGGCTCCTGGCTCATACGTATTTGATTACACACTATCATGAGCCAGCTTTCGAATTACAAGGTTCAGGAAAGTTGGTTTGCAACGTGCTCTCAATGAAGTTTTTCTTGTTTATAGTTATTTCAAAGCGATCGACCAGAGGTCAAGAGTATGGTTACACTACCCACACCATCAACTGCGTCTGCGCAATCAACAGTTGCTGCTCAAGTTAAGGTGAGCGTGTGCGGGCACCGTAGTGTGTAAGTGCGTCTTTGTTTGAACGCTATTGGAAAAGAATTTACTTAAGTTCGCCAATCTTGGTAACTCGGGCCCGTATCTGTCCCCTCCCTTCCCCCGCCCCCATAAGAAATAGACCACAACACCGGGGACTACGTCCCCTAATCTTTACGAACATTGTTTCTTTAACGTCCCACAGTAAATGTTCAAGGGTTCTGAGGCGCGGCCTACGGTTTATCGTCATTATCGAGAAGACTAGAAAGTCTAACCGTTCGCAGATGTCTTTACAAAGGCAGCACTTTCCCCTCAGTTATTAAAAATACCCTTAGTGTTGGTCCAGCCGAGGTGTGAACCAGCGGCGTCCCGCTAGGCAGACCGGCGCTTCCGGGGATTAGCTCCAGACTGTCTAGCTAAAAAATTTAAAACGAGGTCTGAAATTCACAGGAGAGACACACGCAACGAGAATAAGATTGACATTCCAGGGTACAGAACTGCCGCAACTTGCCAAAGGACCTTTCATTATCGGACCGTTTCATTGTGGAACGCTTTACTCGAAAGGCTCACTAAGTTAACAAACGTTGTGACTTTCAAGAAGGAACTTATGCATTATTTTATATCGTCTCATTAAGCAGTCTGTTTTTTAAAGACAGGGGTTGCTTACTACTGTCTTTGTCTCTTAGGGGCTATGTTAATCATGTCTCGTTAAAATCTTGAAAATATATAGTTTTATAGTTTCATTTTTTAATCTTTTGTTCTCTTACATAGATTTTTCTCCATGATATTGATGTAATTACTTTGAAAAACCAGACTTGGAAAGTAATATTATTATTATTATTATTATTATTGTTATTATTATTATTATTATTAATAATTATTAATTATTAAATTAATAATAATAATAATAATTTATTGTTTATTATTATTATTATTTTATCCAAGTGAACTAACCGGGCGGCGGTTTTTCTCTGTGTTGCAGGAGTCCCCTCAAAAGCCTTCACAGGATCAAGCCCTAGCCGCGGCCGCAGCCGCTGCCGCAGCGGGGTCTTCTCTTATGTCTCCATTAGCTTTCCAGTCTTCAGGGAAAGTAACGATTATGACACCTCCCTCACAGACGAAACAGCCCGCTCCAAAAATGGAAATTGCCCCTTTGACCCAAGAGCAGCTTGTTCAAGCAATGACGTATTTATTGAAGGTAACTTTTGTTGCTTAAAGAGAGGCACAACGAGCAAGCGGCCTCAGAACCTTCGCATTCTGGGTGGTCGCTTACGGGAGTTTTGACTTAATTAATAAGCAGTATATTGATATTAGAAGTAATTAGCAAAAACCGCATTTGCGCGAGCGCTTAAAACAGTTAATTGCCAAAGTCTTATGTACTGTATACTTAAAATAGTTTGTCGTTCATTTCTTTTCAGAATGATCCAGAATTTGTTACCAAAATCCACGAGGCATACTTTAAGAGTTTACAGGACAAACTGCCAACTTAGCAGCTCTCTATTAAAACTGTTACAGATGGTTGGCGATGTGACTGTAAAACCCGTAACCAAGGGGAACCCAAGAGTCGCGCAAACGTTACAACGAGGAAAGGGGAGAAGCTTGTTTTCACTATGGTGGTGATGTTGAAAAATTGTTGGATAAAAAAAGTGTTTCGAAGAACGGTTTTGTTGATGTTAATAATCCTAATAGGACTAACTAGCTCAGTTCCCTGTCTCACTTCAACCACACGTATTGTTCGACCCAAGGGAAGTTTTACTTGTTTGATCATAATCACAAAATAATTTTTGAAGCTAGAATGATTAACCTCTACTCAGTCCTATAACGAACTAATCGTGTTTATCAAAAAAAATGTCCTTTTATTGTCTGGGTATAGTGCCTTCTGTACTGTTGCCTCAAGTTATACCTTAACCAGGGAAGTAAATAGCCAACCAGATTCAAGAACCTTTTTATACATATATTTTATTAACCCAGTAATTCCCATTTTCTTAGTTCACTTCTGTTGATGTTTGCTATGACTTTCAACACTGATGTTTGTATTAACACCTAACCTCTGTTATGAAGAAAAGTTGCTTACAAAAATGTCAAGCGAACGAATAAGTTTTTCGCGAAATAGTTTACATTTGTGAACATATCGTTGTCGTTTTCTGCATCATCATCATTATCATCATTATCATCATCGTCATCAATATTTGTGCATGTATAATTTAAGTTTTTAATCGCATAGAGTTGTTATCTTTACCCGCACCAAGGGCTGCGATTGTTTCGCTTTTGCATAAATTTGCTTTAAAAATATTAGTCAGAAGAAAAATTCCCACAATGCTGCAGTCTGCTTGCTAGAACCCTTGACAGCTGAATTGCTAGTTCTCAAATTAACTTGTTGCCTTTGAGCAATGGGACATTTTATAGTTGCGGGCCTGGTGTCCTAGCCTTTGAGTGAACGTGAGGCTGAGGTTGACCTTGTTTTTGATACAAACCTCCTCCCTTTTCTAATAGAAATTTTGCTTGAAAAATACTAGTTAGCATAAGAACAACATGATTACATTATAAAAGAGGAGGCATTGTTTCAAAACAAGGTCAACTCCAGCCGTGTTTCCAACTGTAACTGTAAAATGGGCTATTTAACTTTACTGTGGCAGGAGCCCATGTAGTGAAACAATGGTTACCAAATGATCTGCCTGATTCTTGCTTGCTTCTTCGGCTAGTTATAATAAAACAAGGGATAAAGCAAACCCTTGTAAGGCTGCCAATCTCGGTCCCAGGGTTCTCTTTTGTCATGCGCTAAGAATCGCTTGCGCGTAGAACGGGACCTGGAAACGAGATTGCGGCAAGGCTCATAGGGATATTGCTGTTTAAAGAATTCTAAGCTCAATACTGCGCATGATGTTAAATGTGGGAAACAGTCGTTGGACAAAGAGCCCAGTTTTCTCTCGTACTGTTTCATGTTAAGTCTTCTCGCGATGGACTCTCTTTGAAAGAAAATTGTTTGGGAATACGTTAAGGTTTTGTTGCAGTTAAGCTAAGATCAAATGAAGGTTAAGGAGTATTAAATTCCTTCCAAAGTGGTGTACATTAGATGTGTAGTTTCATTGCTGCGTTGACGAGAAAGGACTCTTCAATAACTGGACGTGTCAAAAATGAATTGAAATAAAACATGGATGTGACGAAAGAGTGTAGCCCTTGTTGTTGATTTTTATTGGACAAGGAGAAGAAGGGTTGGTACAATTTCTCCATGTAAAATTCAATATTTTTCCATGCCTTTTTCATCTTCGATAGTCTTTTAGAATTCAGCTCCAGAAAAGAATTGCCAACATTTGACGAATTGAACGAGAAGAAGTTCAGCGGACGTCACGGCGGACGAGATGGTGGACAAGAGTAAAAGCGTTTTACCCCGCCTGGAGCGAAACTCGTTCTTCATGCATATCACGATAAGGGTAGCCTGAGAAAACAGCCGACATTTGGCGACGCTACCACTGGTTTCCCCGCCAAATGACGTCTGAGAAACGAGCGCAGAAGTTCCATACTGATGACGCGTCATCACCCAGATCTGGGTAGCGACGCGTCATCAGTATTGAATTTTCCGCACTCGTTACTCAGACGTCATTTGGCTGGGAACGTTCGAGATAATAAACAGGGCTCAAAATCCCATAACGGCCGGTAAACGGACAATGTCCGGCTGAGATGACCATTTGAGTTTCGGCTTTCGAGTTGGTCATTGCCACGTGTAACTAACTGGCGTAGACATTTACATAAAAACTACAAGTAACGTATTATGGAGAAAGGAAAATTAAAAGTGCATAAAGAAACGAAATTGGCGATGTCTTCGGTGGTAAAAGCCACATAAAGATCCCCCTATTAAATGAAAGAAACCACGTATCAGGAAAATAAGATATATTTTTTACAATTTGCTGAATGAAAAAAATAACATTTAACATAAATGAGTCTGATGAAGTGTGAGAATTGACAAAAGCAACACTGCTATACACCGTAAAGGTTTCCTTTTCTTCCATTCAAATTCAGGACATTTTATGGATAAATTAACTAACGCTCAATAAATATACTAGTATAACATATTTTTTTATAAAGTGAAAGAGCCATCCTGTTTATGTAGAGGTAAACATAGTCCAGTTCTGGCACCCCTCTCTCTGTTACGCAACGGAAGGAGAGGGCGTTGCATGACAGAGAGGGTGGGGGCAGAACTGGACTTGTGTAAACAGACCACTTTTATTTGGAAGAACAGCCAGGAGCTCTATTGAAGGTAGAACCTATTAAAAAGCTTCTCAAATGTGCTTCAAGGTGGTCCTTGCTTTTAAATGCAGGCTTAAAACTTACATGAAAGTCAAAAGAATTTATGGCTGTTGCTTTTTTTTTTTTGGCCGAGAGAAGCCCCTGCCACATGCACAGTACACTTGCATCTACAGGCTACCTTAAAACAGATGTACGAGGATCAAAGAAGACATGAGAAACGAGGGCCACGGCCTGAAAAGACAAGAGAGACTGCTTGTCTCTTTTTTGTGCCTCTCTTGTCTTGCACTCGTGGTCGTTTTCGTGTCTAGCGTGTTTTGTTCGACAGACTCAGAAAAGAGAGAGAGAGACAGCTTGTAGTCTACTTCCTCATTTCCTAAGCCGTCAGTACCCTTAGCCAAAGGAATTAGCTCTGCTTTAAGTGGTGTTAGTGGATACATGTGTGCAGTATATGAGAATATGTTTCATCCCTGTGCCTCATGATTGGTCCAATAAATATAATATATTAGTATAATAAAGGCTCTGGGAATGCTTATGGCTTATATCATCCAGGCATATCTGACTATAGAATCAGCGCAAAAGTTGTCTGCTTAACTCAGCCATTTTTGCATAAACAAGGCTTATTGTAAGAGGTAAAAAGTCAGTCTTAATCTTCCCTAATAACAACTTACATAAACACATTTTTGCTGAAGGGCTGGCTGTATACATCTTTTCATACCTAGGACTAGAATAAATACTCATGACAGAAAGCGTCAAATGTTTCTTTAACACAATAATAATTATATAACTGTCTGATGGTTTTCACTTTGTATTTGTTGCTGACGTAAGGCTTATTTTTCTCAACACTGTTCTCTAAACACAAAAGAATGAATGAAAGAAACAATAAGCAAAGCAAGCACACCCAGGGGTAAAAAGAAAAACTGAGAAAATTGCAAATACTTCATGAACAATAAGGATGTTAAAAAGAAGAGAATGGCCAAACGTTTGTGTGTGACGAGCATGACAGACTCCATGTGTTGCTGCATTCTTCACTTAATATTACTGTGTTCTGATCTTCTACAAAAAGACTGGTTACAAGCAATGCAACATTTGGCAGCAATTGTTTCAGGGGCACCCAACGACAATTTTCGGAAAAATATCTGTTCTGAAGACGATTTGAGATCTAGAATTTTCGGAACATTATTTTGTTGTAAAATTTCTTGCTTGCCTGCCTCTCCTAGGATTTTCGAAAAAACTAAAAAATGGTAAAATCACCCATTTTCAACGGATTTTTACCCTAAAAAGGTCATTTAAAATTTTCAGGAGCCTTTTTTCTGGCTGAAATTTTCGAACAGGTAAGTTTTGATCCCTATAATTTTCGGATCACTAGACTTTCGGCTAGGAAATCCGAACAGATGAAAAATTTATAGGGGATAAAAATATGCTCATATCCACCGCTTAAATACTAAAACACGTTTAACAATGCTATGTTTAAGTGGTTTTGAACTATATTCTCGTTGGGTGCCCCTGTTGTTTTTGAAACATTATTATCATGTCACGCAAGGTTTTGACATCTTCTTTCTTCTTCCATTCTGTTGCGTAAGTTTACTAATATGAAGAAATGAAGAGCTGTAAACAAACTACTTATAATGATAAATATACATGTACCTAAAGAGTGTTTCTTTCAAAGACCATTTTCACCACATTTCAGAGAGTTCCATATTATATTTTATGATTATGTGTTGTCCCTTACTCACTGTCCTAAATTGCTCAGACCAAAATTTCATATTCTAAGCTACTAAAAAAACAAATAATATGTGAAAGCACAGAAGAAGAGGTTTATTCAAATAGTCAAACACAGGATTCCATCTACGACTACAGATTGTAAAGTTAACACAGTAAATGTACATTCAACACATTCCTAGCTAGACTGCGAGTAATCTCTCTTTTTCTTCAGATTTATTAAGAGGAGTGCTCACGCACGCGAGAAACAAGGGCGCCTCATGCCTTCAGTCACATGCGTGGTCATTTGCGTGTCTTGCGTGCTTCGCTCAACGGGCTAAGAAAAAAGAGAGACTGCTCATAGTCTAATCCCTAGCTCACCATCTAATGAAAAGGTCATGAAATTTGTTATGTTTTTTTGATAAAATTTTTAACACAAATACTCTCTGCAGTTTTGGGCACCACAATGACACTTAATACGTTCCTTTTTCCTTGGTGAGCTGCTCCCCACTTCTGACATGGTCATCTGGTAATCAAATGTCAACTCCTCACCAACCTTGATCCTACGATTGGCGAAGAAAGCTATGCGTGGAAAGTTGGGATCAAGCGAATCTACCCACACTGCATAAACATCCAAATTTGGATCACACTGTGAAGAGAAAGTAATGAAAATTCTAACCTGTACCAGTGTTCTACTTAAATTTTAGCTCGGCAGGTAAGGGACCATTCAGGTAAGACAAAAAATATACACCACTGGTGCACTTTCCTGTGGGGCAGGGGGGTAATGGAGTGCAGGACATAGCCCTGCCCTTGCTGAGAAATTTAGCAGCTCAGTTCTCTGAATCATCATTCCGTCATTTTAAAATCTATTTTACGCAAATTGGCCATTGTTACCTTTACACAACAATTCAAAATGATTTCTTCCAGTAATTTTACTCTGTCTTCAATGTTCTCTTTCCAAAATGCATGACCCATAAAAAGAAAAGCTGTGTATACTTTAGTGCTTTTCCATACTCATTCATTTCCTTGTCGCATGTGAGAAACAGATCAGATCACTACTTGTCTTGTAAGTACTTCAGTAAACCTTCAGGCCATTGCAGGTGGTGAGAATTGTTGTTTCAGGTGGTAAATTACACCGGTTACCTCCTGATAAGGAGAAAACTGTGCACAGAACTTGTTTTCTTATTCTTTACAAATAATGACCAGTACGCGAGAGAAGCAAGTTTGCGAAAATGAGCACGGAGTGCGAGAAACAAAAAGAAAGAACATAACATGGGCAAAGCACTCTTAATGTACGGGTAAGAGGTAGAGGTAAGCAAGAGGGGAAAGCAGAAAAAATTGCACAAAAATGAAAAAATTGAAGCAAAAGTCTTCATTATTACACAAGGAGATGTATGAAAAGTATAGTAGAATATACTTGTTGGTATCAAACCTTTCTACAGAGAGCATCCTTACTGAATAATTAATGAGTGAGATATATTGCCATACTTGTTGATATCAAAGGGGGCGATCCATTCAACCAAAATTCCAACCGGTCCAATCGGGAAAAGTGGTCCACCTGTTGGACCGAACCGATCCATTGAGTTTTGGACCAAAATTTCCGGAAATTTTGGTTGAATGGATCGCGCCCAAAGCTAACCATAGGGAGCTTCCTTACCGAATGATTAATGAAGTGAGATATATTACCATACTTCTTTGCATCTAAAGTATACAAACACTCCCCTTCGTTGAAATCCAAATCAAACAAGTATGTCTGCCCACAGCTATCATAAACTTTGCCTCTCTCTTCTGCTTCTTCCTGAGTAATAGCCTCTCCAACATATTCAGTGACCAGCTGATGTTTTTCTATTAATTCCATTGTCTTGACACCCCAGCCACACCCATTTGGAGTACGAAATATTGCTACCTGATAATACAGAGAACTGGATTATAAGTTCTATTTTTTCCTAGGGTGACAATAATACACCCATGCATCGGTGAAGTATGATATTTCTTCCAACAATACAAATATTTTTTTAAGACAGGACACCATGATATTATGATAACAATAGCAGACCTTCTAACTCCTAAGCCATGCAAATCTAGAGTGTTTGAAAAAAAAGCCCCCCCAAAAAAAAAAAAAAATGGAGATTGGGACCTCAAACATGGAGATTTCCAAAATATGAGTCAAATAAAACTAAAAACGCAGATTATTTTTGTCATGGTATTCTTGACCCTATTAGTGGTCTCTGTTGTACTCTTGTTACTACTTCTCTTTTGGCAGTGGTGAGAAGATTCTTGTGCCGTGTTTGGATGTAGTAATGGTCACCTTCTTCTAGTTTAGTATTAGAAATATGATCTCTCACTGTACATTTCTCGGGAAAAAGGCGATTATTATTAAATCAAAACACGGCAAGGATCTTCTTTCCCATTACAGTGTTATTCTAAGAAAACTTTAAGAAAAAATGTCCCAAAAAGCGCTTGAAAATACAAATGAAATGTGCTCATACCCCCTGGACATCCTATAATACTCCTTAAATCGAATTAATTCAATATGGCCGCTGTATCGGTAAAAAGGTCTATTTGGCACCACACAATTTTGTCAATGTTACAGCTGTCAAAAACAGTTTGTCCAGCTTTCTTGTTGTGTGGTTATATTAAGGGTGCATGGTAAAACAATAGTGTGTAGAATCAGCAAATTAAAGGCATTTTAACAAGATTGGTTCATTATTTCACCTCACCTTAACAGTGCGTCCCCGCTGCAAGACACGATTCCTACAGGACAGACCGCAAGGGCAGCGTGAATTACACTCATAAATTGGTGTCCCTGGTTTAACACGCACCCGGCCATTTCTATCATAAGCAAACTGTCCTCCACGTGCTCCGTTCCGCGGGCAATCACAACTCTCTTTCATACAAATTCGTTCACAGCTACAACCCACAAGAAAGTCATTATTATGTACATGACGTACGTCTTCATGCAGTAAATTGTGAGTGATGTATTCGAAGTCTCTTGGTGGGCCTTCATTATCTATCGTGTTTTCGACTGCAATATATGCCTCATTATGACTTTGTTCATTTAAATATTTTTCCCACTCATCAAGTTGTTGATGTAGGTCTTTCTTAAATTTATACAGCCTACTTCGAGGAACTCTATTATTGGAGCCTGCAACCTTGTGAAGTCTGAGATGAAGTTCATACCTGGACTCATATTGAGATTTGAGGGAAGTTATTGAATCTAAACAAGGTATTGTAAAATTCTTGAGTGCGTGTTTAACTTCTGGAGAGCAGGTTATTTGATTACCAGAATCCTGAGAAGGTATCACGATCGAGGAAGAATTATTAAGATTTAATGACGTTTCACTTGAACTTGGTAAACCGTTGATTTCGATTTCCTCGTCCAAGTCATCTTGAATGTGCACGACAAGCGGCCGGGAACTTAATGTCACAATCGTGTTGTCAAGAAAAACTTCTTGCACACTTGAATTATCATCTTCTTCGTGGATCGATGGACTTGGCGTTTCTCCATTTATAGTAGTAGAGGTCGAATTCAGAGGCGAGTCGTCGATGAAGATTACCTCTCGAACCTTTGATCTTGAATCGCTTCTTTCGGTTTCATTTAAGCCTGGATTTAAGGCATTTGAGGAAGTGATACGATTTACAATTGACTCCAAAGAGCACCTTTCATCCATTTCAAAGCAACATTCTACGGGGTTCAATCTATCTACAAGTATTAGAAAAAAAGAAAAACGCAACTGTCAATTTTTGAAACTCATCACAAAAAGTATCCGCCATCATCGCCATCTTGATTCTTTTCGCGCGGTGTCACCGAAAGGAATTCTGGGTAAATGTCAAACCGCTGATCATACCAACTGCTCATGTTCTTTCCAAGAGAGTGAAATAGCTTGAAATTTCCTATCTTCGATTCGAAAATTAGCAGCCAAAATGAACATTAGATGTGCTACGGTAAGCGAAATTCAATTATTTGTCAAATCTCAAATTTATTCCACTTCAGCCATCCTGTGACACGTACAAATGCAGCTTCTGGCCGCGAACTATCATTGACTGGAATAGCCTGCCATCTGATATTCATCAACTGCAAAATTTAAAGCCTCCACCTAGCCTCTGACTACATTTTGTCTTGTTGTCGACTGTGTCCACAACTACTCTTTAAAAATTGTACCGATTTAAACTTATATCCTGCACTACTTTAATGATATATTTCAGCCAGAGGATCTCATGAACATGCAACACTGTAATTTGCTGTGCCTGCCAGAAAATTACCAAATGAAGTATTACTTCTACCATGGTTTGTCATGGCCACAGGTGAGTTTGATTTTCGTTGAAGGCAGGTTGGATTTTTTTGAGAAAAAGCTGAAGCCCTGGAGAGAGAAAGCAGTCTGTGCTGAAAGGAGAGGTTAAGTATCAGAAGTCTGAAGCTCTAAAGATTCTTTACAAGGAGACGAGGAAGGAAATCATATAATGATGATGATGAATTGCAACTTCTTGCAATAAGTGCAAGAACTGGAAATCACCATTGTAATCGTTCCTACCAGCACATGTCCTAGATTTAATCCATTTATTTTTATAAGCATAGAAAGAGTGGCTGAATCATTTTGTAAAGATATTTAAAGTAAACAGGGTTTCAAATCCCAGGATAAAAAAAGGACATGGTCACTTGATGAAGATTGTGCAATGAAATCAAAAGCTTGGGTATGCTAGTAAGTTTTTCTATCCTGGGATTTGAAACATTTTTTACTCATTTAATTTTTAATTTTTATTGTTATTTGCTAGTTGTCTTATGTTGCTGAGGATGAAAAGGGAAAGATTGTGGGATATGTATTGGCAAAAATGTAAGTTTTAAGCATATAATCAACTAGTATGTGGCCAGTAGTTGGTAATCTGTGAAAGGCTCCCAGCGATCTAGCAAGTGTAGACAAAACTTAACTCTGGTTAAGTCTGTCTGTGAAACAGCGCCAAAATCCTTGTTCTTGGTCCTCATCCGAGTACCAAGACTGGAGTGTGTGCCATGATTGGCTTGTTAATAAAGCATTTTGATTTGACGAAAGGAAATTCAAAATGCCGTTCCGATGATTTGTTGAGTCTTTTGGGGGTCCAGAACAATGATATCAGTGTTGCTTCACAGACGTTTTAACTGAGGTAACAGTCCTGATAACTAAATATGATGGAAAAGTAGAGTCAGTTTGATAAAAAGTAAAATATTTTAAAAAACATTTAATTTTTACTCACCATATCATAGTGCAACAAATGATTCAAAAGTGGGACAATGAAAAATTCTTAGGCCCCAAAAAATTAAAGCGATATTCTCCTAAAAGTTTAATCATCATGTTTTTTTTGTTTGTTGTTTTACTATGATCTAAGACAAAAATTCTGTGGAATAAATTCTGAGCACATTGTCACAAATTGAATTTTGTTTCTTATTTAGGGAAGAAGAGCCCGATGAAGCAGTTCATGGTCACATCACCTCCTTGGTAGGAGAACTGATAAAATAATTTAATTGATGAAATGCCACTCTCCTGAGCTACCAATTGAAGGGGTATGGAAAAAAGTCCCAAGTCACTCTTGATAAGCTGATAGATTCTCCCTCTAAAATGCCTTGTATTTTCCTTTCAGAAACAAAAGGAGAATTTAACATTACATCAAGAGTCATTTAGGACCTTTCCACATACCTTTTCAATTTGAAACTTCTATCTACCCAGTTAAGTTTTAAAAAAATTATCTGACTACTGTCTTACAGTTCAGCTGGGAAAACCGTGAACACCTGAAATATGCCAGGAATGCTTATTGTTTTTTAGCCAATCAAGTTTGAGGATTTCACATTCCAAAATGGCAAAGTTATTAACCGTGTTAAAATATTAGTCATGGTTAAGCAAAATCAAAAGAATGGAAAAGGTTAAATTTTGCTTAAAGTGATGTTAAAAAATTATTGTAAAAGATATTCAAATAATAACTTTCATTATATTTATTCATAACTGACTTTAAAAGTGAAAGGTAGGAGGCCAACACCCTAAATACGGCTTTTTATGACTCTTTTTTAGACCAATGTGCAAGTAATAATAATAATAATAATAATGCCTTTAATTAATGAGGGTAACTCTAAATAGCCCAAGTCTAATAAACTCGTGGCCCTTAAAACACAATCTTACAGCATAAGTATAAGTTCAAAGGTCCCATATAAGAGCTGTATAGTCAGCCAGAAGGTCATTTTATGGATATTTTTTATGCTTTACTTGCAGGCTGTTAAACGTTCTCATAGGAGATTGGGCTTGGCACAAAAGCTCATGGAACAGGTTTTATCATCATGTTGTTTTTACTACTGTAAAATATTCTCTTGCATTATTTTAAAATGTTACTACAAGCTCTTTGTCTGAAAAATTTTTGTCCACAGGTGTCATTGTCATTCAAGTTTTTTAATGTGGCATGTTTTGGTAGAAACATCTGGCCTCTTTTTTTACACATTTTATGTGTTTTTCCTCATAAATTTCCATGTATTGTTAACAGTCACACACCATTGAACTTGTCCTCAGGAAGCTTAAGAGTTATTTTATTTTGAACAGTTTTGCTGTTTACTTAATTAGTTACTGTTTCAAATTGCAGGCTTCTCGAGCTATGGTTGAATGTTTCAATGCTCAGTATGTTTCTCTTCATGTAAGAAAAAGGTATTGAAATTAAAAAAAAATTCAAATATGTTATCAAGATATTTTTTCTGTTGTTATGTGTTGGTTAGCAGAAAATCAAAGATTTTTTCCTCTAATGGTGCTTATCACCATATTAACATCTTTCAACAGCAATAGAGCCGCTCTTCATCTTTACAACAAGACCCTTGGCTTCAGGTAGGAGATGCTTAACTTTTAATAAAACTAAAAAGACCATTCTTTATCTTATCAGTTATTCCCTTGTCTTCCCAAATCTCAAGGGAAAACTACAGGTTTTACTTTGTAAATGCGTACATCCTAAGATATTGATACCTCCATCAGGTCAGAGATTTTCTCTTAGGTCCCCACCCCTCTGGGAAAATTCCTACGTAACTGTAATTAACTCTTTTAATTTTTTGAGACCCCCTCCTCCCCCAGAAATTTCCAATACCTCAAGTTGGGGAGGAGGCAGTTTAGAGAGGCCCTGCCAGGGTAAATTCCGACAAGCAACATGGCCTAAAAAGTAGCGACAGCGCGTAAAATGAAATCGCGACAAGAGACAACCTCCCTTGGCCAAATTGCAACAGTGACGGGAAAGCGACAATAAGCGACAAGCATTTATAAACACTGACACAAGACGTTTTAAAATTCAGACGGGTGACATTGGACCCCCCCCTTGGCGGGGCCTCTATAGAGATTTCCAGAACTACACACACAAGCAAATACATCTAGTTCCAGTCAAGATATTAACAAAAAGTATCCTTTCTTTGTACCTGCAGCATTTCTGAGATTGAACCAAAGTACTATGCTGATGGTGAAGATGCATATGCTATGAAGAGAGATCTGACTGGTTTAAAACTGGAAGTATGTTTTCTCACTAATGCCATTACCTGTGTACAGCTATCTTAGTTCTGGTCCTTTTGGCCATCACAACAGAATATTGTTTTGGTTCCAAAAACCATCTATACTGCATTATCAAATGTTCGTGTAAATATTGAAAACCAAGGTGCAAAGAAAATCATTTTTACAGCTTGCCATTCAGGCAAGCTGAAGCTAGCATTTACTAGCCCAGATGTCGTTTCAACTAGCCCCCAAAAAACTTTTTGACCGGCAGAATTGATTTCTTAGTTCTTCTGTTAATCAAATTCCTCAAAAAACATCCCTTGCCCGTCGGGCAAGTTAAAAACAGAATTCATTAGCCTGATAGCAAAATCCACTGGCCTCAGGCTATCAGACACTACTTTCTTTGCACGCTGAAAACTCATTCTTATTAATATGATCTCTTTCTCTTGCTTCAGGAAAAGACTGCTGTTGATAAAGATGTAGCAGCACTAACCGTTAGAGACCAAGACAGACCATCAGAAAAGAAAGAGGATGGTCACGATCACAGTCCTTCATCTCACAAATGTTGTCCAGGCCCCACCCATGGGCATTCTCAACCTCACCCTCGTCATGTGAAGGACGAGGCACCAAGCAGATGCCCTCGAACTACACTCGAAGGAAAGAAGGACACTGGGCATGAAGGATCTTAGCAGAGACATTCTGTTTTGTTTTCTTAGTATTTGAACCATTTCACTCTGAAGTAATAGTAAAAAACTAAATAAATTGAGGACAATGCCAACTCTTAGTTTGTTGAGTATTGAAAAAAATAATTTAATAGTACCATGTGAAAGTACTACTGAAGAGGTTTCATTTGAATGGTAACACCATGGGATGTACGTCCACAGACTCAAACGTTAGAACTATACATACTAAATAATAATAGTACCATGGGAAAGTACTGCTGCGATTTTTCAATTGAATGGTAACACCATAGGATTTGATCCACAGACTCAAAGCTAGAATAATATTGCATGTACTCTAAACTGTATACAAGAAAATATGTGTAGCAAGCTTTGTCAACAGCAAATACAAAAGCTTTTCTTGTGGGACAAAGTAGGGCATTCCGAGCGGGTATTAGATAGACAGGATTTGCTTCATCCTTCCCACTTTTGGAGCCAGCCATGATATTGGTTATTTCTCTGTTCTGCAGAGAAAAGGTAGAAAAACACCAAAAATGAAGTTCACTGCACAAAGATTGCAGATGTGTGTGCACTTTTTTGAAATGCCAGTAATTAAAAATGGGCAAGCGTGAGGAAGATGTGCTGCAAGTTGTGACTGGATTTCCACCTTCCCTTGCCCTCTGTGCACACTTGTGATATGCATTAAAAAAAGGAAGATCTGTTATTTAAGACATGCCTATCAAGATTTTGCATTGTTTATTACAAAAAGTCAAGAATAGGCTAAAACTGCTTTTCTTTAGGTGGACATTTCTTTATTTACAAAAGAGCCAAACATAAAGTTTTACTTTAAATTTCACACAGCAACAGCACTAAAATTAATTATCTGGAATGATTTTATGTTGTGACAAGTTTGAAAAATATTTCTCTCTTTTCAACACAAAGAGGTTTTACATCAAAGGTTTCCAGTTAATCACCACATCACCGGCTTCTTCCTCTTCAACCACTTCGCCCCTTGCAGCAGCTGCTTCGTATGCAGCATCTCGTTCAGCAACAATCCTTAATGCTTGCTTCCTTGCCCAAGTCTGAGGTCTGTAACAAGTAAAAAGATGAATTATTAACACTTAAAAGGAAAAGTTCAAACTAGTAGTACGTGACAAATTCCATTTTGGTAATACTCAGGTTACTTAGGTCACATAGCAAAGGAAAGTGATACCAAATAGATTTAATTTAAGTGGTCACTCGATCTTTACAATGTCATGGCATGAAGCAAACAGAAAACTAAATCATGACCTTCTACTTCACAGTTTGTAGCTTTCAGAGAAGACGAGAATTATTGTGCTAGTTTTGCGCATGCTTCATTCTGATCAGCTGGTGTCACAGAAGAAACTTAACCTCCACTTAAACTGTCTGCGAGCCAGTGCCAACATTCTTGAAGTGAAACGACTTCATTAGACTTTGCAATTGAAATGACCAGACATCAAAACTGGCTACTCACTTTGTATCAGGTTTGTAATAAAACATGACAGGTATCACGACAAGAATCAGAGCCCACCAGCGGTACCAAGGTTCCTCCCACTCCTCCCACTGACGCTTCTCTCCAGGCTTCAGAGGCTGAAAATGCAGCAATATGATTACAAATTATACAATGGACTGACAGTATGTCTCTTCACTCCATGTCTCAGGAGTTGAATATAAGGGCATTCTGATTAACATTAGATTTTATATTATTAAAAATTGAATCAATGGATAATGCAATTCTAGAGCTCTCATTGGCTTGGCCATCATGGTATATGAGCCACTATACCATGCTCTCTGGTAACTACACACGTCTATTCAAAATTAAAAACAAGCTGAAAATCATTGGTTTTTATAAATACAGTTGGGAAGAATTCTCTATATTTGTGGGCATTTTTAAAAAAACAATAATTCCACTCGTGCTTGTTGGACATGAGATGATAATAGCTAACTCGGCGCTACGCACCTCGGCTACCTACCATCACATATCCAATGCGCACTCGTGGATTAATTGTTAACTATAGACTGATAATAAGTTGCTTCTCTTCAGGCTTCAGAGGCCTCAAACAGAGAATTATGATCCCGAAAAGATTGGAAATCACACAATAAACTGAAGAGGCCAGTTGCGAATTTCTCCTGAGCTGCTGTTTCAAAGCGAGGCTAGGTGCAAAGTCATTGCCATGAAAATGAAATTGTATACCATTCAAACAAAACTCATTTTCCCAAGGAAGGTTTTACACTTAGCCTCGTTTTGAAAGTGGGAGTTTTGGGAACTCGGAAATGCATTCCAGTTCATCATTACCTTTGATCTGTTAAAGTAGAGAGGCTGCTAAATCATAGTGGTTTTTCTTTGTTTGCCAAACATCCCAGATACACTTTAAAACGAGGAGATGATATTAAAGTACAGGAACGGAGCGACAGCAGTAAAGAAACGAAAGAAAGAAACCTAGAAACTTCAAAAGCATGAATGAACATAAGCTTCAATCACGCGATGGCAACCTTTGCCTATCTGACACAAGAACACACAACTGGACAACCTAAGTTCTAAAGTACCAAAACCGTTGGAAAATCGAATATTCACCTTTTCATTGAAGAGGAAACCGTTTGGTGGTTCCCTATATTTTGTGAAAATGCTTTGTGTTCGCGAAGAACCCGCAATGAAGGCAATATTTCTTCTGCATAAAGAAACGGCCCTAAATATGCTACGGGCCGCCATCTTGAAATCCCTAGTACCTTCCCATGATGCTCCTTAATGAAAGCGACTTCTCAGCACGCAACGGGCTCCTGCAGTTTTTCCCCGAAGGGAGAACAGGAGGCTACTAGGGAGAAGTACCTCCCCCAGTCCTCCCCCATGAAAAGCCGGTGCCTTTACATACTAAACATGGCAATGGTTCAGTCTGTGACAAGGAACCGGCGTTGCCTAGTCCCTATAGATCATAAATGCGGTATCGGTTTTTCATCTGTTTTTGACACGGTATTTCGGTACTGTATTTGCCAATTTTTCTTACGGTATTGCGGTATTGAGTACTTTCTCAAAGTCCCCCACCTGAGGGAAGACAATATGTTTATCCATAGAGGAACCGCTTAGGTTTGCACGCCTGAGAATCTATCCGGCAGCCGGATCATGATTTTTGAAAATTTTACCGCCAAATAGACTTCAAAAACTATCTTCAAAGAAGCCAATACAAAAAAGAAGGTTAAAAGCACATTGCCGGCTTCTCCTATTTTTTCCTCCACGCTCATTCTATTTTTCCGCCGCCTTTTTAGTTTGCTTGTGTGATTTTCAAGCTTATAGGGCGCAAAAAAACCTGCCTCTTGGCCCTTAAATTTCACTCAAATAACTGCCAGTTTCGCTGAATTCGTTATCAAAAAATCGGCCGGAGGTTTCGAAAGAATTCTGCCAGTCTTTTAAAGTGTGCCATTTTGGACTAGCAAACGGCGTTTCAGGTCATTTGGCATCAATCAGGGGCACCGAACGTCAATTATCGGAAAATATCTGTTCGGAAGACCATTTGAGATCTAGAATTTTCGGAACATTTGTTGTAAAATTTCCTGCTTGCCTGCTCCTCCTAGGATTTTCGAACACGTCTAAAATGGTATAATTGCCCATTTTTAACGGATTTTTACCTTAAAAAGGTCACCTAGAATTTTCGGGAGCCTTTTTTCCGGCTGAAATTTTCGAAAAGGTAAGTTTTGATGCCCATAATTTTCGGATCACTTGACTTTCAGCTAGGCAATCCGAACAGATGAAAAATTTTTAGGGATAAAAATATGACTATATCTACCGTTTAAACGAAAATACGTTCAACAATGCTATGTTTAAGTGGTTTTGAACTATATCCTCGTTGGGTGCCCCTGATCAATGCTGCTGGTTTTTTGGCCGTCTTAGCACTGGCAGAGGCTCGGCTAAAGCGTTTAGTTTGTAAAAGCTCTCCCTAGCTCCGTTAAGAACCTCGCTAAATAAAAATTTCTGTAGTGATACTTTTTCGGAGCGCCATTTGCTATTTGTGCTTTTACGAAATGAAATTTCATTGAAAATTTTTCGACTTTGGATGGTAGCAGGACACCACTTGAATCTAACTTGAAGTAAAAATGAACCATATTATGTCCTCGCGCCCCAGGTGCAAAGACACATGGTGTTTGTCAATAATAAGCGACCACAGTCGATGATATTATCGTTAAACAATGAATCAAGCTTGTCCAATAGGCGTACTAGATCGCTTTGAAAACAAAGCACTCTGCCATGGTGTCAGTATAAAAAGCAGATAAAAACGTCGCAATTCCTTGTAGGCAGTCTTATCACAACAGAATCCTCGATCGCCTCTTTGACTTCGCATATTTTGCGAAGAGCCATTTGGACCTAGCTTCAATCAGTTAAATAATGGAAGAGGTAGAATCAGCTAGAAACGGAGACGCTGATGAAGAACGTAGTAACGAGGTGAAAAACTCTCGTCGAAAGCGGTGAGTACGAGAGTAGATTGCCAGACAGACATCGAAACATTACTTAGCTGTGCAGTACTTAACTTATCCAGAATGCCGGGGTTAAATACTATACCACTACTTATTATCAGCAAGGTTTACTAGAGCGTGTAAGAGCAGTGTTACAGCTATGCTAGACATGCAAATTTTTAGCGATAATGCTTCTTGTATGACTGCGAATTAGTAAGACAATTCCTGTTCATCAATGCTAGTACACATATTGGAAAGAAGAATATGCGATTATACGAGCAACTCTTGTATGATTGGATTAGAGAGGTCCCTAAGTGCGGAAACCGCTAAATGGTTTTTGCCACCGACACTTAAGACTTTCGCGTACAGTATTTCAATAAGCGCGACATACATCGAAAAGGAATATTCAATAAACATGAATAATATGCGATGCGAAATGTCCGTTTATTATTGAGAATATATTAGCTTTTGTGTGTTGCCAAATCTTTTTTGAACATGCAATTTCTGAAATGTAGACCGCAACAATAATATTTACCCGAGTTTATCTATTGAGCTCTAAAAGAGCGAAAGAAAAAGAGACCCGATTGAATGGCAAAGGTGGAGGAAATGAGCGTCTTTTTGTTAACAGTTCTAAGGCTTCTTGTGTGTCCTTTGCATTACAAGAGTAAGTAGTTACAAGATATCCTCGCCTAAAAATGTTGACATTGAAGTCATTCAACGGAGCTTCTGCAAACACAAACAAAGTCATACCGGTTTTGAAGTCTTTGTGCTGTGAATGCAAGATTTGATAACAAGTCGCTATGCCTTTTATGCCGAGAAAAGGGCAGGAGAAAGATAATAAAAAATTCAAGGATAAAATGCATAAAAAAGATTTGCAATCCGATTTATTTTAAGACACCGATAAGCCGCTTTCGTTATCCTATGGTTTTGATTATGGCTGCAAAATTAGACTAAACAAATGTCTCGCTAAATAAACAGTTTGGGAAAGTTGACAGGATAATTAACACAGCCAAAAGCAAAGAACAAAGTCTATTTTTATCATAACGTTTTATTAGTGCGCATTATATACGAAGTTCTTGCCTACTATTAAATGGTCAAAACACGGTAAACATATTAAACGACTAACATTGGTGGGATATTTAAACTTTCCTTGAACTGACTGATGATAACCTCTCAACTTTCAGTTAACAGTAATTTTTGGTCTTTTAGCGCTGAAAGAAGGAGAGTGTTAATAGAGCCAAAAAAAATCTTTAAAGCAGAGCAAGTTGTAGCGAAATAAATGGTGTCGTGTTTCATTCCACATTTCAAACAAAACTACATACTCACACTTCGTGTCATCAGCTAGATGCGATAGCGATATGTTATGAGTGGAAAGCGAATTGAGCCGTTTGAAAACGTGCGACTCCTTTCGCTAGCCGCACTAACCCTCACAAATAACAGAATTCCTGTCAGTTCGCGCGGTCTCAAGAGACAGGCGTGTTTTACGAAAATGCTTATGGGGTAGAGAGCTCTCGCTTGTCGATGTGCATACTGATTCCCTAGTACACTATCTCATGTGAATGAGCTAGCATGTAAGCGATTTTGCGCGCGTGTCACGCGCAAAAGTTGTCCCTTCCTACCTCTCAGATAGGAAAGTAAACTGTGTGTACTCGCGCGATCGCGTGCGTTACTTCTCCCTTTCCATTCCCCTTCAAACGCCTACCACACAGGCTCCTAGGAATGAAGCGATACGAAGTCTGTATCAGAATCATCAGTTTCTCGAGATTAAATACACGGGCTCAGAGAGATTTTAGTCGACCACCTGCCAGGTCACGTGACTGAGTCGCTCGCGTGACAATTTTTAAAGAGAGAAAAAAATTCGGTTCTCTGCGGTTCTCGGAAAAAAAACATCAGAAAGATCTCTGTGATCTTTATGGCTAAAAATTTTCCAGTTTTATATACCTTGGGATGTTTAATAACGCAACAGACCTCGGTAAAAACTGAACGAACAGTGGAGAATATTTTTTTTTTATGTACGTTTAAGACTCGAGAAATTTACATCGACGCAGTCAAGTAAGTGCACGTCACAAGGAACTGCGGAAAATGAAATAACTCGAAACTGCAAGTTTCTTTTTAACATTTTCTCGTCCTAACAGAAAAGATGTTTCCATTGTTTACTTTCAATAAACGTTTAAGAAAGTAATATTTTGATGTACTTTTTTATGTACTTCTTGGTGGATTTGGATCAGAAGGAACGAAACTAATTAGGAAAGGACAAATCTCGCTCATTTCTTCCCGCAGCAATTTCATCAGGATGTATGTAACCTGACCATTACAGACTTTTTTTTGCAACCGGAATTTTCAAATCTCGTTTCTGATAACTCAGAAGGAAAACCTGATACTTATACGCTGCGCAAAGGCGGCCAAAAGATTCTGTCATACTCTCTCGGAATTGTATAATACGCCTGAACAATTTGCATTTAATTTTCACCTTATCACGTGCACGTTATCTGTTTCGGTTATTGTTTTCCGCGAGCGTCAAAAGATTGTGTTATCAGTCTAGTCTTCCCTCGTGTAAATAAAATATGTGCAGATTGTTACATTCTAGCAGATGTCAACTCATGAGCGAACCGGCAAAATTGACAATAGGGAGAAAGAAAAAACTAACACTTGCGAAATAAAAAAGGGATTAAAAGTTAGCGGTAAAAAAGCACTGAATAAACATTCACCGCTTGTTAAATTATCCTGAGCATGGTGAAAACTGGTTATTACTCAGGAAACGTTGTCAGAGTTCAGAAATCTTCATCTTTAGCCTTAACGCGGTGGTTTAGGTTTTGATGATGATGATGATCATAATAATAATAATAATAATCTGCGTTGGTTTGTCTTCGAGGCTCTAGGACCAGAAGAGTGCCATGTGACATTAAAAATGTTGATATCGACGTCGAAGTTGCTGAAACAGCCATTAAATCGGACTATTGATGTGTTTCCTTACTTCACATATATCTTTTTATTTCATTATTATTATTACTTTTTTTTTTTTTGTTTTTTTAGCAGTTGAAAGAAACTTTTGAATCTTAGAGGTTGACAGTTTTTTTTTATTGAAATGAAATGTTTTTTAATTCGAAAAAAATTTTTCTTAGTTTTAATTAACTTTTTTTTTTTAAGCTAAATTAAGTGCTTTTTAAATCGACAGAAATTGTAAATAGTGTTTTTGAATGAATAGTTTTTTCTTTTTTTAAGCGAATTAATTGTAAATAGGATTTTAATAGTCTTTTTAATAAAATTGTCTATAATAATAATAATAATAATAATAATAATAATAATATCAATCCTTATTATCATAGACTAAAATTTTGATGAAATAAACAATATTAAAAGATCCTAAAATACCAATTTACAATGGCAAGGTCACCCAATTATCGACTTTCTAAAATTAGGGGACACACGCTTGCCTATCGTAAAAATACTACTACTACTACTACTACTAATAATAATAATAATAATGATTATTGATAATACTTTTATTATGAGAACATATCAAAACTATGTTGGTTGCCTTTTTGGCAACGGATGCTCGTAATCAGTATACTTAACCCCAGTAGTAGGAAGAAACGTTTTGTCAATCTCTTGCAGGGTGCAAAGAAAGTCAGTTTTACAGCCTGCCATTCGGGCAAGTTACAGCTAGCACGTACTAGCCCACAAGTCATTTCAACTAGCCCCAAAACCCTTTTTGATTAGCAGGATTGATAAGAATCCTTCTGTAATTAGAATTTTCTCAAAAAACGGCACTTGCCCGTCGGGCAAGTTAAGAACAAAAATCGCTGGCCCAATAGCAAAATCCACTAGCCCCGGGCTTTTGGGCACGATTTCTTTGCACGCTGCTCTTGTGAAATGTTGAAAGTTATTCCTTGACTGTGATCTCGCTGAACTTGTAGTATTTTGAAAAAAGTTGTCCAGTGTCGAGATGCCTCCCAGATGGCAAAAATTTCGTGTTCTATTATCTGTTTCCACCTGGTCCCCAAATCGCTTATTTCTCAGGATCACGTTCCGCCGATTTCCTTTAATTTGAACTTCCGAACGAATTATAAAGTATTTAAAGGGTTCCGCTTTCTCTCAAATGGGTTTTATAATGTAGTCCCTTCGCACGCGCCAAGAAAAACGCACGCTCCCTGCCCTGAAATCGCCCTGAAGAAACTCAACTCAACTGTTTTTCAGTATCTATTTAGCCAAACATAAAAGAGTGAAGTAGCTCGATCAATGATGATGATAATGATAATGATTCCGAAGTTAATGATGATGCATATTAATATCATCATTATTACAATAATAGTACGATAAAGATTTCTGGCGTAAACCGGAAGTGAAGGAGAAGTTGGAAAGAAGTTTGTGGCTATTTTTGAAAATTGAACTAATCAAACAATGTAAATAATGACACAGATTGGCGGATTGGGTTATCGTCTTAAACCATTAACTTAATAAATGTCAGGTCTCCTGAGAATATTATATGTCTTCTTATTGCGTGTTTTTTTTAATGACGTTCATGTGCGGAACGAAAGTGAATATCAAGTGTGCACTTCTTATTTAACGCACGAATTATTTTGTAAACGATTGCATTCAAATTAAAAAAAGAGGCGGTTTAAGTATTAAGAAGTGAATGCGGAGAAAACTATATGTGGATTATTCTTATGGTCTGTAAATAGAAATTGGATAAAAGGTGGATGAAATGTTTTTAATTGCTCATGTTACATAAAAATAACATACACTCCACCCCACCCTAGCTAGTACTACGCGTTCTTAACAACAAGCACTCAAAAAAGTATGTGGCGAGTGTAGGCCGCAGAAGTTTGACAAGTATTGTTAAACATACGACGATTCGAAGTATGTTTATTTTTAACACAACACGAAACGAATGCCATGCTAACCTAAGGACGGTATTGTTTAATTTAAGGGCAGCTAAATGAACTGCTGTAAATGTTCTATTTCCAGAATGCCGCTGTTTGGTAAGAAAAAGTTCGACGAGAAGATCACGAAGAAATATGTGTTTCACGAAGTTCTGGGAACGTAAGTATAACCACAAAAGCATGGCAGATAGTGTGTAAAATAAGATTTGAGCAAAGTGTAAAGTTCCATTCAAGTCTGCGATTAGACGTGCTAAAAGTGATGTCAAATGGTTTCCTCTCCTGAGCGGTTGATACTTGAGGTGAAACCTATATGTTTTAAAACATAAACAATTCTGACCGACTTGACTGTTGCTCATTTTCACAGGGGCGCTTTCTCCGAAGTTGTTATGGCCGAAGACAAGACAACTAGCCAATTATATGCTGTTAAATGCATCAACAAACGAAATCTTTCCGGCAAAGAAGATGCAATCGAAAACGAAATCGCTATCTTAAAGAAGTGAGTCATTACTAGAAATAATAACCGGTCCATGTTCATTTACATCGCCACTGCATGCTTTGCCTAGCCAGTCATAAAATATTTCTACACGCACGACAGTGCGACGTTTCGAACGTTTGCCGTGTATTTTAATTAAGATCATTCGTTCTTTGAGCAATCGGATCATTACTTACTTTTGTCTGTGTATTTATTCTACCAACAGGGTCGACCATCCCAACATTATCCGACTGTGGGAAATATTCGACAACAAAACCCACCTGTATTTAGTAATGGATTTGTAAGTAGCTCAAGCATTTTGAAACTCAGTTCTCACATACGCCATGTTAATGGCTTTGTTCAAATCTTGATTAAAATTTAATCAAACTTCTAGAGGCCAAACAGCGAGTGCTGTTTGATAATAATTATCTCGCTGCAGCTTGCCCTTTGAATTTGATAAACGTTCGGGTGGTGATCTGTCAAAAAATTCTAGCGATCTGTTCGACCTTAATTTGCTACATATTACTCGGGTTTAGTATACCTCTTCTTAAATCATCCTTCCAATTCCAAATTTCAATTCCCTTACTTATTTGCTCAAGGGTGGTGAATTCATTTGTCGTGATCAAGCAATTGATGTTTTACAGACGATGTGGGCTTGAAGGTGTTAGCTGTATCACGCTGTTTGATATTCATAACACGAAAACATTTCCTGGTCGATCTCGCACTTGTAAAATACTCTTGAAGCAATTAACGTCTGCGGGAGTTCTTCCACGAGAATACATTTACAATTTCGAACGTGCCTTTTCCTTAATTTGAAAATTGCGTTGGGCGAGACTATAGCTCCAATTCACGCTTTATTGTTTCTCTTTTAACATTGTTTTCCTTATTTTAGAAGGGAATTATTTTCGATCCCAAGGGGTTATCACTAATAGCTAGTTAATTTCCGCCGATCGTTTGAATCAAAGGCAAGCTGACGTTCTGGAAATATAATGTAAACAAAAGAGAAATTTGTCATTCCAAAGTCTAGCCCTAAAGTCGCGATTTAATCCCAAGCAACTCAACATTTCTAGTCAAAAAAATTAAAGATTTGTAGTTTTCTTTGTTAAAAAATATGCTAAATAAACAACAGTCTTCGAAAGTAATTAATAATATTTGATAGGCTTCATGTTTATTGCAATAAAATTTGAAGACTGTCAGAGTTATTCCACCTCCACAACCAGAAGCTAAGGAAAAAGTAATCTAGGATCTACTGGGGGTCAATCCAGTCACAGACTGAAAAATATTGTTAACGGAGCGAGCGTGATCGTGTCGAGTTCTTAACGGTTTTAAAATAAAATATGCATGCCGCCTCTTGGATTTTGCAAACGAAAGGGTCAGACCCTCTTGTTATCTTCAACTATAACAAACTAGCGGGTTAATTTTACATTTAAAGCATGTAGATGATTATTCTGGCGCTGTGTGATAAAGACTTGAACTCTGCATCTCTCATAATTTCACTTATAGTCTTCTATGCCAAAAGTTAAACTTTGGTGTGACTTCGTACGTGCGCGCGCGTGGGCGAAACGCTCAACGTCATGTGGAAAAAAAAATTCCTTGTATAGAGAAGCAAATGCTGAACGACGTCATCCGAGTTAGAAGCAGTGTTTTTGATTGAATATAAAATTTTAAGGCTCTTTCTAGATAAAATGGTATAAACTGTATAATTATTGATTTTTTTCTTTTTATAACTGAAATTTTAATATTTCAAGAAGTCAAATATTGATATCTGTTTCTTAGTAATTGTTTGTTTCTTTACATGACATGGAAAGCATGGGGCAATCTGAAACTAAGAATGATGATGACGTGTTGTAGGCAGGTGCTCTGAAGTTGCTCTGAACAGTTTCAAATTTTGCTACATGTAAACCATATTATCAGCATAGATATTCTCTGTACTCTCCTTCCTATGTATTTCTTATGCATGGTAAGGGTGATCGCAGAATTTGCATAACTATCAACATGTTCCTTTATACTTAGTGATTTATTCCAATTATGATACTATAATGATGATGATGATGACTAAGATGCTGCAGGGGGGGGGGGCAGAGGGGAGGGGACGGTGGGCCCCTTGGTCCTACCCCTAAAACCACCCATGGTTAATTGCCATCATCATTATTTGCTGCATAATTTAACTCAGTAATTATTCACAATTATTCCTTGAGCCCGAATGGGCTCTGAGTCAATAGCCAATAAGGGCGAAGGCTGAATGGGCTATTCACTCAGAGGCCATGAGGGCCAGAGGAATAATTGTTTTAGTAAAATCCAACTAGCTGGTCAAAAATATCGAGAAAAAAAATTAGCTAGTTAAAGCTAGATGTTAATCCTTTTTTGCCACCAAAAAGCCCACGCTTTTTGCTACTAGTGGGCTATAACATATAGCCTAGTAGTAGCTCAACTAATCAGAACGCAGCATTGATAATAGACCACCAGTTGGATTTTACTAATTAGAGATAGGCCCCATGTCTAACATCCCATAATTTCATTTCAGGGTAAAAGGTGGAGAATTGTTTGACAGAATAGTAGAGAAAGGAAACTACACAGAGAAGGACGCCAGTGACCTCATAAGACAAATTCTTTCAGCTGTAGATTATTTACATGATAAAGGCATAGTGCACAGAGATTTAAAGGTGCCGTATAATTTACTACACAGCTATCTTGATAGTTTCAAATTATTTGCATTCTATGTTATATGATATATTGCTTTACGTAACAATTTGAAAGGTGTCAGCCACTTTAAATGATATTGTCGAGAAAGGAAACCTATGTTACAGGCCATCTTTTTTGCTTAAAATTTTGAAATTTGACAATGGCAAATGCCCTACTCCCGTGCAGACCTTTGATGACAAATGTCCCATGGTAAGAACTTACAAACTCACAAGGCATCATCCCCCCTGACCAGGGGAATGAACACGCTAGTTATTAACTGAGCTAAAAGTAAGTAAATCGTTGTTCCATAGCTGAACAGCTATTACTATTGAATCTTTAAGATAACCTATTATATTTATTTTATGGATCAATCTTAGTCCCATACTAAAACAGAAGTGCCAGTGTTTATACTTACAGAGTTTTATCAGCTGTTATTTATAGTTAATCCAGAACTTATTTTGCTTTATACCTTTCAGCCTGAAAACCTCCTTTATTACAGGTATTCTTTTTCAACCGTTAAAATCCCAATCTAAATATTTTGCATGTACTATTGCCTCTCTTAGCAGGTAATTTATGGTGTACTAAGAGACAATGACCTCTTGCAGAGACATGTAATGATGACTTTGACTGCAAAATATTGTTGTGCATTGTCATTTCCTCAAGTATCAGCATTATTATCAGGTTTTTTATTAAATTATTGTTTCATCATTTTCTGGCCTGGGGCAATAAAAGTGTCTATAAAGTTGAAGGGCTTGATTAGTTATCCTTACAGATCCAATTTTTATCATTAAAAAATAAATAAATAAATAAATGACGCCTTGTTATTAATTTACTGTTTCAGCCCAGATGAGGATTCAAAAATAATGATTAGTGATTTTGGATTGTCAAAAACAGAAGATGATGATAGTATGATGGCTACAGCTTGTGGAACACCAGGATACGTTGGTAAGTTAATTCATGTTTTAAATAAATCATTGTAAGGGTAATCTAAGTGATAGCCTGTGGATGACTTTTGTCCCTGATTTTAAATTGAAATAAGTTTTGGAATCATGTGAATTTTTTGGAAGGAGTACTACAATATTGAAGAACCAAGGAAAACAGTGCGAGGGTGAGAATAGAATGAGTTCCGTGGATTTGTTATTTGTACACCTCCTAGCACTTTGTTTGCCCCCCAAATTTTGTGCAAGAATAAAATATTGTTTTCAATTTCTCTTGGGATGACTCCTGCATGAGCCAGACAGGTACAACAAACAGTCGAGTTTGCAGGTAAACTCCTCTGTATAAGAAGGTCATGAAAAAAGATCAGAGACAAGCATTTAAATGACTTTGGAACTTGTTTGTTCTGAGTAGCATCTCAGGGCTCTCTCACCCATTATTGAAATTTTTCCCCGCTGTTTTTCCCGATCCAACTGACCGTCCCACGGCCCAAGGAAAACTCTTAGGTAAAGCTCAGTTTTAAAAGATGATTTGCTTCTCATGTAGCTGGAATTGACACACTTGAATTTTACCTTATATAATATGGGTACATTATATAAAGATCACACCAGAAATACTATACCAACAAGGGCAAAAATTGAGGCCCTCAAAAACCATACCATTTTGGGCAGCACATACCTCCCTATCTAACCCTTATATGGGATTACCTCCCCTGGGATTGTGGGCTTCTTTTATGAAACTTTATCATTCAACTCTGTCCTTCAATTGCTCACAGATGTAGCTATATTTTTATGTTTCATTCATATTTTCAGCACCAGAAGTCTTAAGACAAAAACCTTATGGGAAGGCCGTGGACTGTTGGGCTCTTGGAGTAATCTGTTACATTTTGTAAGTTTGATAGTGCGTTTTGAAGGCAATTACAATTTTTATCTCCTTGCCGTTTTCCTTTTGTCTCTTATGTGCTGTATAAGAAGGATTTGATCAGTAATCAAGATCTTATGTCACACTCCCTTGATCCCTTTACTTTTAATGATAAACCAGTGATAGCTATGAGCAAAACTGCATTTCTTATTTTAGAATTCTCGTCATTTTGTGAAAGCTGGACACGCAGCACATTTAAGTTTCAACATTGTAAACCCTTTATTTTTACTTATATATTTATTTTGCAAGATGATATTAGAGCTTAGAAAATTGGAAATAAACTTTAATTACCAGTACATTGTTTTCTCACTTATTTTCCCAATATTAATTGATGAGTCTATTATTAAGCTTAACATTAATTTAGCTTAAGTCTTTAAAAGTCTATATTAAATTACTTCTTAACTATTTTTTATCTTAAAGACTCTGTGGATATCCCCCGTTCTATGATGAAAGCGATGCAAATTTGTTTGCACAAATCATGAGAGGGGAGTATGAATTTGATTCACCGTACTGGTAAGTTTTTTTATCTGTTAATTCAAATCGTGGAGTGAATCCGAGTGTTGAACCGGTTAACACTCTGAGATTTTGCTTTCCTATCCTTTGTCCCGCATGATTTTGCCAAATGCTTTTGAATAAATAATTCATCGGGTTAAGAGGATTCTGTAAAAGAAGTCAAAGAAAACAGACCATGCATGCTTCTTCAGGATTGAAAATCAGTAGAAAATATTCGGTTACTCTATGACTCTAATTAGAAACAGACTTTCGTGACCAAGACTGTGGCAAATCACGAATTAACACCTCTTTTTCGGTACAACGGAAGTATTTCTCTTACTGGGTATCAAGTACAGTTAATCATGTTAAGGCTCCTATGAATTATTTCTCCGTAAAGTAATGTTCAAGTTGATCACGTGTGTTGCGATAGGACTCAAACTAGAAATGTGTTTATTCATATGATGTCTTTCCTGCGCTGGCATCACTATGTAACTATTTTTACCGTTTTTTAAGATATACACTTACCGGTACTTTCTTTTATAGTCTTTAACGCATCCAACCGTTTAAGAAGCTTCGGTCCCTGCATGAAAACACAGAATGAAAACATAAACCGTCACTGAGTGTTTAAGAGCTTCGCTCTCTGCATGAAAACACAGACGAAAGCAAAAAAGCTTATATCGGCTGGAATGATCTCAGACGATAAGCTCATGTCTCTCCTTTTTATAAATAATCCATAAACTATTTGAATGTCTAACCTTTAACTTAACATAATAAGCTTAACTATATAAATCTAACTTACCGTGTTAAGATTAAAAGGAAGCCATTCCTGAAAAATGGTGCAACCCACAATGCACTTTGCTTTTTGTCCACACCCACTTCATGTAGTTCCGAGTCACAAAACTGATCTCTTCTTTCTTTTTTCCTAAATTTTATCGTAGGGACGATATCTCGGAATCGGGTAAGTATTAAAGCTCTCTTTTCGGAAGTGCTACATTGCAACCGCTGTAAAAATGTTCTTATTAAAGGCTTGCTTATAATGGAAAGTGCACTTAGCTCATCCAGCTAGTTTACAGACACTCCCCTCAAATACTTCGAAACAAATAATTCAAATACAACATAACATAACAGGATTAAAAACCCCAACTGGCAGGAGACAACCAGTTGGATATTTACAAGTGTGGCCGAGGATTTGAACTCGGGAAGACCGAGAACAAATGCGCGGCCCGATCCCGGGACCGCCGGATTGATGATTGATGATCGACTACGCGAAGTCATTTTTGACTGTCGAGTTTTGACAAGACATCACCGAATTTGACATCGGTGAACCTACTCCTTACTGATAATCTAAAAGAAATTCATTGAGAACAAAAGTATAGTTTTAGCATATTTTAGCAATAAACGGAATTATAAGCCTTTTAATACTTCCGCTGTTAAGAATTTTTTTTCTTACCGGCGCTCTTCTTTGCTATTGAGGGTGGTCTTGTCCGTTAGTAAATTCTGTGTGTTTTAATGGCAATTTCAGCCCAACATTTTATCACGTGTCTACTACAAGTCGACCCCAAGAAACGCTACAACTGCAAACAGGCATTGGATCACCCATGGTACGCCATGTTTATCTTGTTTATTTTACATGAATAGTTTTTCTTCCAGTGTTCTCCTGTTCCCTTGAAAATTTAACACGGCTAATAGACTACTAATCAAAAGAGCCTAGTAACCCAGACTTATACCCCTGGGGAAACTCCCTCATGACTCTAACCGGGGTACTTGTCCTTCCTATGTGTTATCACTGGAGGCCTGAAAATTTGTGGATCGGTTCCGCTTATGGCGCTTGCATTTAAGCATAGGGACGTTAACAAACTCTCACGGTCAAACACGATGATTATACGTGCATGTTGCAACTGAACACTGCCTTAGTTTGAGACACGCTTGCAAAACGAGTCCTCCTTCCCCGTTGTAACATCGGAGTTCTTTCGCAGGGCTTGAAAAAAAAAACACGAATTCAACCTTGTCGTTTGGGAAAGCGGCTCTCACATCTTGCTCGTCTTAGTTAATGGTTTTGTTAGAGGACAACCTGTCTTGACCAGGAGCCTATTACTAGTAATCGGCTCCTGCCTGTACCCTTGTCCATGGGACAAGTAAGCTGGGATACGTTGCCCAAAAAGAAAGACTACCCGACTGGACTTTTACCTATATTTACGGGTAACGACGAGCCACAATTAAATTAGTGAATCTAGATTCGTGATAAATGAAGGAACAAGCTGTAGCCTCGACTGTAACTAAATGCGCTTTGACTTGAAAACACTTCAGTAAAATGGCTTGTTCTTGTTCTTCAGTTAATCTCTGTGTTTCCTTCTTTATTTCAGGATTTCTGGTGGAGCGGCCAGTGAGCGCGACATTCACGCCTCAGTCAGCGAACAAATGAAAAAGAATTTTTACAAAGCAAAATGGAAGGTATGATATGGTGATATTTTGGGATAGTACTCTCTTGATTGAAATTAATAAAGATATTAATAACAATTTTTTATTAGTAGCTAGGAAACCTAAATGAAACCACGGGACTTAGTATAACATTAATACTCTTTAATAAGGAGGTCTAAGGTGCCTTTGGACTAGGCACGTGTTTTCTGTAATTAACTTGTCCCGCAATAAGCCGTTTCTGAGTTGCCTCAAGCCTCTGTTTCAAAGCAAGGCTAAGTGCAAAACCATTGATATGAAAATATTTTTTATTGTTATGCAAATAAAACACAGTTTCACGACAAAGGTTTTGCACGTAGCCTCGTTTTAAACGGGAGAGTTTTTTGAACTCAGAAACGGCCTATTTTATTGTTGACCTATTTCAACATCTCCCTCCCAAGGTCCTCTCCTTTGGTCCCCCGGAGTGAGAGTGGGGAAGACTACGGAAGAGCCCTTGGAGTGATGTTAGAGCCATTTTGAAATAAATTACTCGATTGCTTGTACTTTCTACTTATTCTTGTCTACTTTTTTCCTCTTTATCTTGCAGCAAGCGTTTAATGCCACAGCTGCCATGAACCGATTGAAGAACCTTAAACTAGGCGCTGATTCAGCTAGAGCGTCTGAATCCAACAACAACGCGAAAAAAATTTAACAAGTTGGTCTGATCTAGGGACTGTATTTTATATGATATAAATCATGATAGATCTTTTTTATAGTATAGAATTTCAGAGCAACCGCCATGTTTTCTTGGCCCGGCCTAAGAAGCTCATTATTTTGGAACATAGTCTTCCCCACCCCCTTACCCGTGGGAAGCGCGGGGGGCGGGGGCGGAAGACATTTCAGACTATTTGGAACACTGAGGTAGTGTTATAAACCTAAGCTTAGGCTACTGGTACAAAATTAATTAGCTCCGTTTTTTTTTTTTTGCTCTGGAGCCTTTCATAATTGTCTTACAAATTGAGATTAGTGCGAAATATGCGTTTGTTAAACGCGAGTTTCTCCGTCGAGTGTATGTGCTAAATGCACAGCTTGTTTTGCTTGCTGGATAAGCTGAATTTTTTAGAAGAAATTTCTACTTTGCGATGTTTCGTATAGTTGAAAAAAAAGCGAAATTACAAATCGCTATTGATTATCTACTGTTTACACTTTAAAGATCCTAGAAAGGTTGAAATCTTAGGTGCGACGGGAAGTGGAGTCACTGCAAAGTTTTGAATAGTTTGAAGGTCCTTTCTATAAAATAATAGAATGTAAACAATGGAGAATTGTTGTCGACTCGTTTTTTACATAGACACCGAAATTTTTGATCGCCGGATTTCAGCAGACTGTCGGAAAGTCGCGCGTGTTCGACAGAGAGGACAGAATTAGCCCATTTCTATTGCTCATACTCTGTTAGCTTCCGACCAAATAAGCGCGCAAGGTTTTACAGGAATTGTAAAAATGGCAATAGTTTCATACGTGCTACAAACAGCTTAATTGTGCGCTAACTTGCAAAAAAGCGATTCGAAATTGCGAGCAGAGTTCCAAGCTTTCCAGCAATAGGCTGTTTTAATTAGTGATTAATTATATCTACAAATATTAAATATGGAATAAAGTTTCAAAACTTTGTAGTATTAAGTTTGTTGATATGTTGTTAAAGCACTTTGTTGTCTATTTCATGTATTTATCCTTTTCTCACTTTGTCCGCTTTCGTCTTGTGTTTCAATAGAACATTGATGACGTCTTTATATAAATAACCTCAATTCTTACATTTGAGCTCATCGCTCAACAGTTTCTCCTGGTAATGAAAACCGTTTCTAAACGAAAACCTTGTTTGAATACCACGCCCTTTACAGGTGTAAATAACTGTTTATAATCTCCCCGACTTCTAAATTCTTTCTATTTGGCTAATATTTCATTTTTTTGTAGTGCGGCCATCATGGGAAGGAGATGAATTCACTGTGCCAGTTTAAATTTCTTTCGCCCATTTTTAATGAACAACCAGTGAAATCTCTATTTGCATGTTTGTTCGTAGGTGTGAAATTTCTAATGAAAAAATAGTAGGTTAGTAATTGACCAATCAGAGCGTGCGCTTTACTTTTGTCAGGCAACTCAAATACTGGTTACTCTTCTCTCGGGGTGGGGGTACTCAACAAAGTTTTATACGGGGTGGCTCCTCCCCGAGGGGCAATCCCTTACCCTTTTATCACTAAACCAAGAGATTTTCTTGCCTCGTTCACGTCCATAAAATGCGTCTGTTAAGTTGTTAGCCCTTTTTGCTCCTTTCACACAGCGAAATGACAGATTTCCCTCCCTTTTATATTAATCCTTATCATTTCCTGAAGCCCCCCAAAAATAGGTACCCCTTTTCGACGGAGCCTTCCCTTAAAGGCCTTATATAAGGGAGTACCCCCTCCCCCTAGGTTCCCTTGTGAACTCCCTAGTTCTCTGTTTCTGGTGCATCTTCGCAATAAGTAAACTGCACAAGCGAAACAGGAGAGGAGCTACAAGCATTTGTCCAAAGATTCAGATCATACAGTCTTCCTCTTTTCCTGGCAATTCCTTCGGCTAAATTTTCCACAGCTTGAATTTTCCGCGTCTTGGTGAGGCGAGTATCGGTCTGGCAACCACTTTCTTCGTGGCCTGTTCTTCGCAAGCACCGCATCCACGGTGTTCTGTTAGTTGTACACAGTTTAATTAATTCAGCTCTGCACTTCCGGTTAAACGCCATTATAAGACAAGGGTTAACAGCATTATTCGCGTGCGCAAAGAACATAATAAACAACGACCAATCAGAATCCACGCTTACATTTCCGTCATTTTCAAACGCCATGTACATGTAAAACACGTGAACAGGAAGCCAGCATGACGCAAATGTTGCTATGACGACAATGAGCATGCATATTACGCGGCGTTTTGACATCTCAACTGCGTGTCTGTGAATGCTGTGGATGTTACCTGGAAGGGTTCGGAACCATAGTTTTCGAACAATAAAAATGTACAGTATTGTCAGAAGTGAGAGAGGGAAGGCGTATAAAAAAACGAATAAACTAGAAAAGTGAATTTTAATGATAACACGATTAGCCACGACGTAAATGCATTGATGCTGGCGAGAAATCTCCTTGACCCCATACATCGCAAGGTAAGGGGACATCAATACCACAGATAATATCCATATCATACAGGACAAAAGTCTGGTATTTCGTATCAATGCGATGATTTTAGATGGAAATAGAATGGCGTAGAACTGATTCAATGAAATACCTATTACAGTCAATACGAACCCTGCAGTGGAGATGCCGTATAGAAAATATATGAATCTGCAAGAGATCTGCCCAAGGACACCATCAAACCATGCAGTAGCAACGAAAAGATGCCTCACAGAATATGGCATAATGAACACAGCTACCAGAAGATTGAACACCGCTATGTTAGTAAACAAGTAATTGATAGTTGTCTTCAAAGAGGGTCGCTTGAAAACGATGTACACAAGTAAAATATTTGCACTTAGGGCCACCAAGAAAATAATGATATAAGCGACTGTTAACAGCGATACTGTTGCTGTGTTGAAAGGAAGATCCATGATGAAGTTCAAAAAGTTGATTCCTTTATGCTATGATCTGCGAATAGAAATCAAGACAAACGATTTTTTAAAAGAAATTAATTATTTTTTGTATGGCCTGAAAAATCATAGTTATTAGAGGAGACTGGTTGAAAGGCTGCAAGCCAATGGTGCTTCGGTTTACGTTGAAAGATCTCTGATGATGCACAATTCAATTGTTTTTTGTTCTCAACATTGTGATGGAATAAATCAATGCAACATCAGTTTGTTGGTCAATAAGATCCAAATGATAGGATAGCTATTGAATGTGGTAAAAAACCCTTGAATGCAGAGGTCCACTCAACGCGTAAATAAAACCGACTGGTTCTTTCTTGCCAAATCTCTAATGTAGAGATGCCGATGCTAGACGTCACTAGCTTTAAGTGGGAATTAAAACAAAACTGAATTCAAGGCTGGTAATACTGCAAAGCGCTGATTTATTTGAGGCCAATATTTCGGCTAACAAAATTAGTCTTCCTCAGGGCCAGAGCTACACTGAAAAGGAATACTATGATGGATCCTAAAATTTGAATTTAAATTTACATTTGAATTTACATTTTGAACTTGAATTTAAATTTAAAATTTACTTTAGAATCTGGCTATCGATGTTGTGCACCTTCAAGTCCCCAAAATCATAATTGAAACAAAGGATTCTAACAGACTACATAAATATTCTACTCCACTAGTTACGGTATAACTGACAAAACAGACAAATGTTGGGACGATGTATTGTAAGTGTGTGCAATAAAAATCCGAATCTGATTCTTATGAGAGAAGTAGAGATGGCTCAGTTGGCTGCAGGTAGCTGGGCTAGTGCACCGGTCCTTGGCTATGCCCAGCCTGTAAGTGATCCTATTCTTCCTCGTTTCAATCAGTCTACGTGGCAGGCGCTTGAAGGGGGAGGGGTTCAGGGACAACTGGGGTGGACGTGCGAGCGCGCGAGGGAGGGGGAAGGCAGGGTCAGGTTAGGGCCGCGCCTCTCGCGTTCCCGCGTGGACGAACTCCCTGTTCTCTCTCCGTAATTGAACGCCTGACGTTCCTATCAGTGTGCTGCAACTATCTGGATTGGTTTCTTTGATTTGCTGATTCACTTCAGGTGACGCAGGGTGTACATCAGGGCCCAGTTGTTCGAAGGGTGGATAGCGCTATCCACAGGATAAATCTCTGTCTCTACGTCTGGATAGCGCAATTGGTTTCCCTAATACTTATCCACTGAATAGCGATTTATCCAATGGATAGCGCTGTCCAGCTTTTGAGCAACTGGGGCCAGGTTGAATCTGAGGAGCTGGTAAAATTGTTCGTTATACCGCCATCAGCTATATGTCTTTCTGTTCTGTCGGCATCGGGGATAAATTAAATTACTCTGACTAAGCATAGTTAATTGAGTGGCATGGTTATGAAACCCGTCAGACTCCTTTGTTATATGTTTTTGTGGACCTGAAAGTGCACAACGTTCAAAAGAATTCCTATCATTTTGATTGTATTGACCAATAAAAACGTTGCATTAATTTATTCCGTAACAATTTGCCAACAGAAAACAAAGGATTGTGCACTTTCACGGTGCTTTGAACATAAACTGCAGCACTGTTGTTTTTATCATTGATGTTTGCCGCTTTTCATAACCAGTCTCCTCTAATAACTATGGACTAAGGATGTAATTCCTCACAGAGATGCACGTTATATAAAAGGGGCTCGTTATTTATCGAAGCTTCACTGTATTATGTGGTCAGTCTCTGAATTTTCTTTTGCGAGGTATTCTATTATTTATCAGTAATACTTTTACCTAGCAGCTGGTTTTTGCAAGGGTGCGTCTATGTTCGCTTTAATTTCTTAGTGGTGGCACTTCGATTCAAACTTGCTATCTTTTCTCTATAGTTCTATTGCCTGGTGTATTCGTTATATACTATAAATACCTCACCTTTCGCCAGATTGTATAACTTGGAATTCTTTGTATCTCAACTCGTTTACTCAACGCTTAAATTTCTCCGAGAAAGATGGAATTCTACCATTCTCTGCATACCTTTTTACGAACGTGCAAAATTTCTTCTTACAAGTAACACAACGAAGCAAATACGAAATCAAAGCTCTTTGTATATGCCAGGAAGTTGCGTGGCATTATAACGTCTTTGATGCAAGATTAAATCCTCATGTATAATTTGTCTTGATCATCATGGCGACAAGAAAACGATATCAAAGGGCTTGCCTTCCTATAAATACACAGGATAAGTCTTCAATAATTTGATGGGAATTTGCCCATTATGCCAGAGCACTGTGTCCGTAAACTACCTTCTATCCCATCTTAATTTTCACTTTTCGATCTTTAGATTATGTGCGAGTTAACGCCAAGGAAAATGGGTTCTCAGGGTAGAATCTACGGCAAAACTAATTTTTCATTACGCAACTTCTCTGAATCGTTTCCTCTATAATGTAATTGTTCAGATCAATAGGTGCCGAAATCACCTATCCTGAATTTTCCCTTCCTCTTGAGCTAAAAATATGTTTAACGACCGGAATATTCGAGCTTCCTTCGGGGTTTATTACAATCTAAAACCACCACTATTATTCAATTGTTGTTATTTATATAACGTTTTATTGTGTTTCAGTTCCTTTTCACCGATTAATTAAAAGAATTTGCGAGTCATGTCACGTCTTCTAACTGCTCTGCCGTATTTTTACATATTTTGATGGCAAATGTATTTGAGGTCTGAAGCTCAGGAGTAATAACTACTACTACGCATAACCTTATTCATTTTGGAGGGGTTAAAACCGCTGTTCTGCGCGCAAAATATTCAAGAACAACTCGAGAAAATGTAAAAGAAATTGTACAAGGAGGTGTACGATCCTTTATTCAGCGTCTGTTTTTGGCATGGGGTCCTCTCACGATTGCAAAAAGATCCGAAATTATCAAACCGTTTTATTTTTCGCGGCTCCATGGTGTGCCCTCGTACCAATTGACCTTGAATTACGGGGAAACGATGGACTGATTCATTCAGATTCTGATTCAGTTTGAACAAGTGTTGGAAACGTGAACTGGTGCATGGATGGTCAATTACCCAATACCCGGCCGTGAAGGCCTGCAACAAGTTAGGTTTTGTCCATAATACCTCATCGCCTGACTCTGACGCGGACTTGGAATACAATTGAAAAACGTGTAGAAAATGAAAAAAATGTAATGTTTGAAGCTTGATTAAGTTTTTTTAGAGATATAATTAAAGTTATTAGTATAAACCAACAAATTGAAATCATCGAGCGGACGTCCAGAACTAACCAGTCAATAGATGAAACGACTGCGTGGGAAGATTCCCTCCTCAGCTGAGCACGTACCCTCTTTTGTTTTGAATGAGTG